TTTAGTTGAAATCGCTGTCACCGCTAGACGCTATTATAATTCGCTTGTATGTCTCTCAGTGCTCCAGCATCGTAATCATGACAATTATTGCTTTTGAATTTCAGAGCCAACAAAAAAGCAGCAAAGGCGTGTGTAAGTCGGAATTTTTAAATGCATATTTCTTACCACCTCTATAGCGCATGCAATGGGTGGTCTTTAAGATTGTTCTCTCTCTCTCTCTCTCTCTCTCTCTCTCTCTCTCTCTATTATATATATATATATATATATATATATATATAATGCAAGAAGTTTTTTTACTCATTTATTTATTTATTTATTTATTTATCACAGTACCCTCAGCGCCATAACGCATTACAGATCACGCCCATTTGCCAACGACGAATCTAAGGCAAACGCCCCCCCCCCCCCTTTTTTTTCCTTCTCAGTCGATTGGATTGATACGAATAAGCTTTACGGTACTTTCCGTGAGTATTTTTTTTTTCATCATCTCCAGGATTACTCCCTTCTGACCAAGCATGCCATCGACGATGTCATGAGGTGACGTCATAATAATGCCGCGAAATTCGGCGACCTGTGATGTCATTACTTGATGATGATGTTTTTCATCACGCACGGTGGCGTGGACGGTCACATTTGCGTTTGACGGGACATGGAAGGTTTTGACAAAAAAAAAAAACGGTGCACGAGAACTCAATTCATAACTAGTCAGAGCCTAGCACGCGTCACAAAGGCAGCCCGATGCTTTGGGCAGCTAATCCGCCCTTGTTCTCAATATTTGCCTAAGTGTAGCTCTGTAAGTTAAAAAAGAAAAGGCGACGATTTAGGGTACTCTGTACTCTGCTACGGTAAAGCGTTTCGCACGCTGAAGTTCTTTTGTGCCGCCAACCTCCTTCGCAGCCACTTCGATGTGACGCCCGGCGAGTTGGGCATGAACCCTCCTTCCATCGCGTGGTTCGTCTGTCTCACCTTCACCATGTTCTCGCTCACGCTTGCCGTGCTCTTCATCGCCTACTACGTCAACAGGCCAGGTGAGATTTACCACCAATTTTTTTCTTTTTCAATCTGCATGTTTAACACCTTGATCCACCATGACGGCTCAGTTGGCTCAATAGTATAACAGCGTTGCGGCGGTTGTGCCGTTGCATAGGCCCTACCCAGAAACTATACAGGCGATGGCTCATCGAGGTGCTGATGGGCAGTGTCATGGCCTCAGAGATCAGGTGGTGCGCGATGTGTGAGAAGCGGCTCGGAACTCGGAGGGCATGGCATAACTAAGAGGAGCTCTGATGTGAGCGTCGCTGCACGAGCTGGCCCACACACGCGTTACTTATTGCGTAGACTTTCCTAATATACACTAGAGGGAACTATGGCGCTAGTGTCTATGGGAGCTGCAACGCACGGCGCTTCAGCGAGCGCGGGAATGATGGGTGGTACACAGATTTGTCTAATCTTCATACTTCTTGCCTGCTTCTGGCTACGCGTGTGTTCGTGTGGCTTGGAGTAGTTTTCTCACGAAACAAAAATCAACAAATGTTCAGCGGTTGCGCTTCACCACCTTATTCTTTTTAGGCTTACCTGTTGAAATCGGGTCACGAAGTTCAAAACGGTTTGTTTTTTCCCTCGAAACAAAACAGAAACACAGCAATAAACGAAGCCAAAAGTACGATTTGTCGTCCGCAAGTACGAAAACTAGGCAAATCTGTGTACTACCCATCAATTCCATGGTCACTGAACGATCGCAGCGCCAAAGTCTCCTCTAGTTACTTTTAGGAAACTCTGAGACTTATGGAACAGCCGCGTAAAGCAGTTCAGATTAAAAGGTTCTTAAGGTCTGACCCCACGTACCCGTTGCAGCGCGTCAGCGCGTTGCTTTTAAACGCGGTGCTGAGCCCTCTTCCCATGAAGAGAGGACAGGCAGCTTCACGTAAACGTAAACTATGTACGTCACATGCCCTTCTCTGTACAGGGAGAGGGAGCGGCGCCGCGTCACAAAACAACACGATGCAGCGTGTACGTGTGGTCAGGCCTTTACGTGTGTACTCCATCCGCTTCACGCCTTTCCGATACTCCTTGCGCCGCTCATTAATGAAAGGTCTCGAAATTTGTAGGTCTCTGCACGGAAACGAACCCGTATCACACGGCTTCGTCAAGCAGGTCAGCACGATGCCTTGGCATACGGGGAGGGACCCATCAGCGTTAGCACAACCCCGTGCTCTAGCGCTTCACGAACCTAAAGGTCACGCGATAACGGAATCAGTGGGCGCAGCACCTTCTTGGGCTAGGGCACATCATCTACGGACCGCACGCTGTCTTATCTGCCTGCTTTATGCACAGCTAGAGTGTGTATTATCTAGAACCGAATAATAACTGGGGTATAACGCCCGAAACCACGATGATTATGAGACACGCATCTAGAATCTCCTGGTACACTGTAGCGAGCTCAGTCAGAAAACGCTGCCGATCGGCAGTGGCGTAGCCAAGGGCTGCCCCCCCCCCCCCCACTCCCTTTCAAATGTTTCTTTTTGCCATAAAATGTAGAGTTCAAAATGGCACTCGACCACATTTGCCTGCCCGGCCCCCACTCAAAATTAAGGAGCACCCCCCCCCCCCCCCGAAAAGAAAAAAAAACATCCTGCTTACGCCCCTGCCGATCGGTAGTCGAAGCTCCAGAGAACACGCGAGTCAATCATTAGAGCGCAGCACGCGGCCGGGGATCTGCTATTAATGCCGAAAGTCAGATATAGAGATCGTCCCCTCTTCTCTACACAAATGAAGCCATAAATCCAAATGACCGCGCCATATACCCAGAGTCCACGGCCATTGACTGATTTGGGCATCGTGAGCTGCACAGTTAAGGCGACCACCACGGGATGCCGCCACGTGTCCGCATGCGATCACACTGAAAGTAAGCCACGTGTTCAGAGGAAAAAAAAAGAAAACAGTGTTCAAGGTCGTCACGCGCGCTGACGAACGGACGCATCTCAATTATTGCGCCCTTGTCATGCCTCTAACTGTATACAGTTACTTCATCCCTGCGTACCTCTCACTGGTACGAAAGGAGAGAAAGCACTTGAAGCGGGCGATACATCCCTGTAATTCCACCCGTACTTGACGAATCCTAAAAAAAAGAAAAACTGCGGCGTTCGGTCTTTGAGGCAATAAGCTCTCTTAATGAAACCATTCGATGATTTCTTAGAAAAGTGTTGCAGGGCTCCACTAAAATCTCTAAATTTCCCCCATAAAATAAAGGGATCAGTAGTCCTTAGATTTCTTCCCCTAACAGGAAAAACTTAGGGACTTTAGAAAAGCTGTCTGGAGTTGTAACTAACACTAAGAGTGTTATTGGTCTTAACTGTCCAACTACTCTAATAGGTACTGATTTTAAATTATCTTCAAGTGTGCGAGAGTAGCTCAGTTTCAGTATAGGCTCGTACAGGACTTGTTTAGACGGTGACAATACTATTCATTACTTGACCGCTGTGATGCGTAAATGACACTGCTAAAATTTATTTTTCCACAACACTGTATTCATTTATTTATATTTTAGGAAAACGAGTCGTTGCACACTCATACTTGCAATTGTCAGGGTGTGGTTTCCACTTGTCACTGCTAACCCCTGTAGCATACAGTTCGTACTCTTCTTTTTTTCATAAATATATATCTAAGTTTTATGAATGTGCAAAGCTTTTAGTAAACGAAAGTTCTCTACTGATAATAAATTGTTCTTCGCAGGGTCCTACATACCACCTGTCGCAAACATCACAAAGAAGCCCATACCAGGTACATATAAGATGTGATGCCAGAAACTTTCATGTTCAATATTTTCATTACAGCTAGCTGTCTTGTTGACCATTTTACTTTTACTAGGATGCTCTACTCATCATCTAAGCTGTTCCTTCTGCCTAATATAGTATAACGATACAGTCCACACCGGTAAAAGAACGTAAACTGAAGTAGCACTATGTTATCAGGCTTTTAAACCTTCAACAAATACTTCACAAAAAAGATTGTGTTTTCAGTGACCAAATAAAGACATTTTGATCATATTGCAACAGTTAAAGGCAATTAGTGAACATTAACAAAATTTGGGGAGAGTTGGCTTATATACTTTTGCTTCTCAGCTAACATTGGTTTACAGCAGTGTTATGTTGCAGACCTGTTCACAATGACAAAGTTTTGTCATTATAGCGAACTTCTGTGACTAATGTTTTTAGACTCACTGTTTTCAAGTGCTATATCTGACTTTTTCCTTTTATAGCACCAAAAAATGAAACTGTAAAGCATCAGGTAAGTCCACGTGCACTAATTCCTTATTACCTATTATGTTTCCATATCTTATATTACTGAAAAGAAGCAGCAGTAATGCCATACAACCTAGGTACCTCACATTTCCGACACAGCTACTTTATACGCAGGCCCGGATTGAAGCTGGTCTTCCCGAAGATTACAGGACAGATGAAACGGTTGATATTGATGTCCTCTACAAATTAAAGTAAAATTCAGCCTTCCATCTTTATCAATTGTTATTTTTTATCTGTATTCTTGTTCTTATTGCATGCATTTACAAAGAAAAAAAGGAAAAAAAATTAACCATGATCAACAATTGCACGACCACATACACTCAAACCTTACTATAAGTCACATCTGCCACGAAAATAATTTGTTAAGTCTAAAAATTCCTTCCTTGTAAAGACATATTCGTAACACTGTGTGTATATGAAAAACTATTCCTCACTTACTTCATTATAACCAATAATTTGTTATATTTGTTCGTTATATCAAGGTTTGAGTGTACTCGAGATAAATGGGATACACTGCTTAGGATACCCACGTGTATCGTATTGTGTGATAGCCACATTTAGGAATGACAGCCATGATACACCTTATGTGGTCCTACCAGAAAAGGGTGAAAGAAAAATCAATGCATAGTTGAAAATAAAGTTTGAATTTGCTGTACGTTAACATATGTATTTGTCTTAGAGGAAAAACAATGCAGGGGATGTGGATGGTCTTTTATGTAATTCATGATTCCACGAAACTTGAGACATCTTTCATGGGGCAAAACTGTTCTTGCCGGAACACAGAGAAATAGAATACCACTATGCAACAATGAGTGCTATGTTCAAGTAGTTTATCATAGCAATCAACTGTTTTGTCTCCTCCAGAGGTACTTGACACCACAAGATCATGTTATTGACACTGCTGCTCATGTGTGCATCTCCAGCACTTCATAAACAGTTCTACCATTTAATTATTGAGTAAAATTAACCGAAATCTTCAGACTGCGAATGCCTTGAACATTTTATAGAAAATGTTAAGTCATTGCAGGCCTTTATTCATTTCCAATCTGACAGTACTGAATCACCATACCATGACCCACTAGTGCATGCTTTCCTTGGCTAAAACAACAGAACGTTCTTTTTTAGATCACCATATTTAATACACGAAAGTGAGGGGGCCTTTTAAATACTCTGACCTTACAGGAATAAAAGCAGGTGTCTTTGCTAAAAGCATGCGGCAGCATGTATAAAGCAGAACTTCATCTTCCTAATTTGTTTCCTCTTTGAGCTAGCTTAATCTTCAAAACAATATGCAAACGCCACAAGAAAAGAATGAACAAGCTGTTTTGTTTTTCCTGCAAACGAATAAAGCATGCCGGTCTGAGACTGCTTCCATTATACAATCTTTCAAGTTTATAAATAAAGCACTTCTGTCCTGGTTTGAAATGTCAAACAGACTGTGCTGCTTTGTTCGCAGCAAAGTATGCATTTAATGCCACTGATAAGAGTCATTCAGAACTTGTCGTCGGGGAGAAATTCCCTCTTGAGGCGGTTCAGGCGTTCCACAAGATCGTCCAAGGAGAATTCTCCATGCACCTTGTTATCGCGTGTGCGGACGTTCACAGTTCCAGATGTCTTCTCTTTATCACCAACAACTGTGAACATGACAGGTAAGTTATGTAAGCATGAGCAGGTAAAACCTTTACGCTTAGTCAGCATCTAGCAAGAGCACAAAGCAAAAGGTAGGAACGTGAAAAAAGCATACGTAAGTTTAATCTCTCTGTCTGTAAATCAAACATCAAAGAAGCATATCTAAAAATAAACCTGAAGGTACGAATTTGAAAAATGTCAGTCTGAAATTTTCACATTGCGCTGTGTGGTTAAAAACACTTCAAGGTCAATGGATACTAATGCACTAGAGCTCTTTAACATACTTGAGAAGCCTGAACTAAGTTCTTTATTGAACCATTCAGTTGACTTTGGTTCTCACACAAAGTAGTACTAGCGATATCTGGCTATACATACAGTATACAATGTTAAGCCCACTATGAAAATGTGTGAAATCCACAAATTTTGTACAGAACCAAACTGGCATTGCAAAGGGGATATCTAGTTAATATTTAAATAAGCCGTAATATTTAATTAAAATGTACTTTAAAACATTTATTATGTACACAGATCCTTTCTATAAATACAAGTGCTTGTTTTGGGTAATAAAGAATTACATTAACCGCAAATAAAAGAAAAGGCATCTAAAATGCAATTCCTGCTGTTGAAGATGAAAATGAAAGTTCAATGCAGCAAAAAGAAACCACTCAAACAATTTGACGTCCTTTTCTCTAATTCCCCCAACATACAAACACTAAGAGCAACAACCATACGATGAAAACTCACCTAAGATGAAGTTGTATTGATCAAGCTGGGCATTGCGAATCTTCTTGTTGAGCGTACAGCCAGGGTCAAGGTCAGCATCGCAACGGAAACCAGCCTCGCGCAGCTGGTCTCTCACTTTTAGTGCGTAGTCATCATAAGTCGAGCCTACTGGCACCAAGTTGACCTGGCGCGGCGAGAGCCAGAAAGGCCTGTGCACAGGGCATACGACTCAGTACGAGTACAGTTCCTTTCTTCACCACTATTTGAATGTCACCACCACTATTTGAATCAGCCACCACTATTTGAATGTAGTATCTTAGCAGCTTATATACTTTTTCAATTCAAACCCATCACTACAGCACAACATTACCACTGAAACTGCTATTTAGTGTGGAGTGCCACAGTTCAGCTAAAACATGCTGAAACCACAGCCTCATGCACCCTTTTTGTTTTAAAGTGAATGCAGAGGCTCAATTGGCAGTAAGCTATCATTCCCTCAAGGCAGGTGCACCCTAAACAGAGTCAATGCTCATCGCCATAGACCACAATAAGCTAACAAGAAAGGTTCATTATGCCTGAAGCTCACTCTATCTAAATTAAAGGTACCTCAATGTACGCAAAGACTATGTTGGCGATACATGTTTAGGAACGCACAAGCATAAGGTACGGCACAAGCAATCGGGCTGTGTAGTATACTTCATTAATACACAGGCTCTCTTCAATTCAAGCTCTGTTTTCTTGGCACAAATTTCTGGCCCTTCCCAAGAATTACAGTTAATGAAGTTCTAATGCACTCAAAATTTGAGTCTAATTACTGATGGACTCACCACTTCCCAGCAAAGTTCTCAGTGAGTATAGCGATCATGCGCTCTACGGAGCCCAGGATGGCCCGATGAATGATGACTGGGCGCATCTTCTCTCCACTTTCACTGCAGGGCAAACAAAAAATAAAACACCAGTTAGCTTATCTACAATTGTTCGAATAACCACGCCATGTTAGCTAGCAAAGTAATGCGCTGTAAAATCTAGTCATGTGCAAATGTTTGAGCCCTTTGAATATTCGATAGGATATTACAGCAAACAAATTCACTTTGACACAAATTGAAATTATTCAAAATTTGAGTGTTCAAAATGAACAGATAAGCAGACATAAACAGCATGTGCTTCCTGTAAAGGTGGTTTCACTGCAGTGAACGAGTGCACAACCATGAACACAATCAGAACAAATCTGCACAGCCGCAAAGCCTAACTTAAAGGGGCCCTACAACACTTTTTGAGCCTGGCCAGAAAATGCTGCTGATCGGTAGTAGAGGCTCTTGACAGCACGCGAGTCAAATATTATAGCGCAGCACGCGGCCAGGAATTCACAATAAATTATCAAAGTCAGCTGAAAATTGCTTCGTCTTCTCTTGACAAATCACGGACGACGCTCAAAAATCACTCAAAAAAAGCCCATCTATAAGCCATTGGCTGATTTGAACACGGCGCCCTCGGTCGTTACAGAAATTGCCGTTGGAGGCCTCGACTGGTCCATGCGAGCGCGCAATCATTTTGAAAAAGCCGCGCATTCGAAGAAAAAAAAGTGCTGAAGGTCACGAGACGCGTATGACGTTTTTTTTTGCTCCTGCCATCCCTCCCTGCTTAGCTTCCAATGCTTTCATCAGAACTAGAGAATGAGATAATGCAACTGCAGCATGCAACAAATCTTTGTAATTCCACTTGCACTGGATGGATTCTTAAAATTTTTGTAGCATTGAATATTTGACGCAATAAGCTCTTCCAGTGAATTCATTTCACGGTTACTTGAAAAAGTGTTTTAGGGCCCCTTTAAAAGGACCCACAACTGGCCAGAACGGGTGATTAGATACCGGTGGAAAGAAAAAAATCGTGAATTATGGTGACATGTGAGCGCATACGTTTCGCGATCTGAGTAGCATTTATATTTTTAAATCGCGTTCAAAAGTAACCAAAACCGGTGTGTTGCGCCCCTAGAGCAAGAGCTATGAACCACAAATATGAAGTTGTAATAACTTTGCAGTGATTATTTAAAGCCCACTGGAAAAAGGGCTTAAATTTCAAATATGTACGTTATTGTACATTTCTCTTTGTTTAATGTGGCTTGAAAGGTAAAAGAAATAGAGCATGAAAAGTGGCGCTGCTTTTGTGGCCTCCACAGGAAAACGGGTGCAGTCGCGAATGCGCGTGACGCCCGGCGTTTCCTGAGCAGCTCAATTCCCGTCACGTTGGGTGCTTTGGAAGAAGCATGTGAGCTTGGGAATGCGATAGCTGGAGCACGCGAGATGCCGTCGACCTCTGTGGAGAATCGCTGCCACTTCATGCCTGCTGCTGGTGGTGGCGATGGTGGCGGTCCGTCGAAACATGTCGCTTTGGCGCTTCTTTATAGGGGTTTGAAATTCGCGCTCGCATGCAAGCCATAATTCGTTCCTCTAACTCGCTCGAGTTGTCAAGCGATGACATCGAAGCTGAGCTACTACAGCCGAACATGAACTACTATGCTTGAATCGTCGATCATGTGTAAAAGTGCCATTTCATTTTTGAAGACTTGTCTTGGCTTGACTTGGCTAAAGTCGAAAAAACTACCTGTGCACGGCCAAAAGTACTTGCATAAGAAGCCCCGGGAAAATGCTGTAACTCTTGTAATATAATTTAGCATGCTAGAAAGCAGTGGTCACGGTACTGCAGGCTTGACAAACACAATATTACGTGTTTGTACTTAGACCTTCACGTTTCCTCACTATCGGCGTTACAGTAACGTATAATCGCTATCACGATTACATCCACTGTTCGCTGCATGTCTTCTTAAGAATGCATAATAACGGCAAATCGAAAAATTCTGATTATAAATGTTCTACGGTGTTTTCCGCGTTACCATTCCGTGATTACAAGCACTGACAGGTAAGCTTTACATTGCACTCAAGGAAACGGGTACCATAAAAACTGGTCGTGGGTCTCTTTAAGGTTAAATTAACGTACTACCCTCCCATTCATTAATCATTAGATGAAATGCTTGTTATAATGGATTTTACGCTCTAAGTATAGGCAAATTTAAAATGTTACATATTTTACATGTTTTAATATCATTCTAAGCAAAAGTCAAATCCGGCTAGTATTCAAGGTTGGTTCCACTTTCATTCAAACCAAAAAGTATGACGCATATACAGTAGCATCTTGTTAACTCAAACTCTCATATCTCGAAAAATCGGCTAAGTCAAAATTTTCCCATGTGAGCTTCCCATGCAGTTCACTGAAGTTCCAAGGCAGCATACCTTGATATTATAGCTGAAGCAATTCGATTTCCTACCTAATGTAGTTCAGGTTAAACCGGATCGGCAACTGGAAATCAAGCTGGATGGTGGCGCACTGGTGTTGCCGCCGCAAAGCATCCATGATGGTAATGTCAATCTGCACAGAAATAAAATTCACCACTTTAGTAGGACTTTGAATAAAGCAAGTTCCAGAGACAAAAAAAAGTTATCAGCTATTTTGGCACCACGTGGCCTACCTTGGGACCATAAAATGCTCCATCGCCAGGGTTTAGCGTCCAAGGATAACCAAACTCGTTGAGAGACTGCTCTAGTTGCTGTAACACAAGATGAAAAGAAGAGCATGTAAGTACAATCGACTTCCGTTAATTCAAACTCGACGGAACCTCCGAATTTTGTTTGAATTAGCAACAAAATTAAATTATCAAAAGTTCTCAGATAAATGACTCTGGGTGAGGTGACACCACACATTATGACTAGGCATCGATTTTTTTCATCACATTTAAAAATTTATGGAGTGTTTTTAAACCCTAACTTCATGCAATGAACAGAAAACAGAGGGGTAAGGTCCCTAAGTTTATTGGCCATTTACTGCTGATCAGACCTTTTGAAGAAATCGTGAATTGCCAAGTGCTTCTTTACCACACGTACGTGACTTCAACACAAAGCTCTCTATACCAGTTGAGAAGCATCACGGTTTACCCTGCTTGTACTTTTGTTTCAAACATTTGTTTACTAGCAAAGCCTTTTTTCTTGAAAGCCTGAGATGCTTATTTTTCGTTTTTAGGCTGTTAGGATTATTTAAACATGCAAATGGTTAAATAATAGTGGGAACACAGCAGATATTTTCTGGTATAGAACTGGAAAAATTTTGAATTAACCAAATGATAAAAATACATTGAAAGAGGAGAGGGCCAACCAAAAAATTGAATTCTGTTTGAATTAACTGAAAGTATGAATTATCAGAGTTTGAATTATCACAAGTCTACTGTATAAGCAAATCGGCTACAGAGCAGTGAAAAAAATGCAATTACAGTGAAGCCAGAAACCTGCCTTTTCGGCATCATTCCAGACTTCAATGTCTCCCAAGTACTTCTCTGGCCTCGTGGACAGCTTGAGCTCAAATGTGAAGCCAAAGATGGAGTAAATGTGCTTGAGGAAGTCCAATGCCCCCTTCATTTCTGTGACTATCTGCATGAGAAAGAAATAATAAAACATTATTGCACATTGCTGCTATGTTTTATGTCGCCAAAAGAGTGAATTGTGACACACTTCTGGATCATTTGGTGTGCACATGCTCAATACAGAGGTCATTATGTCCTTTGACATATTGTTGCACAAGCTACAAATATAATGTGCTAATCACATTTTATGACTTGCCTAATTGAAACACTGCATTTTCATCTTGATGCAGCTGCTAATGCATACTACCACATGCCAAAATATTAAACTCGTTCTCTGTTGCATCCCTTGATAAAATTATATGTTTCACCTACAGCATCATTTCTTAGCAAGTGCATTGTGCTTGAATGATTAACTGAGTGTTATCTGAATTTTTCCTAGTAAAACTTACCGGTCACCACAGAATTATAGAAGTAGACAGAAGGACATAATGACGCCCATCTTACTTGAAGTTAGTCAAAGTTATGCAAAGTTGATCCATACTTGACAATCCCATTTGTTTCATGCTCACAAAACAACCGTACATTTGTACACACGCAGGACATACACCCTGGAGAGGCACATAGGATAAATGGCAGAAAGCTTCATGTCTATTCTCACCTGCCCATAACAGTTGAAGTAACTCTGTTCTCCACTCATTTCTTACAACAGAACACCAATAAGCAGAATCGACAAAAGAGAACAGCAGTTTTTGACTGTAGCTGTACTGGGGTGATGCTAGACGGCTCCGGAATGTACCTGTTGGGGTGCACAGAAGATATGCGCATCATCTTGTTGGAAACGCCGCACTCTTATGAGACCTGTCAGGGCCCCAGAAAGTTCGTTGCGATGCAGCACACCAAAGTCGGCCATTCGCAGAGGCAATTCTCGCCATGAACGTGGACGCACATCAAACATCAGACTAAAAGAAAAAGAGACAAAAAATGTGACAAAATGAAGAATTACTGCGATGTTTTGATGTGAGTGAGATGGCGAAAATGTACAAATGTCAGCAAGAATAAAAAATTTGATGTAGTTAACATTACCTAATACGGAGCACAGGAAGCTCTGTTGTGCGCTGATAGTTCAAAACAGTCTATAAAGTGTTACCATCAAAATTACACCCATTTTCTTTTGAAAGGGAAGAGTGAGTTGAGGTGCCTTTGATGGTGCACTTATTTCTCAAGGCATGAGCCAGTGAAAAAGCTTGCAGCACAACTTAACCATATCAAACAAGTTAAACACAGTGTGATGACGTTTATTGAACCGGAGAAGTCGCAACGATGTCGCAACGAAAAATGGCCGTACGACAAGTCTGGCAAAAGGCGGCCCAGGTTCTCGTGCAATCAGAGCACGGGGTTTTTCCTTCTCTTTGGAAGGCGCATACACGTTAGTGCGTATGCTCCACTACAATACCCCCCGGGTTGAAGAGTAGCCATCCTGGCGACTCAGGGAGTAGGCACAATGAGGGGGTCGTAGTAGGGCTTGAGACGGTCGACGTGTACGGTCTCGCGTCCTCGACTGCGCAAATCTGGCGATTGTGTTAGGGGCTCGACGATGTAATTCACTGGTGAGGTTGCGTCAATGACACGGTATGGACCATGGTACCGGGCCAGAAGTTTAGAAGACAGGCCAGGAACGTGCGGGGGCACCCAAAGCCACACGAGGGAGCCAGTACGAAACGTAGGCGCTATGTGATGAGCGTCATCATGCCGGGTTTTTTGTAGACCTTGAGCCTCACTTGTCATAGACCGAGCCAACTGACGGCAGTCTTCAGCGTATCTGGTGACTTCCGAAAGCGGGGAGCACTCCGATACATCAGGGCGGTACGGGAGTATGGTGTCGAGTGGGTGGGATGGTTCGCGGCCGTACAACAGAAAGAACGGGGAAAAACCGGTAGTCGCGCGGCCCCCACCGCATCCAGTCGCCTTATCAGCTCCACCTCCTCCGGCATCGCCTCCAGTTTACAGGCCCTCACCTCGCTTTTTCCATCGATCTAATGAGTGGCGCACTCAAGACAATCGTCCTATCTGCTTCGCCTGTGGCATCGCTGGCCACATTGCACGCTTCTGCCGCCGTCGCCCCACACCGGCAAACGCATACTTCGGAACTCCTACCTACGCGCCGCAGCAGGCCACCGCATCTGCATATGAACAGAGGCACTCAGACTCGGATCGCCGCCCATCGACTGCTCGTTTCCCATCCCCTCGTCGCCGGTCGCCATCGCCTATGCGTCGCCGACCACCTCCTGAGGAGGGAAACTAATCAGTGCAGTTCCGGAGGCAAGAACTGCAACTTGTGCGCAATTCCCAAGGCCTCCGTTTTCGCCGAAAAATGTTGTTGATGTCGATGTTGAGGGAGTCGCCACATTAGCGTTAATTGATACCGGGGTCGCCGTTTCTGTGATGGACGTCAAATTTTGTCGGAAACTGAAGAAAGTGACCACATCTCTCTGTGGCATGGTGCTGTCCACGGCTAGCGCGCAACGCATTCATCCCTCGGCTCTGTGTACGGCGCGCGTCGTCATCCAAGATGTTTTGTACGTCGTACAGTTTTTTGTTCTGCCATCTTGCTCTCATGACCTTATCCTCGGTTGGGATTTCTTATCAGGTCATGAAGCTATCATCGATTGTTCCCGTGCCGAAGTGTCCCTTGTGCCAACATATGAATTTCCACCACCCGACCGGTCTCCTCGGCTCTGCAAACTCATCGCTGACGACGACATCACCTTGCCCCCGGAAGCTTCGGTCCCTGTAAGCCTTTCATGTGTGGCGCAACCTGACGCCACGGTGGTGTTTACGCCATCTCCTGTTTTTACTGAACGCAAGGGCATCGTTCTCCCATTTGCCGTTCTTACAATTGCATCTGGTTTAACCGTAATGCTGGTTACCAACCACTGCAACTACCCCATCAGCTTACTTCGTGGTGAAACGATGGGATATGTGCAACCTGTCGACCATATCGATGATATTACTCTTCCCGACGAAACGCCATGTCACATTGCCGCAATAACTCATGCGTCTGAGCCATCAAGTTTGTCAGCCTTCGACAATGCTATTGACGCAGACCTTCCCCTCTCGCATCGCCGCCAACTTGTTGCTCTCCTTAACAAGTTTTGCTCTTCTTTCGACTTTCAAGAACCTGCTTTGGGCCGCACCACGACTATCACTCATACTATTGACACCGGCTCACATTTGCCTCTGCGACAGCGTCCTTACCGCGTTTCCGCCGAAGAGCGCCGCGTCATTACGGAGCAAGTAGACGACATGCTTAAACGTGGAGTGATACAGCCTTCTCAAAGCGCTTGGTCATCACCTGTCGTTCTGGTCAAGAAAAAAGATGGCACCGTTCGATTTTGCGTGGACTATCGCCGCTTAAACAAGATTACGAAGAAAGATGTCTACCCAGCACCTCCACCAAATGTGATGACGTTTATTGAACCGGAGAAGTCGCAACGATGTCGCAACGAAAAATGGCCGTACGACAAGTCTGGCAAAAGGCGGCCCAGGTTCTCGTGCAATCAGAGCATGGGGTTTTTCCTTCTCTTTGGAAGGCGCATACACGTTAGTGCGTATGCTCCACTACAACAGTAGTAACTATGAATTCAGCCTACAAGAACTGTGCCCAACTTCATACGAAACATTTTTAGTGATCCAACTATGCAAGGCGTGTGGCTGCAGCAGCTATGAAAGTACCATTTGTAAACATACTTTTCACACAAATTTTCGACAAATTCACTACACAAATTCAACATCTAATACCTGTGGTAAACCCTCAGACATTTCCCTCTAAATGTTCAAACTCTGACCTACAGTCTTTCATGAACACCAAGAATGATCAGTCTCTTCATTGTCTAGGAAAAAATCCATGACATCCGGTGCTCTCGACACCAATATAATAACAGTTCAGACCTTTCTGTCATATTATAATTAACAGCTGCTAACTAATTTGCCTATTTTAAATTTTGATATGAAAAAGCTACACATCTCTCATTTTTTCTGTAAATGAACTATAAATAAACTTTTGAAAATTACAATTAGGCAAAAATGGAAAGTGAGAATTCTTACCAGTGTCCTGGGCAGTTCATTGGTTTCAAGGCAAATTTCTCCTTCTCAACATCAAAAGAGAACATGTTGTCCTGAAGAAAAATATGACACCACAGTCAACAAACGGCACATAAGAGACAAGCATAGCAGGAACCAGCACCGCAACAACATTACCTGATAGTGCTGCCAGTGTCCAGATGTCTGCCAGAGCTTACTGTTATAGATATTCGGACTGACAACTTCCTGAAATCCTCGTTTTCGGTACTCCGACTGCAAGGCAGAAGTTGAAACATATATCAGAGTTGAAGAGTTCATTGTTGAGTTCATCATAAACAGTTATTCAGGCTGGTGTGTCACGATATGTGCAGCAGTGATTTTGAAGATAAATTTATATGCAGATGGTCGAGGCACTGAACTCACCTTGATCAGATCAACAAGGGTGTTGTAGATGTGTGCTCCATTGGGCAAGAAGAAGCAACTACCAGGGCTTAACTCATGGAAGAAGAAGAGCTCTTGTTCCTATGTAAGAAAGTCATGAGCACACAATGAAGGCTGTCATGCACCACAGATAAACATCAAGGTAGACCCAATCGGGCTTTCTGAAATGCGCACGAACCCGGCCAATCTTGCGATGGTCTCGCTTGGCAGCTTCTTCCTGGAAACGCTGCCACTCCTTAAGCTGCTTGGTGTCGGGAAAAGAGATGCCGTACACTCGCTGTAGGCACTCTGCATCTGCCTTGCCTTCCCAATATGCTGACGAATTCTGGACAAGTCAAGAGAGCGTTTTTTTTTCATAATGTGTAACCACTAAGTGACACTAATGTCGCAGACATCATGAAAACCATGTTGCTCACAACATGAGAAATCGAACAATTGAAGAGTCATCAGGATGCACAAAAGCTGTAGCATTGTAGCTATGCCTGTAAGGCCCAAGCAACGATGTTACTCTCAGTGTACAAAAAAAAATGTTTTTTTGATACACGAACAACTGGCCATATTTTTCCCTTCAACTTTACAACTGCGCGCAGTTGACAATATGACATGTTCAAAAAATATCTTTACTTAAGTCTTATTATTGATAACTTCCTGATTTGAAGGTTAAAATGAATATGACTCACACAGTCAATTCATTTGAATAGTTGATTTAATTAATGCCTGAGGTAATCTGATGATCGAGCTTCCACTTGCATTTGCTGAACTAAAGTGTAACCATATTTTAAATAATTATTCTCGACCCATGGACATGGAACGAGTCCGAATCCGTCACTAAGTAGCACAAATTTCGATAGCCGTAAGTAACCTTGCCACTCGCAAGCAGCAGATGACGCTCTCATGAGGAAAGATTGGGCCAATGGCGAGGCCTGCCAGAGCCACATGATGAATGCAGCCAATCGGAGGCCTCAAAATAAACTTTAAACACTTGCTTTTGCTACGCTTGTTTCAAAATGAAGCACCTAACTTAAGCGAGAAACTTGAAGACTGAGAAATGCCTTTTTCGACAAGCCCAAAGTGGCGACGTAAGGCTAGGCTGTTGTGGAGCTATAATTCTTTAAACATTTCTTTTTCCAATTTCCGCATAGCTTTCAGGAAAGTTATTTTGCGATTGGAAAAAGGGCTACAGAAACCTATATAGAAGTTTCTAAAATTTAATTCTTGTGTTATTTTTTGCGATTTGAGAGCCACAGCCCCCTTAGGCATAAATATGTCCTTTGAACCATGTTTACAACTTGTGATTGTTCCTGCATCGTAACAATGTTTTCAGGAATTCCCTGCATTTTCCTAGAGTTTGTCTTTCAATCATTGAAGAAACATTTAAAAATTACTCGACTCGATTCACACACAATCATTATTATTTGAATTCACTTCACACCCAAAATTCTACTATTCACACAACCCTACTTGATACCTTGAGAGTGACATGACAAAAATTTGAGAGGGTTTTGGGATTAATGAACCAACAGATAGGTGTGCCCCTACAGTGAGCCAAATTTTGAACTGTTATTCCAGCAGTTTCCCTCCCACAGTGAGTGATGGTCAATTTTAGAAAAGTGTCAACTAGAACTTCAGAATACTATTTTACGGGTGCATTATGAACCAAGTATACCTCGAAGATGGTGATAATATATAAATTTATGCAAAGTAACATATACACAAGAACCAGCATTACTTTCAAATGTGTATTGGAGGGCAACTGAACAGTTCTTATGCAGATCGTAAGTGCTGCCTTGGTTTCAGCAGTGTTTTAGACTGGCAACCTTACACACAACCAAATGTACAAACATACACGTGCATATGCATATGTATATACAAGCACAGTTTAGGCAATTACCAGCCAAATGAATGGGATAGCAAATGATCACAATCTTGGGCTTTCACCTTTGTGACCTGAAGTGCCTTGACTTTGCCTGTGTGGCGCACATGAGGTCCTCTGCAAAGATCAATCAGGGGCCCACACCTGTACACAGTTGTGGTGGGCGTCTGCACCTTCTCTTTCAGGATGCGCACCTTGAACGGGTTGTACTGCATGGCACCAGAAACATATTTATAAAACTGTGACATACATTCACCACATTTCTGCAACTAATGATTCCTTGTGCTTATGGGGGGATCAGAAAAGTGATCTTTTGGGATAGTATTTGAAGTTGTAAAAAAAAGAACCTGACTGGCAGTGGCAAAAAACTCTTCATTTCAGAATGTTACCAGAACTACTGCTCGGATAAAATGTTCAAGCAGCCATTGAACACCTTGAATAACAACGAAGGCGTGCCTGTGTAGTCTCCACCCTATTTTCATTAGCCCTTTCTACATGATATAAACTTGACTAATGAGATTTTGCATGATCAGTGTCCTTACAAAAAATAGCCTTTACGTCACAGAAAAAAAATAAAGCCTGAACTTGAGAGACCATTTCTTTTCAGGTTATGGTAGAACATTAGTACAGAATATTATGAATGAATAATAACCAAATAAATGCTAAGAATTGTCCTTATAAAGCAATAAATACTTTAGTAATTAATTATAACATCTTCAGGGACTAGTTGGTACATCAATTAGTATCCTACACTCTGTTTTCTGTCTTATTTCATGTTGCTCTTTTTCTAATTTCACGCAGTTCACAATAATGTACTAGTTTCAGTAATGCTCATAGATAGTTTTTCACCAGCCTTATTAGAGACTGATAAAGAGTTGATAACATTTCTGTGGCTAATGATGGGGAATAACACACAATCAACACATATATAATAAGCTTAAAAAAGGCTGAACACTATAAACAAAAAGATAAGCTTTCACTCTAGACTCGTAAGCTACAGTGACTTGTTAGGTAGCTAATGAAGAAAGAGCATCTTGGGAAGCAATGCTGGATGTGCCACTCATATGGACATGTCCATTTCAGCAGAGTGCATTCTGTTGCTCGAGAAAGCAATGAGCCATGATCACGCTCTTCACTCCTTCAACCCACCAATCCTGCACAGCACACTCCCGCCATAAGAAGAAATAATGTGAACGAAACACTTAAAGAAACTTAAGAAGTCAGTCCTAACCATATGAACATGTCCAAAATACTTGAGAATCCCCAGATGCCTGAGATCACAGAATCAGAGTTCTTGAAGTGCCTCCAAGATTCATGCGGCCAAAAGTAGATCTCTGGAGGCTGCGTTTGTTACAGTAAAGCGTATTTCCTCCATTTTATTTATGTCGAGAGTGGTGAAAGCTCCATGACGTCGAAATGACTTTGCGAGAAAAGAACCAGAAACAGGGGGCCCACTGCTCACAGAGCTGCAGTTGATAAGTGGTGCCTTAAATGGGCCATTCATTAGATGGACACATCGAGAATAGTACACTCAGACCTCATTATAACAAAGTTGCATCTTACACAAAAATAAGTTCGTTATAAGCAAAAATTTGTTATAAAGGTATATTCACAACACTGTTGCAAGACTGTTTTTCATTTACTTCGTTATAACCAATAATTTGTTATATTTGGGTTCATTATATCAAGTTTGAGTAGTTCCTTTGGTGAACAGAAGCACATGCACTATCATAAGAAGTCGACACACTATGGTGCATGCTGCCTAACCTCAAACATGCGCAGCAAGTCTTCCTTGGCCAGCTCCAACCGCTCAAAGGGCTGACGCTCCTTGACAATGTTGCGCATGAGCGTCTCAATCGAAGGGTGGTCCACAGCCGACACGCCCCCTTCATTCAAGTGCATGTCGTAGTAGAAGCCTCCCTCGATGGGTGGTCCATAGCAGAGGCAGCCTCCATAAAGCCTTTCCAGTGCTTCTCCAAGAATGTGTGCACTGGAGTGCCAGAACACCTGCTCACCTGCCAAATATTTGGCAACAAAGAGATAATGGATGTCTGTTTTTTTAACATTTTATGTACACCATTTTAAAGCAGTTATCCCACAGAAAATCAATTTTTATGTGGGCACATTGGTTTACAGTTAAAAGGCGCTCATCGTTGCCTCTCAGAGCTACTATGACCAGAGGCTGCAACAATTTTCGCACAGGCATAGTCTGCACCGCGTGCGGTGCTCCATCTTTGCATGAGCGGTGAACGTTGCAACAATATATTCAAACAGTAGCATTCTACACACAACACACAACATGAAGCATAGCAACAGACAGTGGATGGCAACGAAAGAGCACCTCCAAACTGCACACATTTTGCATGTGAAAAACTGGTTACAGTTCGGGTTAGTGGTGACGCTCGGAGCTTCCACGCACTATCACGTTCCCTTTAAAAGCGGACCGTTGAGCACATCAGGACGGTTAACTAGGTAAGTTAACAGTGCTGTGGTCAGATGTTCCTCTGCTTGTCCACGTTTTCTTCCACCCTGTTTATTCGTTCTAGATATTTTAGATACAACTTAATGCCCATTGCATATGCAATCTTACAAAGTTGCGGCATTAGACATCTCGGAGTTCACTCACCCTCTTTGTCGTCAAACTTTAACAGCTCCAAGGTGCAGTCTTCTTCAAGGGGACGATCCAGATCCCAAAGAACCTTGTTTACCTTCGCAATGACAACATTGTCAGCGAGCCCCTTGCTGCAGTTGAAAAGACAGAAAGTGAGAGATACCTCTTCCGAAAACTAGTATAATTGCATAATATAATGGAAATGATTTGCATGCCCAACTGGGTTGATACAAGTGCCATTCTTCATCTCCTATAAAAAGAAACAAAGAAAGAAAGACACTGCGAATGAGACATCAATAAACATGACAGAATGCTCTTAGCTATGTTTTATCATATTGTATCATGGGACTAATATACCGTCTTAAGCAAGAACTAAACAGGATTCATGAACACATCAGTAAGTATTAGTCTAATCACCACTGAGCATAATTAAAATAAGCTGCAGGTATATCTTGGGATCTTAGTTAAAAGAGTACTGACACTAATTTAAAAATTTTTGGGATTGTTGCTCAAAATAAAAGAACTAGTGTTGAGAAAACTAGAACGACTGCTGCAGTGCTTGGGAATGCATTGAATATATTTTATTACCACTACCTTAAAAATACTCTTTCGGTTTCGATATCAAGGCGGTAGCTTCTCAGTGACTTGTCAGAGCAGTGGGCCGTCGTGTGAAAAGAGTAACTGGCGACGTACTAGTGGTAAATCAGTCATCAGCTCGTAGTGCACGCAAAAAACGATGAGTGAATTGTAGTCCAGTGACACTAATGTGATTTCTGCGATTTTGGCTGCATGCAGGACGCAGAGTTCGCAAATTCAGAAACTGTCCTCACTCGTTGTGATAAAGTCCATTGCAATGAGGCTGCCTTGCAGGTGCTCAGCGATGAAAACATTGAAATTAAAATAAAAATTTTTATACGTGTTGCTTGACTCCAGTGTGTGGTGATTGTTGACACTGCATGTCAGGTAAACGAAAAATGTTGCCTTCGCAATGTCCTCAAATTGTGTCAGTACTCTTAAAGAATCAGACACACCAAAGCTCAAACTCCAGATGTGGCGTTCATTTGATTGCTTGGTAAGCACAAGTTTTTTTAGTGAAGTATAGATTGCATCGTTTATGTAGAAGTTATTCTATATCGAGTGCAAATAGCGTCCAAGGCTCATCGGCACATTCCCAGCCATGAGACATCGACAGTATTTTGATGTGTTCAGCAAGCTCCTAGGCTACGCCTCAGACTCTGAACAATGATGGGCGAGCAGCGACGACGTCGACAATTTTAGTGTTGTCATCGCAGTGCCACATGTGGTACCGTCTGGCGGCGAAGCCTGGCTGCCTAGCAACGGCTTTATTGCTTTGTTTCGCTTGCTTTGTGCAGTGCTTTTATGTGAATCCTGTGTTTTCGTTGTGCCGCTTCGGGTGATTTGTCGTGGAGTGGTGAGCGCGAATGCAATTATTTGAAGCTTCGGTCGTCGCAGACAAGCAACACGCACACAGTTTTCATGTCTTGCCAGCCGGCTCAAGCGTAATTCTTCAGCTGCCTCGTCGATGCGTGGTCCGGTGTCGATTTTAGAATTATTGCTTCAAAAAGAATCGAACCGAAAATGATTTGCCATGCCGCAATTCCATATTCCTCAGTGTTTTGATCATAGCTTGTGGACGCTGATGATGGCGGCAACGACAAGGGTGGTGGTGAATACATGCATATACACGTGCGTGCCGAGCAGACGAAATGTCAATTGAAGATCTCGTCACATTCATGTGGCCATGAGATCAGATGGGGCAGGACTGGAAGAGGTGACCGCTTGGCAACACTAAAATTGGCGAGCTTTGCACCCGTGTTAAATTGGGTTCAATACTGGTCATACTAATCGATATTACACATATCAATTGGTCCTCCTGATGCAATATTAGTACCAAATGGTTACTAAGGAATCAATAACTATGCGCTGACACAAAAAACGTGACATGCATCAATTTAATGTTGCTGCTCACTCACAGAGTGCCTGACTTTTGAAGAAAAGCTGCTTGTACACAACATGCATTCCCTGTTTTCCTGCACCTGACATTTTTTTACAAGAGGTCCATATGCAGTGGACACAATGCACACTAATTTAACTATGTGGTACTAAAATTGATGGAAACACAGAATGGTCAGCACCTTTGAAAGTAACCTAAATCTTTACAATTGCTGTACATATGAAGTTGTAGCATCTTCATACAGCTACAAGTAAGAAACCGGACAGAAGGATAACACTTTGAATTATGACATGACAATTATAGAAAGTGCTTGGGTGTTTCACAGATAGTAAAGCAAGGCTGATTCTCACTTTTTTCCCAGCACACAATTTTTTTTTATTTTTTTCGAACAAATTTATCTTTCTTAGAGAACTGCAGTGTTTTTAACAATGCATACACAGCAACCAGATAGCTGAGATGGGCAAGATATCTACAGAACTCGAGCACTGCCATGTCGTTTAACCTATCTTCAATCCTACCTGATGCCAGCAGCCACCTGGTACGGGGTGGTCTTCCACGACTCCGCAGGCACTTGCTTTCCGTCGGGTAGCGTTACCGTGATGGGGACACTGGTCTTAGCTGCTAGCTCTTGTTCATGACGTGCTTTTAGTTCATCCCACAGACGGATTCGTTCCTCAATGAACGCTGGCCATGGCTTCAGCTGTCACAAGGCGAAGAAACATCATCCAACTGTACATGTCTGGACAATGAAGCTTTATCAGAACGCACCACATCATGCAAACTAACAACCACTTGTGTAAACGAGGTTTTGGCAAAAGCCTACTCCAAATAACGGTTGAGAAACAACACTGTCAGCAATCTCACATGGGTGTCGATTATATATATATATATTATATATATATATATATATATATATATATATATATATATATATATATATATATATATATATATGTGCAGAGCTTAAATGCTAGCTATATACAAGTGTCTTCAACGAATAACCCCTTAAGAACCATTGCAAAATGCATCAAGGCAGAAAAAATTGCACTTCGACACCAACTGCGATAGGTCCTTTATGCCAAGGTACGCATGTTTTAAAAAGCCAGTCTTTCGTTAAAGACCAAATAACCAGATGCGCCTGTCATAGCCGTGATCGCATTGATAAAAGATGACTGCAAACTTACCTCTGTGACTGGAGCCTTTGAATCTGCTTTCGCAGCCACCTGCACAAACAACAGCAAAGTAAACGATCAATAGGCGTACCAAGAATGCCGGTCCACTTCAATACCGGTACGAGGTTGCGTCAACACAGCAACGAGACTTGAGTTGCAACCAAATAAAAGTGCGAGAGGAATAAAGTCACTGTTTAGTTTGTTCGTGCCTTTTCATGGTCGCCTAAACTCATCGCTTCCACTTGGTCCGACACGTTGGCCGCCATGACGCAAAAGAGAAAACATCGTGCGAAACAGGATCCAAAACTTGCCCGACAAGACCACTAGAAGCCGACTCGCGGTCGAGACAAGAAACCACGTAATGTTTCAGTTTCGGTTTCGTGTATCTCATTTCGGCCGTTGTAGACTTTTGTGCAATTTACAGGCGGTTCAATGCAGTTAGTTTTGCTGCATCATTTAATATAACCCATTTTGTGCACTCATAGCAATCTCTCATCGCTTTGACGACCGTAGGAACTTATGTTCCTTTTTTTTGTTACGAGCGCTTGCCAGCCTCCGCAGCTGAAAGAGAAGGAAAGGTGCACTTTCGCGGAGGTGGAGCAGAGGGGGGTAGCGGTGCTTGCGTGCTGGACATCGGGTGAGCCAAACAAAACATCTTCTTCGTGTTATCAGTTGCTTATGGGCATTTTCTTCAGTTATCTAAACCGCGCTTACTGAAAAGCAGTGCGCGTACCGTTTCTCTTGAGCAACACATGAATAGACGAGAAATAGCGTCTACAAAGTCCTTGCGTCGTTTCTGTACTGAGTACCGTCATGACGATTCTCTTAGGTGCATTGTGAATGCGTTACAGGTTTACGACTGTTGGTGCTTTGATGTTGCCGGAATGCGTGTGAATGTTTTGCAGCTTTAGGTTCTCAGAGACTTTCGTTTTATCGGCGCGCACTTTTCATCGAACGATCGCCGAGAAGGCCACGGCCATGCAAAATGCCGGGGATCAGCTGTTAGCTGGTGTTCCATTTGCAGCACAAAGACTGGCTCCAAGCCAAACATTCCCGCACTCCCCCAAAAAAGCAGCAGCCATTTCGCTGACAAGCATCTGTGCAGTGAAATTAGCTCGCGGTGAGATTTAGCGCTTTGTTTACAAGCTTGACAATCAAGTTCGCGCTAAGCTAAAGTACTACCGGCAAGGTTCTGTTTACCGTACAACCAATGCCTTTCTCAAATTTTGGAGTCGTTGATATTACATATCGGTGATGCACATTGAATGTGAATATGCTTTTGTTTCTAAAAAATTCGACTAGTTGGAACATATCATAGCGATAAGCGCACTAAGAGGACAAAAAGGACACTGCAGTGTCGTGCACTTTCTTGTGTTTTCTGTCCTCTTTGTGCGCTGAGCGTGATGGACTTTTGGTTCTATATTTGTTTATTCGTATCCGCGCGTATAGATGGAGTTATTTCGGTTGCACTATCGTGCAATGACCGGACGCAGTACGATTGGCAATGACACTTCATTGTAATGAATGTTGACTGGACCAACTTGTATTAATTTATAAATAAAACCGAGTGTTACACGTGCATAAGTCTCAAAATAACGTTATGACATGATCTACACGTTTACCCGCATGAATAAAGCCATCTACAATTACAGTGTGCCAGATATGCACTCATGTGCATTTGGAGATTGTTCTAACATCAAGCCTTCAAAACATGCTGTCACTGTGTTCATTTCAGCAGGCATACCTTTAGTGAATGTTTCATATTTTAATACAGTTTCCTAGTAAATCTGTAGCATATACGTGTGCAGCATATATGGCATTTAAAAATATGTTTGCCAAATGCTTTTGATGAGATGATTGTAAAATTGAAAATCGAAACTGACAAAGAAAACAAAACAATATGCCCAGAAAAAAAAAAAGAACGACAGGGCAAGTTACACAGGATTATAAGGTGGTCAAGAAAACATGACGATGCATTGGCGATTACGAAGGCTGACGTATGTTTTGAATGTGTAATACACTGCAGTGAATTTGCTTCCACTGAATTATGTTTGCAGCTTGGCATAAAGGACCCTGTAAAACACATCAGGACCTTTGTTCAGACTCCTCAATTTAGCATTGATTTACCATGACACATCTTTTGCAATTAGTATTCAACCAATAATGCAACATAGACAGCATACTCGCCCCACTTTTATGCACTGTTATATCTCATCGTAAATTGCACTGCTGGATAGGCAATTAGGCAGAGACAAAGGCACATATGCTGGAGGAATAGTCCAAACCATGCCAGCCTGCTAACGGGGTGGTAACAGAGTTTATTCAGTGACTGTTTGTTTGTAACAAGGGTGTGCAGGTAATGATCATTGCATGATGCACTGTGACATGCCATAAGAAACCTAAGCTGCTTGAGAGTCTGCATAGACTCCACAATTAGTGACGTAACATGAAATGCATGACACCGCAAAACACCACACTTTCTTTAATACACCACGTATGCGCACACTAGCATATTCTTTTTTCTCTGTGCAGGACACTGGCGCAGTCTCGCAAGAAGCTGGCCCAGCCTAGGCCAGCACCATGGCAGCGCCCACGTGAGCTTGAGCACAGAAACATTCATTGGTCTTGCACATTGCACTGCATGCGCGTGATGTACATTAACATAGTGCCTACATTTCGTGGCTTTGCATTTCTCCGTGACAGAAATCGCACTTGCATCACGAGGACATCCTCTTTTGCTGCTAAGTGCTTAGTGGCTTGTTTTTTGCACTGTGATTTCACTACCATAGTTCTTCCTTTACTTTTCAATCATAGTATAATTGGAAAAAAACACATAGGATTCCCTAATCATCTTGTCTATGATGACATAATCATGCGGTCATTTTAACCCTGCAACCTTACGAGAGAGAAACGATGGAGAAAGGCAGGGAGGTTAACCAAGCTTGGCTCGGTTGGCAGACGCACGGACATATTTTGGTAGCTGATAGTTGGTAGCTGATAAGAGGAATGGTTAAAATTGATAAATTTTTCTTCATGAAATGAGAACTGGGGGCGAATATTTTGTTGCATGCCAGCTCATTTGCGTCCACAGTTATGTGGAATTGGCCTGAAATGCCTCTATCAAAGTGGTTGTAGCTGCATGGCCCTCTTATCCTTACAAATCTTTTATATATTTCTCAGCATAATTTTACAGGCACAAAATGAAGTACATCCCCGTGGTTGTCCTAAACACCGCCAAAAATTTTTCATTCTTGTCTTTGTCAGATGCACAAATCTGCTAGCATCTTTCCAGATACTCTGGTGTCTTAGTTGCGCAAGCACTACTCCTTTCTACTAACTCCTGCCGGCCTTTATGATACTGATGCACAGCGGAAGAGGTTTAGAGGGAGGATTGCACTGCTTGCAGAGATACGGAGAATCTGTGGAGGTTGTGCCAAGTGTTGCCTGTGCTGGGTGGCCCACCCGACTCTTGCGGGATGCTGGGGCCACAAGTTACTTCACTGCTGACTGTGTTAAAAAATGCTGGTGAGTTTTCTCGAGGTTGACGAGGCTTTTGTTTAACTGAGCGCATTCAGGAAAAAAAAAAGATGAGCATAAAAGTACATTAAGTAAAAAAGTAATTTGATCCAGTTTATTTAACTACTCTTATACTATACCAAAGGTGCTGCTCTTAACATGAAAACACCCTTGGTTGACTAGAAAGTGCTAAAAAAAATATAAATGAAAAAGCAGGTGGCCACACTACTTAGCTCACGCCGACTCGCCATAAAATCATAGGTTTCGATGTCATATGTTGCAACTTATGTTATTCTTTATTCATGAAAGTAAATCATGTTTTGTTTTAAGGAAACCAGATAATTAACTTAAGAAGTCACAAATTTCGTTGAGCCAATGGGGCCAAAATAGGGAAAACCACAATGAAATCTGTGGTTTCATCTAGTATGTAGGTGCTTGCTTCCGGCAACAAATCCTAAAAATGGAACTTTGACTTTTACTTTATCATTCAATAATAAACTGATCATCATGAAATTATGATGGTAGGTATTTCAAAAAATAATAACGCACTCCAAACTGATTTAGTGTTTCATTTTAGTGTCTCTTAAAGGGAGCGCATAATGGCGTTGCTGTAGGTTTCAAAAAATCTTTATCGTGAAAACTTTGCTTCAAGTCCAGAGTTGCATCATTGTCACAAACAAAGTGGATCAATCTGGAAAACATAGATGTTCAGTTTCATTTAGACCTATTTACGTCTGCACTGTTATTGGCTGTTCATGCCTCACTGCACTTGATATGGTATCCTCTAGTTGGAGCCTGCGAGATAAGAAGATTCTTCTTAAAAAATTATTTTAAAAGTTTTAAGTAAAATACCATCATTCCAAACTTACTATTGCCATATTTTCTTTTGATTGTGACAGCTGTGATATGTGAAGTCAGAGTGCAGTGTGACATTCACATGTTTCTGAACATAGTATTATTTACATTTTTTCTGAACAGTAAGCAAAAAAATGTTGATAAAAAAGTTATGATATTTAAGGAACAGTTTAACAGTTCAACAAATTTATGATAACATCGACAACAAATAGAACTACCTTTCTCACTCAATCAACATTTTATGCAGTTTCAAATGTAAACAATGTCTGTATGTATGTCACTCTAGTTGCTATAAAAACAAGCAGAAATTTTCTCAAATAGAAAAAATTTTCTGCTAGAAAAATTAAAAGGCAACCAACCTCCTTGAGTATGCTTTTAGCCATTTTGTGCACTCAGCGTCTGGACGCTACTTTCTTCAAAAAGGATGTGCTGCCAAGCGTTTTTTTTTTTTGTGTTGCTTAGTTTTATTGACCCTCACGAAGCTTGTGACGCACTGTGGCAGTTTATAGAATCTTCTAACAAAATGTGCAATTGCAGCTGGGACAGCCTCTGCTGGCTTATTGTTTTGCCGTCCGGAAGCGCAAAAGAGGGATTCGAAGAATATACTATCTGAGTTGTTTTTTCTTTTCTTTAGACCTCTCTCTCTCTCTTTTTGTTAGTGTCTCATTGACTACACACATGGCAACTTGCACAGTTGTTTTGTCCTGTGCTCTTTACTGTTTGAGAAACACTGCACGGCCTTCATTCTGTTGATCCTGCAGAAAGGATGGGAAGCAGTTCCAAAAATAGCACAACTCGGGGTTGCTCCCTACTATTTTTTTTTTTTTTAATCTCTCTTCTTGACCCACTGAGGCGGTGGTCCCCCAGTGTCAGTGCCAAATCTTGTTGCCGTCATAGCATGGTTCTTAATCTAAATGGGAGTTGTTTCGTAACAAGGCAAAGCTCCAAAGTGGGGTGATTGCTCAAGAAGAAAAAAAAAACAAACTGTTTCCCACGTTTGCACGGCTGTCAAGACCTTGGATCTCGGTTTATGTTCGGACGTCAGGCTCATCCTCTTCTGAGACACCGTGTGCAATGGACGCTGGTAGGACGCTTTCTCAGTGTGCTGCTTTCAATTCACTTGCTTCTGTTCAACCTGCCTAAGCCTAGCACTTGAGCTGTGATGTCAGATTTTCTACAACTCACTTAATCATGCATGCATGTTTGTGGTCATCTGTGTGCTGGTTGCTGGCTGTCAATGGAGAAATGACGTGTATTCAAGAGTAGTGTGTGTGCTGATATTGTGTAGATGTCAAATAACTGCTAGTGTTTTATGTAAACATTTGAGATTGTGATGTTTACATTGTTGTGTAGATATACTAACTTTATGTTTGTGCCTCATGATAGACTGCATGCGGAAGAAAGTAACAGCACTGTTGGTGTTATTTTCATTGGCCTTTTGCTGTTTAACATTGTTTAGACTTGTAAACCCAACTGCGCTATCAGAGATCATTTTACATGAATATCTTCTCCAGGTACATTGAATACTGTTTAATGCTCAGACAATAACAATATATGTTATCATTCAAGACCACCAGATTTGTCATAATATTGGTTAAACTTAACATAAATACATAAATGTGCATCAATTTGGCATGTTTACAATGAATCATTTTGTACAGCATTTCACGCAGCTTTCTGCTGTTTAAACCTTGATGAAATAATCAACATTATGTAGTCAGTGCATGCGGTGCAAACCAAGGCTATCTGTATGCAGAGTTCTGTATCACTTATGAAAAGAAACTTAATATCTTTCTAAAACAACATTACAGTTTCTGTATATGCTAATCTGTCTATTATTACAAATGGCAAACCTGCAAATGGCACTTTTCCAGGTCGTGAAACTTGTTTGGTATTCTTTAGTGTTAATTATGTGTCATATTAATAAAGCTTTTGCCATTTCAGAAAGTGTGGTGATGTAGGCTGTGACAAATATGCAACAAATGTTTGACAATCTGTAGCAAATGTTTGACTTCTGTGGAATGCCTGATGACAGTGTTAAATGACAATAAATTATGCCCAACTTGGAGGGAAAAACATGTAAACTGATAAATCATGTGAAGTAAGTTGTTTAGCGAAGTTTACAGAATTATCGATATACTCAAGCTATCTATCCTTTTCCCCCCACTCACATAAAAATCCTCGTGAAAATCTATAGAAATAGCATAAACTTTACAATTATTGCGAATTAATGAATGTAGTATTGCACACAATGGTGTAGAAGTATTTCGTAAAATTTATGTGCAGCAGTGCTTTATTTACATTGAGCTAAGCCTGAAGCTAAAAAATGTCTATTTAGTAAGGGTGTACGAATTTGAAATTTTTAATGTTTTCAATGGTGCTTGTTATTGGATTTGATTTCCCCTTGAGTTTTTTATTCGAAATATTTAAACTTTCTGAAGGCAGATACAGACAACGTCTGATTGGTAATGGCTCCTTCAGATTTTTCTTATGCGTCACCCCATCACATCCTCGTATTGCGGCAAAGTTGTCTTTATGGCCCTGCTGCGGTCACAAAGGTATTGACTCGAGAGAGCACTGATTCCAACATGGACATGATAAATGTGGTGGAAGTACAGGCTTGGTTTATGCCTTTCTGGACCTAAAATTTAGGCTGAAAGTAAAAGAAAGTTTGAAGATGTCTATCTTCCAAAATTTCAGATATTCTTATATATTGATGTCTACGCGGCAGATTTGGAACTCCGGACTTGAAGGGAGCACACCATTCTTCGCCATATCAGTTCGGCTTCCACAGAAGTTTAAGAGGGTAGAGAGGCTGAGGAAATGGAATCTTTGCCTTTCACGCGTAAAGTGTTGCTGGTAACACTAATTGCACCAAACCATGTACAGGAGACTCTCAGTAAACGGAAATCTGTTAAACAGAACTACTGCTTAAACGGACCTATTGCCTCTGCAATGCTTGTTTTCGGGCTCGTATTCTACACTTTTGCATACCTCTCAGTAAACGGAACTCCTGTTAAATGGAACATATTTTCCCGGTCCCTTCAGGTTTTGTTTACTGAGAGTCTACTGTACATAAATAAAATTCAGTCTCTGCATTGTCTTTTTCTTAATAAGACAACTATAAAACACCACCATTGAGTGCTTCATCAACCTAGTCAAAAGAAACACTTTTGTGTTGCTAGCTCATTAGAATATGCTTAGGAATCCTCTCCCTTTATTCTCTAATTTCGCTGGGAAGTACTTTTCAAGTACTTCCCAGCGAGTACTTCCCAGTACTTTCCATGCCACAATTGTTTCTTGTTTGTGTAAATCACGGTGTATCGTTGTGGTGAAATAAAATTTCAACTTCAACTTCAAGTATTCCATAAATATTTGAAAATATTTAATTTGCACTCACACTTCAGTATTCGGATTCGCTTTGCAGCCCATATTTTGCAATTTGCACAGCTATGCTTTATTTGGCAAGAGTTAGTGTTTACTTTTGACAAATTCTAGTATTCTCTTTCTCACATACTTTCTATTTTAAACTCAATCAGGTCATTTTTTAACTGCGTGAATGAAGTCACTCTTGATGAATAATGAGCAAAAGTGTGATGCATTTTGTGCTCTCTCTGTCTGCAGAGAAAAGGAAACAGCTGACACCAACGCAGATTGATGAGTGCATCCCGATGCTCCTCGCACTATTGGAAGTATGTCCTCGGCACAATTTTAAGCATGCATTAGTGCGGCTGCACATGACAACTGTCGTAGCATAGAGGTCATAAAGCTAGCTATGCATCCTCAGAGTATAAGTACGTAGTCAGAAACCATCAAACACTATCTTGAGCTTCAGACAGACATACAAACTGGTGACCTGCATGAAACTTCTAAAGCAAAAAAAAAAAAAAAGCTTAGGAGGTTTGGAAGAATTAGTGGTTCGGCTAATAAGGCACAGAAAATGCAGGCGCATTAAGAACAAAAGGCGTTTGTCTTTTCTGCTTCTCTTGTACCTGTATCTTTTACCTCTATTGTTTATTTTCGATAACTCACAGCACAAGAAGCACACAGGCGAAGTATAGGACAACACGAGCGCTATACTTCGTCTGCCTCGTTCTCGCACTGTGAGTTATCGGAACTATCACGAACTAGCCCAGACTTGCCTTCTTGTTCTATTGTTTATACTATGACCTGCATAGAACTATAGAAAATCTTATCACAAAACCTACTCTTATTAAAATAGTACATGTAAAATATGTCGTTCCTCTAATTCAAGAAGTGTTTTATTGATTTTAATGAAATTATTGCATTTGAAAGATAGTAAGGTAGTCAGTACTATATGCTTTAGAACTGCTTGTGTATGTCGGTCAGTTATAAATTGTGTGCATGTCTTAGCCATTGCATGATTCTATAATCTGAAACAGTTGCACTATATTAAAGTGTGTCATTGGGAACTCTGTTTGCAGCTCTGTTACCGCGTGCCACACATTGCTCTTGACATATATTGCCTGCAAGCTGTGTTTGTTTTCTTCTTAAGTTGGTCATGATGATTAAGGCAGAAATATGCCACGAGAGTTTGAAGACATGTGCCGCGAGGCTCACAGGGCACAACAAAACAGAAAATTTGACAATTGAATGGTAGTCATAATATTTGGTGTAGCAGTGACTACTAGTTAACTCCTACAGATATCAGTTTAAATGCACTGTACATACTAGTATAAGGTAGCTTGGCAGTGTACTTATCTCTGTCATATTGAAGTCCGAGGATGAGTATCTCGTGAGTAGTGATTGGAGATTTCATAGAAAGCAAGGCCCTATGATGGAGAGGCTTTTATCACTTCCTCAAGAGTACTGTGTACATAGAAAAGAAAAAGCTTATTAAAAAAACATATTGTGGGCATTTTTTCTTGATTGCCTAACATGGTGCTTTTGTAGATCAGTGACTAGACAGTTTAGGGCACCTTTAATCCTCTCTTAGGTTTATTTTTTTTTTTTTATTTACAGCAACCTAAAAATTCTTCTGTAGTTCGAGATGTGGTCATGGCCTTAAAAGAAATAGTGAGCGAGCAGAAAGGTAAGCACACTTTTGGTTTTTGACTTTCCGTGGTGAGATGTGATGTTTATTAACAGTAAGACCACACATATAACGTTGCTCATTGCCAGAGCTTGTTTTACTGCAGGGCAGGTTTAATTGAAAGAGCTCATGCAAACATGAGAAGCTCTGAGATTACTTCATTTATTATAATTGGTTTCATACTACTCAGCTTAACTTTTACGGTTTAAGCATTCTGGAATGAGTACCAGGCTTCTCAGTATTGTGTCATCACTAAAATATTTTTTTTATTTTTTCAGCACTTTGGCACCTATTAAACATTTTTCTACACATCTGCAATCAATGTATAGTGAATCAATATCTTTTATACATTTAGATGTTTTACACATTTAATACATTCATATGTCAGACTATATATAGAACAATTTGCACTGGTTACTTAACAATGTTTGTTTTGCTTAGACCAGTTGTACAGGATAATGTTACAGTACAAAATAACTGAACAAAGTTACCTTTGATTAGAGAACAATATAAATCCAGCAGTATGCATGACACTATTTCAAGTATGCAGTGCATACTGTGTATGTACGGAAATGTTTTACCTTTGGAAACAAACTGGGAATGAATAGATGGCAGCATAATTGTATCGTTTGGTAGAATTTTCATCCCCTGTTAACCTTGTTGCATTCGAAAATGCTAACCAACTTATCCTCTATTGACTTAGAGTGTTACATCTTGAACGATTCCAAGCGAAAAAAAAAAGGAGGGAGGAGGGGCAACCATTATCAGTGTTGTCCTTGTTTTATGCCTGCAGTTTTATTTCGAAAGACTTTTTCTCTCAACTTTCTGAAATCATGCCACTGTTATCACGCATATTCCTGTGCACTTAGAAACATGATGGCCATTGTACAAATTTCTCCAGATGCACGTCACAGTTGAGCCGTTTTTCTGGCTATGGTTTACATCTGGTGGAAAACAATAATGTAATGTTGATACTATGGCTGTGAATATTTGGCAGCCCAACGAAATGTTTCACCGCCTAGTGTGAAAACGTTACCATCTAAAAAGTTTAGCGCAGTGGTGAGCAGAGCATGGCAAATTCTACCGGGGCATAGCAGTACAGCTTTGAGAAAGTGTATAAGAAACTAAAGAAAGTAAATCCCAGTAGTGAAGGAAAGGCAGATGATAAATTTTTTTGCAAATACTTGTGTTGCGATGCCCTTGAGTGCTAAACACACTCGACAACTATCGGGTAACGTGTCATTTGGTGCCTCTAATATGTTTTGTGTGAAAATGTGTGAAATTTAAACAATTTGATGCCACGTTTCTGGTGACTCAATTTAAAAAGAATGCAAGTGTTTGAATAAACTACCCTGTATTTTATAGCTACTAATTGCAGTTAGGATTATGTAATTACTTTACCTCAATTCATGACATATTTCTTCATAAAACAAACCACTTACCCACTCAAACTACACTCTATAGCAGGCCCATAGCATAAAACATTTTTTTTTTATGGAATGGAGGGGGCACTTGGTGAAGACTTCAACTATTTTAGAATAACACCTTTTTTTAGTGCTTATTATTGTCAAAACACTCTCCTCCATCAGAAATTTGGGGTTGAGGAGGGGAAGGGGGCTAGGGCACCCCTCGTCCTAACTAAGGGCCTGCCCAATAGTTATCCACTGACTCCAATAATTCTCTAAAATATTTTTTTGATATTTCGAAATTCCTTCTGGGACACCCCATGTCGGGTATCTCATTAAGCACAGCACTGCCTTCACCAGACTGATCGTTTGTAATAAAATATTTCACCCATAAGTACTGCGCAAAAACTTTTGGTAACAAATGTGTTTAATTTACCATTAGCTCAGTGTTCGTTGTCTCTCTTTTGTCGCCAGTGCGCAGAAATGGCAAAAGTAAGTCGCTCGTACTTTATGTTCACACTGTGTCACAATAGGATAATGTATTATAGCATTATTCCTGGACACTTTTGGCAATGTGTGCATCCAGGTCGAACCCGCCTACTGGTCGAGCAAAGTGCAACTCAGGTGCTGCTACCGGTGCTTCTGAAGCATCGTGACATAGGGCTCTCCGAACCGGCGTTTCTGGTGGCCCTCTGCAACCTACTCTCTCGTCTAGCCGTGCAAGGTGACCAACTCAAAATGAGCAGAAAAAGACGTAGTGCGTTAAAAGTGCACGGTAATAAAAAAATATGCTTAATATGCAGCCTGTGTTTGATGCTTGCATGCAGTGATTTGTCTTAGTGTTCCTTTGTTTTCCCTGTAGGTCACTACTTGAATCAACAGAGAACTTATGTTGCGTTTATTCTTACTTTCAATTAGATCTCAAACTATTATAAAAAAAAGAACAATAAGATGTCTGATTACTGTATGATCGGTGGCTTGCTAAGAACTATAACAACCAGCATCCTTTGCTTCACCGGTGATACTGTGAAACTCACCGTAATGTCTATACATCGCTTAAACTGTGGTCCAATGAATGTCATTGACTTTTGACCGAACGCTAATTACATTACTTTCCAGATCAAAAGTTTTGCCTAAGGGCTCGTGTCCTGGGTGCATACAAAGTTCCCTTGGAAGAGCTTCGAAAATTCAAAGTCAAAATCAAGGTCAAGGTTGCCCTCTTGCTGCTGCTGAAAAGACTGCTTGGCAACAGTTGAGTACTTTAGCATGAGTACCTGTGACAATTCAGTCTTATTATACTGCTTATCGAAGAATAAAAACTTTTAGATGTCTTGTAAGCATATGACGTGAGTTATTGCTTACATGATTTCATAAGTATTGAAAAAATTACTATAACAACTAGTTCATGACATTCTCCTCACATCCGGGCGGTTGGCAGTACTCTTATTACTATTTAAAATCACCTTATTAGCCTTTTAAAGTCATTATTTTAGACCAGACGTGAAGCATTTATAATATTATTGCTGTGTTCAGGTAAACGTGGAGAACTTTATGAAGTATCACCTGCAGTAACCATTTTATATGGTGGTCTAGTGATAACGGCATTTGGCTGCTGGCCCAACAGATACGGATTCGCTGTGCTATAGGCTCGTGTACTGTGTGTTTCTAGTGCACGTTCGAAAACCCCAGGTGGTAGATATTATCTTAAACCTTTCAATATGGTATCTGTCTTAGCCCAAGCCACTTTGGGACATTAAACCACATGAAAGAAACCATAAACTATCACTTCAGTAAAAAGAAAAGTCAGTTTCGCCGCAATAAAGGGCAAAGCAATGGATGTGATAGCAACAGCTTAGAATATAATGCTGAAAACAGCAAGCAGATCGAAACGTGCAGCGCGCTGTTCACGCACAAATGACGCACGAAAACAGTGTACACAAAATGAGAGCAAACTAAGAATATTTACCGCTTGACAGTTAAAGCGCTGTTTCAACAAACAAATTATACACGAAACGTAATAACACGTACAGATATGAGTGCGAACTAACAAGTGTCCCAGTTGTTACTTTGCTGTGTTTGAAAAGCACACTCTTTTCCCAAACGGCACTTGTCCAGAGAGTGCCCAGCAACTAAATGCAATTGTTCCGATCAAAGTCGAATGCACACGATTCTCCCCACTGAAGAATAAGCGCGCATTCAAAAGAGCATCTACCCCCCCCCCCCCCATTTGCAGGGCAAAGTACGCGTGGGAGATAAGCACGTGTTGGTGCATCGTGACGAGCTCGGCGCCGAAAGCGGGCAGCTTTTTTTCTTCTTTCTTAAGTTTTCATATATTGCCACCTGGTGTTCTGTGCCAGTGAACAGTGGGTCAGTTCTGTGCCGGTGAACGAGGAAGACGAAAACGAGCAACCCGTGCCAGCGGAGACGTCCTTCTTTGTCTCTGAGATTTTGGACAGTCGCAACCCTTTGTACGTTCGTTCGAGCTCTTAGCGCATGACAACTGGTGGAGGTGCTGGGTACCCTATGCACCGAACCCCTCCCAGTACAAGAAGATCCAGCCCCATACCGGTGGTTACGCCTGTTCACCGTGCTAGCCGCAGGATCCGTGGACTGGACCCTGAGTTTGGACTTCTCTCAGAAGAGATGACGGCCCCAACTATTCCAGGCAGCGCCGTCCCAAGCGGCTCCAACACAGCCGGTATGGAAGGCGCAACGCCATTGCAATATACACTGTTCAAACCACGAACGCGGAATCCCTTTCATGGTGCTGTCCATGAGGATGTTGAAGATTGGCTAGTCCACTATGACTTCGTAGCCGCTCATAACATGTAGGATGACACAGACAAGCTCCGACATGTCTACTTCAGTTTGAATGACGGGGCACGTGTTTGGTATGAAAACCGGGCAGGTGTGTTCACGTCATGGGTGGACTTCAAACGCCGGCTTCTCGAAACGTATGCAAGTCCCGATCGCCGAGAGCGAGCTGAACGTGAACTCCAGTGCCGTATGCAAATGCCAAATGAAGGCGTAGCAATGTATGTTGAGGACATGACGCATCTTTTTTGAAGAGCCGACCCTCACATGCCGGAAGAGAAGAAGGTGCGATACCTGATGCGTGGAGTGAAGGAGTAGTTGTTCGGTGGTCTTGTACGCAGCCCCCCCAAGACTACGTCAGAGTTTCTTGCTGAAGCCGTCCTAATTGAAAGCACGCTTCGGCAACGGACCCAGACGTACGAGCGACAAGTGAACTTTGCTTCTGCTACGGACTACATGGGTGGTTTTGGGGCCCACGTCGACTTCTTCCGAGAGCCCATACGCTCTGTAATTCGCGAAGAACTGCAGAAGTTATCTGTACCCTCGGCGGCCACTGTCAGTTCTTTGTCCGGCATCGTCCGAGATGAAGTTCAGCAGGCACTACGAGAACCGTCCTGTCAGACAGAGCCGCGGCCCCTAAATGACTTCCCTCGCATGTCGTATGCGCAAACTCTGCTCCAGCCAGCACCACCTTTGCCTCCGCTTCGCACCGCGGCCCCTGCCGTGCTTCCGGCAGATCAAACTCTGCGCCCACCTGCACCACATTTCATTCCGCCTTATACCACAGCCCCAGCCAGCTCTTCAGGCAGTCCAAGCGGGCCCGTACCTCACTGACCGCCGACCGATTCCGGGAAAATCGAACGTGTGGCGGGCCCCCGATCGACGTCCCCTTCGCTGTGACTGTGGTGAACCTGGGCACATCTACCGACAGTGCACTTATCGAGAGCTGGGACTTCGTGGTTTTTCGGCCAACTCCCCACCTCCTACGTTCGGCCAGCGGCCTTTGGAAATCGCTGACTGCGTTGCTCAGCAGTGCGGATTGACATCTCGGCACCACTCACGCTCTCCATCACCGCGGCAGTTCCCGCCGAATCATCGCACCTATGCGGGCATAGCGCAGGGCCAATCACCTAGCCCACATCGGGAAAACTAACCTCAGCGACCTTCAGGGACAAGGCCGCTCAGACTGGTCATGCTCAAGACCCCCTATCGACGCGGACTGAAGATACCGACGATACATCGACAACGACACCACCGGCTGATTGCGGAAGAGTTTCCTTAGATATTCCTGTTCTGCTAGATGGTTGCGAAGTCAGCGCCTTAGTGGACACTGGTGCGGACTATTCCATAATTACCGAAAAGCTGGCCGCCCTTCTCAAGAAAGTAACGACGGCTTGGAACCGAACGCCGATTCGTACAGCTGGCGGGCATATCGTCACGCCACTCGGTATGTGCACGGCAAGACTGCAAGTCCGCGGTTGTACATTTGTTGCCAGTTTGAGCGTTCTCCGGCAGTGTTCTCGAGACCTGATTATTGGCATGGATTTTCTCAGGGATCATGGTGCTATAATTGACATTTGACGACGTCTAGTCACTTTCGCGACCACAAACGCCACAACAGTTTACGCCGACCCCAGCCACTCCCGAGTGCTCTTCGCGTCGTCGACGACGCTGTCATGTTACCACCCCGTGCAACTGTTGTGGTTCAGGTGGCGTGGGACGGAGTGATGCACGGTGAAGTAGTCGTAGAAAGCAATCACTCGCTTTTGCTGTCTCAGGGTGTCTGCGTAGCGAGAAGCCTTGTCGACCTTCGTGATGATCACTGCAACGTTTTTGTCACAAACTTCAGCTACGAGCACCGGCACCTTTTTCCTGGAACTGTCATCGCCTACACCGACCCCGTCGCCAATGTCACAGAGTGTTTTGCTTCAGAGTCCATCGGCACTGCTGAAGCGCCTTTCCGCAGCGTCGACATCAATCCAACGCTTTCTGAAGCGAACAAGCAGCGTTTGAGCGAGCTGTTGCTGGAGTTCCACACATGCTTTGCACGTTCTTCAAAGATACGTCGAACACCGATAACGAAACACCGTATTATCACCTACGACGACGCGCATCCCATACGGCAGCAGCCTTACCGTGTTTCGCCAAACGAACGGCACGCGATTCAAAGGCGAGTTAAGGAAATGCTTTAGGATGGCGTGATACAGGCTTTAAGCAGCCCTTGGTCATCACCAGTCGTTCTTGTGAAAAAGAAAGATGGCGCGCTTCGCTTTTGTGTCGACTACAGAAAGTTGAACAATGTCACAAAGAAAGACGTGTACCCGTTGCCCAGAGTCTATGATTCTCTGGACAAGCTGCGACGCGCAAAGTATTTTTCGTCCGTCGACTTGAAGAGCGGTTATTGGCAAATAGAGGTCGATGAACGTGACCGGGAAAAGACCGCTTTTGTAACGCCGGATGGCCTTTATGAATTCAAAGTGCTCCCTGTCGGCCTTTGTTCCGCTCCAGCCACATTCCAGCGAATGATGAACACCATCCTGGCAGACCGCAAGTGGAAAAGCTGTCTCGTCTACCTCGATGATGTTGTTGTGTTTTCAGAAACGTTTGACGAGCATCTTCGTCGCCTTCGGAATGTGCTCGAAGCCATTAGATCGGCCGATCTCACACTCAAACCTGAGAAATGTCATTTCGGCTACGAAGAATTAAAGTTTCTTGGTCATGTCGTGAGCGCCGTTGGTGTTCGGCCTGATCCTGACAAAACTGCTGCCGTCACCGCTTTTCCACCTCCAACTGACAAGAAAAGTCTTCGACGATTTCTGGGTCTGTGCGCTTGTTACCGGCGCTTTATTGAAAATTTTTCTAACATTGCAGAGCCACTATTACGCCTCACGCGTGATGACACACCATTTGTCTGGGCTGACGAACAGCAGACTGCCTTTGCGGAACTACAGCACCGGCTCTCTTCCCCTCCCGTGCTCAGCCACTTCGATGAAGATGCTGACACTGAAGTACGCACTGATGCCAGCAATATTGGTCTTGGAGCTATTTTAGTACAAAGACAAGATGGCATTGAACGGGTGATAGCCTACGCAAGTCGCACACTGTCTCGCGCAGAATCTAACTATTCCACATCAGAGAAAGAATGTCTCGCGGTCATTTGGGCAATTACAAAGTTTAGGCCATATCTCTATGGAAGACCATTTAAAGTGGTGACTGACCATCATGCTTTGTGCTGGTTGACCAATCTACGAGACCCTTCAGGAAGATTAGCACGATGGAGTCTGCGCCTTCAGGAATTTGATGTCACCATCGTGTACAAGTCAGGCAAAAAGCACGAAGACGCCGACACGCTATCACGAGCACCTCTTCAATCCGTCAGTACTAGCGCAGAAGAGGACGCCGCCTTCGTGGCAACTGTCAGTGGACCGGATCTGATGTCGCATCAACGAAATGACGCCAGTCTAAGAATGATTATAGATCATTTAGAAGGTGGCACTGCGCCCATTCCTCGTCCAATGTTGCGAACGTTGCCATCATTTTGCCTACGAAATGGCGTCTTATACAAAAGGAACGCCGGTGCTGGTGACAGATCTCGTCTTCTCGTCGTGCCTGAAGCCCTCCGCGATGACGTCTTATTAGCTTGCCATGACGAGCCCACATCTGGCCATCTGGGCTACTCGAGAACTATGGATCGTGTGCGACAACTCTACTACTGGCCTAAAATGTCTGCCTGTGTCAAAGGCTACGTGAAGGGATGCCGTGAATGCCAGCATCGCAAGACACCACATTTAAAGCCTGCAGGCCGTCTACAACCGATCGATCCACCACGTACACCGTTTGAACAAGTGGGGATGGACCTTTTAGGCCCGTTTCCTTTGTCTTCTTCTGGCAACAAATGGATTATCGTCGCAACCGATTATTTGACGCGTTACGCTGAGACGAAGGCGTTGCCACGAGAGACCGCATCTGAAGTTGCCAGTTTTTTTATGCATCAAATTGTGCTACGGCATGGCGCCCCGTCACATGTCATCACTGATCGAGGGACATCATTCACAGCAAAACTCTTGGATGATATCTTCAGGTTGAGTTACACAACCCATCGAAAGACCACTGCGTATCACCCTCAGAGTAATGATTTAACAGAAAGGCTAAACAAAACGCTAGCTGACATGATCTCTATGTACGTGGATGTGCAGCACAAAACGTGGGACGACATCCTGCCGTACGTAACACTGCAACGCAGGAAATTACACGCTTTACACCATTCCGGCTTGTTTATGGTCGAGATGTTAGAACTATGCTAGACGCCATGAATCCATATGAGGACGTCGACAAGCTCGACCAATTAGCCCCCGACATCAATGAGTACATTCAGCGCGCTGAGGAAGCACGTCAACTGGCCCGTGTGCACATCCGAACTCAACAGTGCGCAGATGCACGGCGGTACAACACCCACCATCGAGAAGTTAATTATGAACCTGGTGACCAAGTTTGGGTTTGGACACCCATTAGGCTGCGAGGTCTCAGTGAGAAACTCTTGAGGAAGTACTTTGGACCTTACAAAGTACTCAGACGTGTGAGCGACGTAAACTATGAAGTGGTTCCAGACGGAGGCTCACCATCATCCCAGCGCAGGTTACTACGCCCAGAGACTGTACACGTAGTCCGCCTAAAACCATACTTTACGCGGTGATGCGAATTTTCTTCTTGTGCCAGTGAACTCTTCATGTGAACAGTGAATGCCGTTTATTTCCGATTGCCGGGCCCAGGACGCATTTTCTCTCGTGCACTAATTTGTTTAATGTTTCTTTATGTTACCTACTTCGACCCACTGCTGTGCGCATTTTTGTTTGAGCATCGGGTCGATGCTCTCTTGGGAGGAGGAGTAATGCCACCTGGTGTTCTGTGCCAGCGAACAGTGGGTCAGTTCTGTGCCAGCGGAGACGTCCTTCTTTGTCTCTGAGATTTTGGACAGTCGCGTCCCTTTGTACGTTCGTTCGAGCTCTTAGCGCGTGACAATATATAGATACTTATACATATACGGTGAATGACGGCGACGGCATAAAACCAGCCGTGACTGCCGATATAATTGTTATTGCAATAAAACTTTCAGCAATACATTGTGCATTACAGTGGTTCTTGTTGGACTTTACGTTAAAGCTATCCAGCCATGTTCGTATTACAATACTATCTCCACAACAGTAGTAATTTATGGCACAATGGACCATTAACTTGGACCCATTGAACTTTGCTTTTTGGTTAATTTGATCTGAGCCAAATGTGCAGCTGGTACCACATTCATTTCATGGCACCAAACTTTCTTTATTCCGGCTTTAAACTTAGCCTTCACTGGATGATTTGAACATGTCTGGTCATTTTATGCCCATCACATTGCAGTGGTGACCAGAGTAATAGTTTCAGTGACAGCAGCATCCCATTTTGCAGTGTTTTAATTGTAAATGCATCAAAAACTCATCAACTCCTGCCAAAGTTTTCTGTTTCTTTTTTGCTTGAGAAAGAAGGTCTTAATGCAAAAAGACAGATTGCAATTAGTTATTGCAGCATTTATCCAGTTCTAACACCCGACACGGTAGCTTGGCAGGTAGAGTGTCACACTGCTAAGCTTGAGGACATTGGTTTGTTTTACGACCACAACAGCTGCATTTTAAGGTGGGAAATAGGTTACCTCTGTTTTGAATGCATGCAACAGAATCTCAGACTGTCTGGTTATTTATCTAGTACACCCATCACATTGTGCCTTCTAATCATGTGATTGCTTTGTCATCTAAATAATCATAATTTAATTATTAATTAATGCAGTTCTTATGCATGCTGTATTTCCTCAAGATATTGTTGGGACCTCTGTTTATACTTTCGTGGCATTTTATAGATCACCAAAGATTTTCTGGAAAGGTGCCCTGTTTACCCACTCAGATTAAGAGCCTATCTATTTATTGTATCTCAGTATTTTGCTTTGGCATCGCATCTAATCGGTACACATCACTGACTGTAGAAATATACTCAAACTTGAGTTTGTCCACTATTGCCTTTTGTTTCCATAGAGCAGAATGCAACTCTTTTGGGTAACGAAGGCCTGCTGGCGGAGCTATTCTACTTGCTTGAGGGCAACAGCACCGTCTGCCTCCAGACTACCCTAACCCTGGAGTGCTTGTTCCTGGCCACCTGCTCCAGTGAGTACATCACAGTTGCACTAGTCAGCGCCTGATGTGCACTATCGTGGGCAAGTGAAATTCAAACGGAAAAACTTGAGCGAGAATTGCATACATGTTGAGGTCCTGTTAGTGTGCATGATCAGAGCACGAATCAAGGAGACATTATTATTTGTGGGAGGCAACAAGAAGGACCTTCATATTAAGTTTGTTAGTGGAATTGTGGCACTTCTTGTATCGTTTGTTTTGTTTATCTTGTTTTTGTTTCATTTGTCCATGCCAGTGAGCATTAGTGGGCAGTGTTCACGTGCCTGTATTTTACTGTTCACTAGTGAGAAACTATTCCCTCAACACTGTTGCTGTGCATTTTGTGCAGAGCGCAATGTGCTTGAGCTGGTTCAGAGGGGCCACCTAAAGCATCTGCTGGCCATCGTAGAGACATGCAACGTGAAGGCTCTTCGTGGAGATGCGGGTCTCAACCGCAAGGAAAGACTTCTCTATCGCATCATGCGGGCAGACCTGGAGTGTCTTATCAACATTGCCAGGCATAGTATGTGCATAACACATCATATGTGAACTACTTATATTCTGTCTAGTATTGAAAGTGAATGTCTCTGTTCTGCTTGTCTCCATGAGATGTAGTGTGATTCTCACTTACAAAGTATTCACATGAAAGAGAAGTGAATTCTGTCATGTGAACACTTTTGCTTCCATGAGAATGAATCACTCTTAGCAGTGCTAACCATTTGATGAAATCGCCCAGCTATAGTGAGGTGCCATGAATAATTAAAACCTTGTGTTAATGCTTGGTCACCACTAGACTTCCAAGCATGCACAGTAGTGGCAGTTTTGTGGCTGTTTATTAATATATTGACGCGTGTCTACATGTGTACGAAAACAATGATGGGGGATTTCGTGGACACGAGGTAGTAAGCCTCTAGCTTCACTCGAGACCGAAGAAGACGATCTTGTGGCTCAGCTGTTAAAAACACGCTGCTTTCGTTGCCTCAAGGTGTACCTGTGTTTTATTCTCGTTGTACCGCGACACTTGTGGAGATGCTGGGCCGCAACCCTGTCTGATGCTCCACACGCCCGCTGGGAGCCGTTCATCGTGTCCAGAATCATTGTCACTGGTAGCAACTCCGGTGCATCGCTCCAGTAGACGGTTGCGAGGCCTCGCACCAGAGCTCACTCACTCGCCGGAACCTCCTAGGCACCGTACACCTCAACCAATGGCCAACGCAAGCCCACAACAGGTACCCCAAGGCAGCTTTCCGACGCTCCCATCTCAGGTGACCATTTTTCAACCCCTCGTTCTCGATCGCTTTAGTGGCGGTGCCCATGAAGACGTCCACGACTGGCTTGACAACTACGAGCGTGTTGCCAAGGTCAATCAGTGGTCGGAACAGGAAAAGCTTTCTCGCGTCTATTTCTACCTTGATGACGGTGCTCGTACTTGGTATGAAAATAGAGAAGGCAATTTGTCAGCTTGGCCTGACTTTCGACAGAAGTTCGTCGATACCTTCGCCAATGTCGATAGAAGGGACCGTGCGCAGCAGTTATTGGACATAAGGGTTCAAAAACCTAACGAAACCGTTGCAATGTTTGCCGAGGACATGACTCGTCTCTTTCATCGAGCTAACCCGCACATGACGGGAGATAAAAAGTTGAGTTACCTCATGCGCGGTGTGAAGGAACAGCTTTTCGCCGGGCTACTGCGCAACCCTCCAAGTACCGTGGTTGACTTCATTAAGGAAGCTACGGCTATCGAGCGGGCCCTTCATCAACGCTGCAGGCAATATGACCGCATGTCCTGCAATGTCCCCTTCAACCCTAACGCCCTGACGTCTGAGAATAAGACCTCCTTACGAGAGTTGATTAGGGAGATAGTTCGCGAAGAACTGCAGAGGTTACGGACTCCGGTTGCTGAAAATTCCATCGCGTCGATCGCTGAAGTCGTACGCGACGAAATTCACCAAGCATTGTCTATGACTGGTCCTGATACTCAGCAGCGTCCTATGAGCTACGCTGCCCCTCTTTGACGTCCACCACCCGCTATGCCGACGCAGTACCACCAGGTGCCCATGGTCCCTTGGTCTCGGCCGCAAGAGCAGACACTGCATCAACCACCCACGCTACGGTCATACAACCAGCCGTCCACAGCCACCCCATGGGCAGCGATGCCAGGGGAGATGCTCAGACGTCCACCGACCCGGAAAACCGATGCATGGAGCACAGTGGACAGACGTCCACTATGCTTTCACTTCAGAGGTGCAGGCCATATTGCCCGACATTGCTGGCATCGAGGTGATTCATTCCGTCCTCATCGACCTTGGTTTGACGGTCGACGTGCCAACGACGAATATACACCACGCCGTGACGACACCCCTTTCTATAGAGCCCGTTCTCACTTTGAGGATTGCTGTACCACTGCAGAGGAGGCAATGCCTACTCACCCTCCTTGTCTGAGACGTCAATCCCGCTCTCCGTCCCCCGCGCGTTCACCTTTGTCGCACCGCCGCACATACGCGGACCTTAATACAAGAAGGTCACCTAGCCCGCGATGGGGAAACTGAGGGCGGCGACCTCTGGGGGCAAGGTTGGAGGCCATAAATATGACAAGAAGCCCCCACAGCATGACATCGTACAGCCGATAAGCCGTGAAAACGATGAAATTGTGAGTGCCGACCTTAGTGTTCTTCTTTACGGTCAGAAAGTGACAGCTTTAGTCGACACTGGTGCCAACTTCTCTATTATCAGTCAGGACCTCGCCGACAGCCTCAGAAAAGTGAAGACGCCGTGGACGGGCCCTCACATAAGAACAGCAGGGGGCCAGTTACTGATGTCCTCTGGAAGATGTACCGCAAGAGTTAACATCAGAGGTTCTCCTTTCACTGCATCATTCGTCGTTATTGCCGCATGCTGCAGAGATGTAATTCTTGGCATGGATTTTTTATGGGAATATGGCGCCGTCATCAACATACCAGAGAGCTTGATTAGGTTTTGCAACAGTTCGGGCTTACCCAATTTTCCAGAGGCGCGACTAAACCGACTGCGTATTACTGACGTCGACGTGGTTCTCTCTCCTAGGTCATGCACGCTTGTTTCAGTGGCCGCCGCTGCTCAGTTTGACGCCGAAGGAGTTGCAGACCAAATAAGCTCGCTGCTCTTCACCCACGGTATTTCCGTCGCACGAAGTATCGTCAGAGTTGCTGCTGGACGCACGGACTTGCTGCTGACCAATTTCAGTGCTGAGCGCCGGCACCTTCCTAAAGGCACGGCTGTCGCTTACTTCGACGATGTCGTAGATGCCGAAGGCTGCTTGGCGGTAGTCGATGAGTCGCTAAATCTTGATTCAGCGCCTGTTCTGGACGTTAGCACTACTTTGCCGAAAGACGACCGACGCAGACTCCTTGAGCTACTGGCCTAATTTCAAGACTGCTTTTCGACAACATCAAAAGTTGGCCGCACGCCTCTAACCAGGCATCGTATAATTACCGACGGAACGGCGATACCTGTTCACCAAAACCCTTATCGCGTGGCTCCAAAAGAACGTGAAGCGATACAACAGCAGGTAGACAGAATGCTTGAAGATGACGTCATTCAGCATTCACAGAGCCCCTGGGCGTCACCTGTAGTCCTCGTTAAGAAAAGGGACGACAGCCTGCGCTTCTGTGTGGATTACCGCAAGCTAAATCAGGTGACCAAGAAAGACTCATATCCCCTACCGCGTATAGACGACTCTCTCGACAGACTTCGACACGTTCTCTTCAATGGATTTGCGGAGTGGATATTAGCAAATCGAGGTGGACCCGAGAGACCGTGAGAAGACCGCTTTTGTAACACCAGATGGGTTGTATGAATTTAAGGTCTTGCCATTCGGTTTGTGCTCAGCGCCTGCTACCTTTCAAAGACTCATGGATACTGTGATTTCTGGGTTAAAGTAGAAAACATGCTTACTATATCTGGACTATAGTGTTCTCTATAGTGTTCTCCGCAACGTGAGCACCTTGAGAGACTTGAGGTGGTCTTACGAGCCATACAGTCCGCGGGCCTGACATTGAAGCCTGAGAAGCGCCACTTTTGCTACGAAGAGCTGCAATTTCTTGGTCATGTCATCAGTTATGCAGGTGTTCGTCCCAATCCTGAAAAAATCGCAGCCATAGAACAGTTCCCTTTGCCGACAGATAAAAAGGCTGTCAGGCGCTTTCTCGGCCTCTGTGCATATTATCGACGATTTATCGCAGACTTCGCACGCATAGCATCACCGTTAACTCGCCTCACGAGAGAAGACGTCACCTTTGAGTGGAATAACGAAAAGGAAGCTGCTTTTAACGATCTTCGCCAGCGACTACAAACACCCCCAGTCCTTGCCCACTTCGACGAGAGAGCCCCTACGATGCTTCACACCGATGCTAGCAATGTTGGTCTGGGAGCTGTGCTTGTGCAGCAGCAAGAGGGCACAGAAAGGGTAATCGCTTACGCAAGCAGAACATTAACATGCGCTGAGGCTAATTACTCCACGACTGAGAAGGAATGTCTCGCCGTGGTATGGGTGGCTACAAAATTTTGTCCGTATTTATATGGCCGCCCCTTCAAAGTAATTAGCGACCACCACTCACTGTGTTAGTTAACTAACCTTAAAGACCCTACCGGCCGATTAGCGCGTTGGAGTCTCAGGCTGCACGAATTCGTAATGGCAGTCGTACATAAGTCAGGGAAGCGACATATGGATGCCGACTGTTTGTCCCGTTCACCCATTGAGTCGGCAACCGTACTCGAGGAGGAAGAAACATCATTTCTCGGTGTCCTCGACACGACCACCATTGCGCAGCAACAACGAGACGACGCTGAGTTGCTTCGCTTAATTACCTACTTGAATGGCAGATCTCGGAAGGCCCCAAGAGTTTTCGCAAGAGCGTTGTCATCATTTTGTTTACGTGGCGGAGTACTCTATAAAAAAAAGTTTTCGTCGACGGGATCTGCCTATCTACTCGTCATCCCAGCAGCCCTTCGCACCGAAGTACTGAAAGCATGCATGCCACAACAAGGTTACCTCTGGCCACTTGGGTTACACAAGAACGTTGGCCAGGGTACAGCAAAGATATTACTGGCCAAGACTAACCACAGCCGTGAAGCACCACGTTCGTACCTGTCTCTACTGCCAGCGACGCAAGTCACCACCAACTAAACCAGCTGGCCTCCTGCAACCCATACAGGTCCCAATGACTCCATTCCACCAGATTGGCATGGACATTTTGGGTCCACTCCCTACTTCTACTGCAGGCAACCGATGGGTTATCGTCGCCACGGATTATCTGACCCATTATGCCGAGACAGGCTATCCAAAAAGGTACAGCAGCGAAGGTGGCAAGATTTTTCATTGAGAATATTGTACTGAGGCATGGTGCACCAACCGTCGTAATCACAGACAGAGGTACCGCATTTACGGCAGCTCTTTTGGACCATGTCTTGATGCTGAGTGGAACAAAAAATCGTAAGACCACAGCCTACCACCCACAAACGAACAGGCTGACAGAGCGTCTAAACAAAACCATTGAAGACATGCTTTTAATGTACGTAGACGTTGAACACAAAAATTGGGATCAAATCTTGCCATACATAATGTTTGCATACAACACGGCCAAGCAAGAAACGACCCGCATGACACCGTTCAGCCTCGTTTATGGTCGGGAAGTACGAACCATGTTAGATGCAATGTTACCGCACGAAGGCGACGACACTGTCCCGGATGCCGACACGTTTACTGAACGCGCGGAAGAAGCTAGGCAATTTGCACGTTTACGGATCAGCCAGCAGCAAGAGTACGATGCAGGTTGTTACAATGCTCACCGCAGAACAGTCGTCTACCAAACTGGCGACAAAGTATGGGTTTGGACGCCAGTACAGAAACGAGGACTTTCCAAAAAGCTCTTAAGAAGATACTTTGGACCGTACCTAGTGCTGCGAAGACTGAGTGACGTCACTTAGGAAGTTGTTCCCGACAGTTCGCATAGTACAAGGCGTCACCAGCACCATCCTGAACTCGTTCACGTAGTCCGCATGAAGCCTTACATCAGCGAGTGATGTGAGGCTTTCCTTGAGAAAAAAAAAACTAAACTTCATTACAGACTTTGCATCGGGGCGATGCTCTTTGAGAGGGAGGCAAATGACGCGCGTCTACATGTGGACGAAAACAATGATGTGGGATTTAGTGGACACGAGGTAGTGGGCCTCTAGCTTCACTCGAGACCGAAGAAGACGATCTTGTGGCTCAGCTGTTAAAAACACGCTGCTTTCGTTGCCTCAAGGTGTACCTGTGTTTTATTCGCGTTGTACCGCGACAATATGACACCTGCCATATATTTTGATGCTTATCATTGAACAATATGCTGCTTGACAGAATGGCAACTAGTCTTATCTGTATTGGGTAGATCTGTCATTTAGTATCCCTCTGCTAAGTTATGGCTAGAGCATAGCTGAAGTTTGGAATATGTAGGGAACAGCCTGAAATAGAATGCTTTCAGCTTCATTTTCTGCTCGTGCTCTCTTTGTCTTCTAGGGTTTTTTTATCTTTAGCTTTTCGTTATGGTAAGAAAACAAGAGAAAAAAGTGTTCATAAGGCCAGTAGTCCTTGCTGGACCAAAATAGACTTGCCCAAAACAATTAATGAAAGGAATAATTGTAAAAGTTGTTTGCAGTTGAACATGAGACAAGTTCATTGCTCACCGTTCAAAGGTTAGATCCTCATGTACCAATGCACAGAGGCCGGCCGAAGGGAATTGCGGAAACAAGACGTGCCACATTTGCTGTGGCGTTGGGCTACAACTCTAGGCCCCGGTGAGCAGGGTGACCGCCTGACAAGGGGAGTGTGTCAGGTGGTCCACAGGTGTCTGCCACCATGGCCATTACCAATTGCCAGGGTCCATGGCCCCCTACAGTGGCCCCTCGGTGCAGACAGCAATGAAGCCCTACCAGGTACACCACATGAATATTTATAACTTGAACTTTTCTAACAAAAAAAATGATGTTAATGATGAAAAACAGGCTCAGTGGGGTGTTGGCATAAGTTCCATGATGTATTGAAACAAAGATCATAAGTGTGTGCACATTAGGGACAGGAAATCACCCCCCCATTCTTAGTCATCCAATAGAGGGTTATAATCCTACTCCATAATTTTTCTCAAATCACACCTGTCCAGTCATTCATTAAAGTGCCGAGTTATGGCCATGCGTGTTTTTGGTGATAATGGTGGCTGATGACTTACCGAAGTTGTGTTCAAGAATCGTGTATACTCGGTGACAACCCTTCTTGACATGTGAGTGAAGACTATGGAGGCAGAGCTTCTGCACATTCTTGTTGCTTTGCAAGTAGTATGACTGCTTTCGGCTGATTTTGGTTTTTCTTGCTCACATTGTTCACTGGTTTAGAAAATTAAATCTACAATACTGTGAATGAGAGGAAAATTCGGTGGTACAGTGTACTATCGTGAGCAATACGAGTTCGAACACGCGAATGCGCGTCAAATAGCTTCAAACCTTATATCAGCTGATTTGCAGCGGCCGCTGCCGGAAGCAAAGTGGAAAGGGTTCAATGCTTCCTCTAGCTGTTTGCACTCCCGCCATGATATTGTTGCTGCAAAGCGGGAGCTTGTTAGTGACCGCTAGCAGTGATATAAATTCACTTCAACGCACCCAGCCCAATGCAGTGACCCAGCAGGGCATGTAGCAGCTAAGATATCGCCTGTGGCGTACCCTGCCGTTAAGCCCAGGCCATGCTTGTATTATATCTAGGTGACGCTGGCTGGGGATTTTTATACACCTGTCTTAATTTTACTCAGGTTTTGTGGAGCAAAACGGGAGGGCCGACAGAAAGCGTAAGAGTGCCCCTCCTTTCCCTTCATCTTTCAGCAGTGCCATCCACGTATCACGCTATCTTGGTTATGAGGCTACTTGCCACGCGCTCGTGTGTTCGAGCTCATATTGCTCATGATAGTACTTTTAGTGCCATATTACGTGCATATTTTTTAGGGGGAGGACCAGACAGCGCATTTACAGCTGCACACTGGCTCACTACGTTATAGATGCCTTGTTTACTTTGGAAAGTTTGCGTCCTGAAAAGGTTGCACTGGTTTAGAATAAGATAGAAAAGGAAAGCATTCTTGCAAACTGAACAATGTATTTTACCCTACGATGTCCTGAAACTGTTAGATTCATAATAAATAGTCTTGTGCCAATAGTGAACTTCAGGTTTGAAGTGAATTCGAACGAAATAGTGATTTTGGTCGAATAATTTCGAATCAAATTCGAATAGTATATATTACACAAAGAAAAATGGGCATATTTATTATGACTTAACTAGAACTTGCACAATATTGTTTAAAATTGAAATAGGGCTTCTATGCAAATTCAATTTTTTTTTTTGTTGAAAGGAAGTTGAAACAACTTTAAATAGTAGCAGGTAACATTTTATTATTTATATTACTTAGAGCATATAAGCCATTATAACAAGCTTTTAAGCTTAATAAAATGAATTGATTTGTAATATGTTCATTTAAAAGGGCCCTGCAACGCTTTTTCAGTAGCCATGTAACGGATTCACTAAAGAAGCTTATTGCCTTATAAATTCACCGCTGCAAGAATTTTTAGAACCCGTCTAGTACGAGCAGTTGCTAAGATTTGTCGCATGTTGCAAATGCATTTTCTCTTCTTCTTCCGACGAAAGGGCTGAAAGCTAAGCAGAGAGGGTTGGAACAGTGAAAGAAAATATGTCACGTCACGCACGCTTCGTAACCTTGAGCACTTCTCTTTTTTTTTTTCTTTGAATAAGGGGCTTTTCAGTGTGATCATGCACGTGCGCGTGGACAAGTGGCGGCCTCCCGCGGCAGCCCCAGTAACAACCGAGCGCACTATGCTCAAATCAGCCAATGGCAGATACAATGGCTGTGACGAGTGATTTCTAACTTTTCATTTCATCTGCTGAGCGAAGAGACCAATTTTTAGCTAACTTTGAGAATTTATTGTGAATTACAGACCGCGTCCTGCGCTATATTTGCCTCACATGTTCTCAGTAGCCTCGACTACCTACCTGAATCTGCAGCGCTTTCTGACCATGCTCAAAAAGTGTTGCAAGGCCCCTTTAAAATTAGGGGGGGGGGGGGGGGGAGCTGGCAAAGCGCATTTTTTTGGATGGGTGTTTTCACGGTTTAGCACATATACACGGCAGTGAAACAACCTTTACAGGTGGTTACTTGCGAACTATACCCCGCGACAACTTTCTGTGGCAGCACAGCCAAGGCTACGGAGCCGAAGCACGCTTGTCTTACTGCGCCACAGCATGTAGTCCCTCAACGAAAACGTTTGTATACTGTTCTGGGTAACTAAGATTTTACCATTCGTCACTTACATTTTTCGCGGATTTATTTTTTAATTAGTGAATAAAAACGTTGCGCAGTAGAAAAAATTTCGTTTCACGCTCTCTCAGGTTTTTTGGGGGTTTTTTGGCTTCCGTCGACTCGCGTTTCCTGCGACTCGTGTTTCCTGCAGCGAAACGCGAGCAAACGCGAGAAATCGAAACCGAAACACCCGTCGAAGCGGTCGGACTACTTGGCGCAGTAGCACATGTGCATAGACTCCGCCCACGTAGCCTTGGCCGTGCTGCCACAGAAAGTTGTCGCCGGGTATAATTACACTTATTCGTTCATTGTGAATACTTCAAAATTTTCAATAATTTAAATTCATATTAAAGCAAATTTGAATACCCTACTACTGGTTGGAATATTCGAGGCATTAGAATATTCGCACAAGCTTAATAATAAATAAAAAAAGCATTTATTTCAGCAAGGTAAATTGAGGAAATTATCGGTAAACTTAAGTACTGTTTCTTGATGCGGTAGCAGGAATGGGCATAGGTGCTGTAGCTTCCACAGTGCTGTCAAAAAAAGCTGTCGCCGAGTGTAGTACTTTGTGCCTATACCCAGAAAAAATTAGGACTAATGTAGCTATTGTGAGAAGCATGTGGTCACTTCATTGTCATTTTTGCACTCATTTCGCAGATCGTTCTTATTTGGGCTTGGGCAATGGAAGGGAGAGCGAGGGGTGGCATTGCAGGGAAACTTGCCCTTCCCCCATTGCCTCCACCAAAACATTACAAGGGGTCAATGGTTTAGTTAGGATAAGCTTTGTTCATATATACAAAATGATATGATATGATGATAAATGGTGCTTAATGGCACTAGGGTCAGGTGATGACCAAAGAGCACAGAGACAACATTTAGCATGCACAGCGGAAGACCTGAAGCATATAACAGATACTCATTGAAACATATTATCGTCACGTACATGCCCAACGTTTGTGTTATTCCTGTTGCACTGTCGCAGTAGCTGAGGAAGCCCCAGTGACGCATGCTTCCAGTGATCACGACGAGTTGCAGTCTTCCCAATCAGCCACTTCGTCTGAACATGAGGCTGAACTAGATGAACCGGTGAGTTCAATTAGCTTTCCTGAATGCTTGCATGCTCATCACAACCTACACGCTACCTGTAGAGCCTTACCGCATGAGAACACTGTAAAGGGGAGCTGTTACGCTGGTTTTTTAATGCTTCACGGAAATTGTTTGAGTATGAGCACATAGAAGGTTAAACAAGGTTGCTTTCAGTATTTAAGGCAAATATACCTTACGAAAGCGACATCAAAATGTTATTACTAGTCTGTTCAAAGGGCCATAGATACTAGCTCTTTGATGATGATATTGACAAAGCTAAAACAGATCGTGAAAAACAGAAGTGAAATTTGCAGCATGTATGACATGTCAGGCTGATTTTTAAATTGGTCCTAATAGTATGTGCTGGACAAAGGACAACTGCATCAAATGCAAATTACAGCCAATGAAACTGAGCATTAGGAGTGGAACACAATTCTTTTTATGAATTTAAACAAATGCATTTGAAATAATACAACCAGAGCCGTTTGTCTTTCACTGATTTTGTTGAAGCGGTGTTCTTTGTGGAAGCGTGGCAAGCTCACTGAATGCACTCTGTAATGAGTTTCACTCGACGCCTTTCAAATCGCATTGCATTTCGAAGTGGCACATGTGCACATGACAGCAAGAGACGGTCGTTGTTAATTTTCAGCCTGACATACCGAAATGTGAACCTTCACCCGAAAAGTACCATTTGGATGTAGACTTGGAGTCATACTCCAAATTTTTCTCTGAATTGAAGGTCCACGAGGCAGCTGCAGTGAGTAAACACTGTTCCATGCTTTCTCTGTTTACACATCGCTGCAGCATTGCACAATGGAAACTGTTCTCTTTTTTTTTTTTAGGATGTTGGCCCTGCCACTACTTCGGAGGTTTCCTTGATTGAAACTATGAAGAGCCCCGAAGGCAGAGATCCTTTAGACAAGCTCAAGTGAGAATTATTGGACCTCTTGAAGCGTCGGTAAAAGTGCGGGGCAAATCAGAATTACCTTTAATTTTGACTTGCATTCCAGACACTTAAATGTTTTACTGCCTGCTTATTCCATTACTGCATGGCATTTCAATCTTGTTGTTACAGGTGTAGCTATGAGCTTATGGTGCAGAGCACTCAGGGCCTTGTGCCTTTGGTGAAGATTGCCTTTCCAGAAATGATGGGCCACTTGCATACTGAGCCACTGGAGCGGTTGCACTCTTGCCAAAATTCAGGCGCCAGGTGCGTGAAAAACAAACATTTGTATTTGCAATTTTCGTGAACTGCAGTCAGGCCCTCTTACATTGACCTCCTTTATAATTCATGAAGGGTTAACGCATTATGTAGATGGTATGCTGTTGCTAATGAAGTGAATCCAGTTTTGGTTTCGCATCTATTGTTGCGTGTAGTCACTTGTGTGGCCATATTTTTTTTACAGCTCACATTGTCATCAACTACTAATACAGTTCATTCATTATGAGCTGATTCACTGTTACTTGGCGTTACCAAGACAGACGCTTTTGTCATCAGTTCTATAAAAGAAATTGTGCATCTGTACTCTGGCCATTCAAGCTATCTAACGAGGCCCAGTTATTTGATCAGTTTATAGTTTTCTCCCACACAATGTGCGAGTTTCTGCTGAGAACAAAGGAAATGAAAAATTAAATTTGCTAGATTTGAAAGGAAGTTTAGTGCATGATAAAAATAGATAGGTATAAAGCCACCTTTATGATAGTGATATCGATCATAACAACAACTGCCAGCTTAACGGTAACAATGTTGGTGATCAGAGAGGCACTGATTAGTGTTCATTATGCAGTAGCCTCAAGTGATGCATGGTAAAGCTTCTGGTACTTCACTAGAATATGTCATTTTAGTACAGTACATTCTACGGCATACACAAATGTTCTCGAGGCCTTCTGTCGATATGAAGATAATAATGATTATGGTGTAACACTGCTTTCCTACATTCATAGCAAGGGCTTCATTGTGGCAGACTTGATGCCTAAGTAACATGCAAGGGTTTATTGGTCAGTCCTCAGCTACCGTGAAGATCATGTTCCCTGTGACAACCTCAGGCCAACAAGAGTGTTGCGTACTCACTTTCTGAGCTGCGAGTGGCACTAGGTAACACTCCCAGATAGAAAGCACTCGTACCCTATAAAAAAAGCAGACAAGGCAGTGCCCTTCATCGTAGCTCAATTGATAGAGCATCAGGCGTATAGTTTGAAAGTTGTAGGTTGGAATCTTCCCCCCCCCCCCCCCCCGACAAAAAAGGTGATTCTTCATTTATTTTGATTCTCTTCAATTTAAGTGAGAACCATTACACTACAGGTAAAAAAAAAACACAAGTAATGCCCCCTATGTTTTCTTTAGCTTAATTGTCCGTCAGTTTCATAAGCTGTCAAACAGATGTGCAGCATTGTGCAGCAGACATTTATGGTTCTTATGCAGAAACAAGATACTTGAAGAAGTGCGGATACGACTGGAGAATGTCAGGGACCCTAGCAGCTTTCCTGTTTTATATGACTACGACAGTCTAGCCTACACAGTCTGCCCCCATCAAGACCTCTGATGAACAGTGATGCGCCACGATCTCTTCAGGAAGTGGTCACCGATCGGCTCTGGTTCGAGTCCCGCTTTGAAGGTGGAAACCTTCGCAAGGCCATTCAGGTGGTTACCTACCATGTTTTCTTCTTGTTAATTAGGTATGCATGACTGTCAGAAGAGTTTGAGCAATGGAAAACAGTCTTTAGCTCAGAAATTTGTGAAGTATGTATGCTGTTGAATGAACTTTGATAAGAACTGAAGTAAGGTTGTCTATAGAAGACAGTGTGGAGTCTAATGCTGTCCGAAAACAAATTGCAAGAGACAGTGGTGTCTTCTGCAAGCGCTGGCAAAACTGGTTCGCTTAGCTAACCAAGCTCTTTCATTTGAATGCTAAATTAATAAATCTAGCGTTGTTTCTTTTTGTAATAAACTAATAATTATATTTCAAGCACCATACACATTTTTGTACAATGCAAACCTTACAACGCAATCCCCGAGTAAAACATAAGCCTTCCGGGCCACCAGCATTAAGTTTGCAATGTTTTGGTAAAACCATTAATAAAGGTACATGCAGCTAACATTATAGCTTGAAGGTCTTGCAGTCTGTTTCAAATTTTTTACAAAGAAATTGTTTAAATATAACGTGTGTGTGTTTGCATGCATGTGTGCGTGTTGTGCATAACCAAACCCTTTTTTTTTTACAGGTTGGACCATATGAGTACAACCTTCTGATGAGCCCAGACATCAACACAAGCCTCCACCATCGCTGGTTTTACTTTGAAGTCGCAGGCATGCGCAGTGACGTGGACTACACATTCAACATTGTGAACTTTGACCGCAGTGGAAGCCTGTATAAAGAAGGTAAACCACTTAGGTTGCAGACCAGTGCTCCAACAGCCTGTGCTTCTATAGCCAGGCACACACAGTCCGTTCTTCATATACACTCAAACTTCGATATAACGTACCCAGATATAACAAAATATTCATTATAATGAAGTAAATGAAGAACAGTCTTACAGTATACATAGTGTTAAGAATATACCTTTATAACAAATTTTCTGATATAACGAACTTATTTTCGTGTAAGATGCAACTTTGGTATGATTGGGTTTGAGTGTAGTACAGTAGACCCTTCTTAAATGGAATTTGAAGGGAGCAGGAAAATATATTTTGTTGTCATCATGCCCAAGCCCTACTGATGTAAATATTGGGCGGTGTTGTAATAATATTGGATTCTGTACGGTATGTAAGATAAAAATAGAGCTTTGTTTACTGACAGATGAACAGGGGTGCACACTCTATGTACGAAACGGGATATGTTAGCGGCAGTTCTTGCATTTATCAGATTTTCGTTTACTGAGAGTACTGTAGGAACGAATCATAATTTAGCAATTTTCGTGTTGCAGTAACAAAAATTTTTCATAATCATTGCCTGAATTAAGTGAAGTAATTTGGTTGGCGATTACGATTTCTGAAATGGTTATAGCTTTATCACTTATCTGGAGTTATTGTGGTGATTAAAAAGAAAAGAAATAGATAAGCATCCCCAAACTATAGAGGCATAAACTTGGGAATTCTTCCACGTACAAATGTTGGCAGTGAGCAAGAAAAGATGAAAGAAACAATGGCCATTGACCAAAAGATTGTGCACATAACTTCTGTAATATTTTGTGCTAGCAGAGGAACCATACCTCTTGGTGCCCTACTTGTGATCACACTCACGCAGACATTTTTTAGTTCTGTGCAGCACCACTGAGATGAAGACAGGAAACTTATAGACACGAATGAATGCTGACTAACAACTGAGTAACTTCAACGTTCACACTTTAACATGGCTTTCTAAGTACTGGACCTTAGCCATATCACCCACAGACATGCTTCGTAAATACAGCAGTGGCCAGCTGTAACAGCAAAAAAAATTGCTGTTTTAAGTGAGCTGAAATGATTGGCGTACGGCAACATGTGGTGATGATGAAAGAAATGTGTTCTCAATGTCACTGCGATGTGTTAAAAGGCCAGTAAACAACCACAAGGTCCAAAAATTTTTGTAAAGAGAAATATGTCCACTTTTACTTCGTGAACATGCTGCCGCAAGAATTCTGCAAATACGTGTTATATTAAGGAAGTTACAGGGGCTAGAACATCGCGTTGAGCTGATCTCAAATTTTCGCGCAGCCTCCCCATCCTTCTCCTTCAGAGGGAGGGGAAGGCCTAGCCCATTGTCGTTACTCTGCCCACTTCGGCAATGTGACAATACATCAGCGATTGGTGTCATCGACAAACTCGGTCAGTCGCAACGCACTTCCACTTGCTGCAATGTCTGGTTGTTTACTGTTTACCCAGTGCCAACGCTTCTCCGCAGCCCAGTCGCTCAATTTGCAGCTGACAACAATTTGCGGCGAAACTGCGTTTCAAAACCCGGACGTGAAGTTGGCTCAATTTTTCTAGAGTTCGATTTTTTGGGAACAGACTGTCGCGCTATGTGGGAGCAGCAACACATAACACAAATGATGTGCTTAATAGTAGGTGTTCTCATCAACAGGTGGCGTAACAATCTGCTCACTCCCAAAAACATTGTCAACAAAGTGTCACGATTTCGATGCATGGAACCTATGGAGAGTTTTGCAACTCATATGATTGAATAGCTCTGTCGTAGCTGTGGGTGGGAACAGGAACTGTCGTTGACTACAGTACCGTTTTTTGAGGCCTGGTTTGGACCAATCGACGAGCTGCATGCTAGGTTTTGTCGCCAATCGTTGAGTTGTCGTCACTGTGCGTGCAAGGAGCGTTGGTCAGGTGTAGGAAAGGACCGCGGTAATTGCTTTGCGAAACGCAGGCTCTACGCGGTGCGTAGCTCTGTAATAGTCAGAAAACGTGATCGCTGTGGTCTACTTTACGAATTACCGAGCCTGTTTGGGGGTGTAAAAAAAAAAGTCCGAGCCTGTTTACTGGCCTTTTAATATTGTGAATTAATAATGCTAGTGGCATTGTTGTTATTTGCTACAACGTTTTTGTTGGTGGGGTGTAATGTTAACGGAGTGTTACGACATGGCCATGACAGCTAGCATAGCGCATCTTGTACTTTACTTTTTTCTGTTATGCTTCAAAACTTTTGGTTCGAGGATTAGCTTTGAAAGTCCTCTAGAATTCTCATTAGAGCTTTCTGGAGAGTTACTATCCACCAGTACTGTTCTAACGTTCATGAAGCGAATTTTTCTGCTGAAGTACAAGAACATTTAACATAATTACAATTTTTTAATTGTGAAAGCTTTTTTTGACAAATATATTCTGCCTGACAGATGCCTATCGACTGCGTTTATTTCATTTTTCTATTAGCCCTCTGTTCAGCATCATTAGTAAGACAATGCAGTCAAATAAGGGGGCATATGAATAAAGAAAGTAATGGCCAAATAAAAAGATAAGACCATAGTCAGTAAAGTCAGAAATCAAATTTGTATAGGCAACAATTCAATTTTCTTTGTAAGCCTATCTCATTTGATATGTATCATAATTAAAGAAGTTTATATACTTCAGTAATTATGCCTAAGCAACAATAAAGACTCTGGCACATGTATGCTGTTAGTTGTTCCAGCTACTGCTGTAGTTGCTGTTGCTCAGTGTGAGCTCATGCGTTTGACCGTCTGTTAGGAGAATCGCATTTCACGGGGAACAGGAAACAAAAGAGCTCGTGATGCACACCAACGAATCTCCGAATTGCCGAAAGTGAACCAAGGTCTACTGTTACTGTCTTGTATATATTTTGTGTGCAAGTACAAATGACAGAGCAAAAAACATCTTAGTCCCCTGTGTGAGACACATCCGACTGAGGTAAAATCTTTGATCGACAGCACGATTCTGCTGTAGAGCATTACTTGTCATTGTGTCAGTTACTTGTGTTACGTTGTGTTATTGCTTGTCAGCTATTAATTCCCAGATGATGCAGCTGCCATGGCCTAGAACGCAATGCTTCTGTCAGTATAATTCGTGTATAAAACTTTTTCAGATACGTACGGTTCATGTGAAGCCCTACTATAAGATGCCTCATGGGGACTGATGCTGACTTGCGTTGACAGTAATTTACAAGTTATTTTCTTCATTACCATTTGCTAGACTGCAGACTAGCATAACATGGTGAACACTGTAGAAGTAGAGTTTAAAATTGAGGTAGTACCAAACGTGCCGGTGCAGGCCAGTGCCCACTGCTGTTCTCGGTCCGAGATGCGGCCAACGGCCGTGGCTGGCGTCGCATTGGTGGTGGCATCAGCTACCAGCGCAACCTGCACTGGCGAGCTGACAAAGGACCTCTCTTCACCCTGAGCTTCACGATCCGCTTTCCCCATGCTGGAGATGTGTGCTATATCGCCAACAGTTTTCCTTACGGTTTTTCTCTCCTTAAGGTAACTCACTGTCGTTGTTCCAATATTAGTCGGTGAAACGCTGGTGTATTGAACAATTGTAACATGTGACGGGAATCATTTGCAGAAGCACTATGCATATATTTTGAACTCCAGTTCACCTTCACATTCAATACATTAAACACCATCCTGTGCTCCTGCAGGTTCACTTGCCTGCGATAATGTACTTCATCAGAAATATTCAGGTGTGCCTCAACTCAGCACTGTTTCTTCAGCTTGTGTCAAACAGGATATTGAGTCCAAAAAATTGGGCAACCAATTGACATAAAAATGAGCAAAGTGTGTATAAAAAAATTCCGCCATATCCACGAAGTGAATGATGATGAGTGGGCGAAGCTCCGGAGGTAAACCTGGTAAACCATGAATCCTCTGTACATTTTGCCCACTCGATTTTATTACATCGCTCCCCCTAGCGTACGTCGCCGCACTAAATCGAACGATTGCCTTCAACCATTGACACGCGCCATATGTGACATCATTCCTATTTTATAAGATCTCGCGTCTTTCATCAACTACAAGTACCACTTTCTACTTTATAACATCTTGCATCTTTTCATCATCAGCTACAAGTACCACCATCTAGTAAACACTACAAGAACTAAACGAGAGGTGGCTACATACAGGAGACGGTACCGCCATCTAGTGAACAGTGCAAGAACTAAACTAGAGGTGGCTACATACAGGGGACGGTACCGCCATCTAGTGAACACTGCAAGAACTAAACTAAAGGTGGCTACATACAGGCTACAGGGGACGCACAGCCCACGCCCTAAGGAGCTTCGCCCCTAAAAAAAATATGGATGGCTCGTACAGCATTGATCTAATTTGCACTCCATATAATGATGGATTTTTTTTTTAGCTTCACCGCAGCACAGCTGTGTAATGTGGTATAAAGACTGGTATTACCAGGGAGAACTATCAGCTGTGGGAAAGAGGAAAGCCGTGCTGCGTCATTAATGCGGAAGGCTTCTCGTTCCAATATGTGCATTCCACAAGAAGGCATGAATGAATGAGTGTATAAGCCAAGTTACATGCTCTCGATGTGACCTTAAAGCAACAACAACTTGGTGAATTATTGTGTTTCTCGGTAAGATGCAGGCCCATTTGTGCAGGGATTTTCTATGATTTTCTCAGAAACATTCCTTATTTCAAATAATGGATATATTGAACTACTATTTGGTGATTCCCCTTGAGTTAGATATAAGTTCAACTGTGGTACCACATCGGTAGACACTCTACCCTTGGGTGCATAGAATGATGTCATTCTTGCCAGATGAGTGACATTGTTTTCTGATAATAGGTGAAGATAATTTACACTCTCAATATGAATATTTGCCAATTACCATCTTCAAGCAGCATTTTAATTTGATGGCTTATGAGAAGAATTCTGACCAGCTCCTTCTTTGTGCTTAAAAGGCTGCTTTCATAAGAGAGATATTTCCATTTTGCTATGTGTGCAGGCACACCTAAAACTTTGGCTCAGCTCGTATGACCATGGTAGCATATTCCTGGAGCGACAGGAGCTGTGCAGGACCATGGCTGGCAACCCCGTGCCTCTGCTGACCATTACAGCTCAACCTTTAGAATGTGAGTTACTATATTTTACAAGAGTGTAGAAGGCAACTGCCAGGTGAATCAAAATGTTCCATGCAGGGAATTTTCCCCTTTTTCGGGGAATTTTCACCTGTCATTTTGAGCCAAAGGGAAATCTTTGTGATATTGCAGAAAATTTCAGGAATGGTTGAATTCTCTTATGACTACCGATAATTACCTGTCTCAGTGCGCCTTCATCTGCTATAATTGGTTCTGGCGCATGCACCACGCAAGCATAGCCTTTCGGATTTGTTTCTGATATTTACGCGGAGTGATTTCTAGTTAACTATTGGTGTTAGACTTGAAGCCCACAATGTGCAGTGTACAAACAGTATATGAATTAAAATAAAGTCGTGCTTTTGTTGTGTGACAGTGGAGGCGCTAGTCTTGATTTCAAAAGTCTCCAGTACGTGACACGTAATTATAGTATGCGTCTGTGTGTATGGGGGCGGAAATTGGTACTGTTATGCAGGGAAATGTGCTGGGAATTTCGTCAATGTTTGCAGGGAAAAATACCTGAAATAGGGGATTTTCATGCCTCTGAATGGGAATTTTTCGGCGTTGTACGGAACATCACTGAGGGGAATATTGCCTACACAACACACCTTAAAATGAAAAACCATTACATTTGCAGCTAGTTGTGCAAGGCTTGTTGGTCCACAAATCCATGGCCATTTCAATCCTTTAAAACGGATCCATTAAGCACCTGGATATAAAATCTTTGTGCATTAATTAAAGAAGGAGTATTAGTGAAATATCCTGAATAGTCTTGCTGGGGGTAGTATTGTGTTCCAACTGAAATTAAGGTGCATTATGAAGTGGTAGATCATATACTAATGGAAAATAAAATTATATCAGCTCCTTTGTATATTTTGTATAGTTTTGAATACCAGTGACACAAAGCCACTTTTTTCTATCACAGTCGAGCCTGATCTATTTTTATCATGTTTGTCTCCTTCCAGCCAAGTTGCAGAAGAGATTCAATCATCGCTCAGATATGTGATCACGATCTGGCTTAATCAGCAGTGCATTTTGTTACATCGGAATTGCATGCACAAATCAGTCTTTTCATAATGTGTAAGACGAGTAAGAGAAATGAGCAAAATTTAAATTCGGAACTACTTGTGCATACCAGGCACTATTCACGTAGCAATAAATGAGCAGACATTCAATATTTTAGATTATGCAATCGAGTATTACGACATATATGTATTCACTTTGGCTTGTGTGCTCAGTTGATGTTTTATCATAAGCATAACTTTATGTGCAAGCTAAATATCACTGATCTGAGGATCTGCTATGTGTAAAATGCATGGGTGTGCAAGATGTAGTTGTTCTATAGTTAGTGTACCGATGGCATACTCAATGATTGATTTAGTGAGAGAGAGAGAAATCTCATATATAACCACGAAATAAGTTTATTTATAAAGTGAAATTCTTTCATCGTTCCTGCTTCAAATGGTACCGCTAATTTTTGCAGTGAAGTGGTCTTGTCTATCTAGTTGTGCAAATACTTCCTAACCTACAATTTTCATCTGTTAACAGTATCCAGGCCATACATACTGCTGATGGCTCGAGTACATCCCGGTGAAACAAATTCTTCGTGGATAATGAAAGGTGAGCTTTGATCTGAGTTAAATATTTACACAAATAAGATGACACCACCGTTACCGAGACATCCCTTGTGGGAATTGAGGCTTGCCCGCTGCCTTTGCGTGGGCTTTGCCGCCTTTTTTGCCGTTCTCATGTCCCGACATGTCTCCCCTCCTCGCTGTCTGCCGCGCTGGGAGAGCGGAGTGACGTTTAACCCCCTCACCCGGTAGCGGATGTTGACTGTGGCACCGCGCGCGGAGTCTTCAGAGAGGTTTTCGTGCGCTGCGTCGGGAGCGGAGAGATACTCTCCGGGACTGCAGACGGTGAGCCATGCAATTTTTTCCGTCCGTCAACTCCCGTCGCTCAGGGGCTCGTCGGACTTCCCTGGCGGCACCTCGCGCCCTAGGCGAACGCTCACCTTTTGTTGTCCCACTGCGTACGCGCGGCTGAAGGGCGCTACGGTGTCCTAGTGCGTGGCCTAGCTACGCCGACCCGTCTCCCCCCGACGCCAACGCGAGCGCCTTTGCCCTCGCTCGAGCAACCGGGCCTTGGTCCCTGTGTCTCCGTGGATCACCTTTACCGTGAAGACGTGCTCGTAGCACCCTCTGTAGCACTTTTATGCCTGTGGCGTGGGTAAGCCTACTTGCTTTCCTGCCGTGGCTTTGCAATGGGCTGTACTGCGTTTTGGTGTTGCCACAGACAATAAAGTGTTGGGACTTTGAGCAGTATCGTGTTCTCACCATGGCGACGGTTAACGCATGCCCTGTGGCTCGCTAAGACCGGACCCACGCTGGTGGCCGCACTCCTTCGGGATACGTGTACACTACACCCTTTATCATTGCAGCAGTGTACATAGTTAGTCACAAAACAAACCATCCAGATGCGTATTCCTTTCAGATTCAGTTCTCGTCTCAGTAAAGACTCTACCACGCTCCGATTAAAGTGACAACGCCCAAGCGAGACCAACCTGGCTCGATTTCTGGGCAGTGAGTGACATTATGAGTAAATAAACTTATAAATAACATCTTATTAAATGAATTCTTCAATCTAATACCTCCAACAAAAATTGGCTGGAAAATAACTTGTGTATGTAAGAACAGTTGTCAAGATAGTGTCACGGGGTCGTGACGAGGCCAAAGACAGAAAACTTAGTGTTGGGATTTAACTGTTTATTTGGGCGAACCTGTGCCCGGTAAAGGGAAAGTCTAATTACAGCAGCAGTCTTGCACAGATAGCAGTCTCGGACTGATAGCGGCGAACGCAGCGTCGGCCTTCGATCAACAACTGACAAGCGGCGAAGCGCGTCGGCATTTATACCCTTGCCGTCGAATGTTCTAGCGTTATCGCTGGCGGTGGCGTGGGTTCCAGAACAATCTGTACCGTTCGCACAGTGGGCGTGATCTTATCGAAATAATCTACTACAGTCCGGAACCCTCTAGAAACCTGCAGGCGCGGCTTGCGCCGAGAATCGTGCGGTGCTTCGGAACGATAACAAAAACTTGTGAAATGGAACGTGGCATTGCCCCCCTCTGAAAAAAGGCATCGTCCCGATGCTTTAACTAAAGATGAAGGTACAATAATAATGCAAGAAAGTACAACGAATAAATTACAATACAACAATAATACAAAAAACACTGTTTCAGTTTGTTAACGTCCATGAAACGGCTTGAGGCGCGCGACATGCACGACTTCAGGTCGCGATCGGCGTCGTTGAGAGTTCGTGATGCCGTCGGGGACAACCTCGTAATCAAGTGGGCCGAGACGTCGAACCACCTTGTACGGTCCGAAGTACCGTCGCAGAAGCTTTTCACTTAGTCCGCGTCGGCGTATCGGCGTCCACACCCAAACACGTTCACCGGGCTGGTATTCCACGAAGCGTCGTCGAAGGTTGTAACGGTGGCTGTCGGTCGTCTGTTGATTCTTGATACGAAGACGCGCAAGTTGTCGGGCTTCTTCGGCGCGCTGAAGGTACTCGCTCACATCGAGTTTTTCTTCGTCGGTGACGTTGGGTAACATGGCATCGAGCGTCGTTGCCGGGCTCCTTCCGTAGACCAATTTGTATGGAGATATCTGCGTCGTCTCCTGCACCGCCGTGTTGTATGCGAAGGTCACATACGGAAGAATGGTGTCCCACGTCTTGTGTTCGACATCGACGTACATTGACAGCATGTCCGCGATCGTCTTGTTAAGCCGCTCGGTGAGGCCGTTGGTCTGTGGGTGGTACGCTGTCGTCCGGCGGTGGTTTGTTTGGCTGTATGCCAAGATCGCTTGAGTTAAGTCGGCTGTGAATGCCGTTCCTCTGTCGGTGATAAGGACCTCCGGGGCGCCGTGACGTAGGACGATATTTTCGACGAAAAACTTAGCTACCTCGGATGCACTGCCTTTTGGCAGGGCTTTTGTCTCGGCGTAGCGGGTGAGGTAGTCGGTAGCTACCACGATCCACTTGTTTCCGAAAGCCGACGTCGGGAACGGCCCCAGTAGGTCCATACCAATCTGCTGGAAAGGTCGGCAAGGTGGATCAATTGGCTGCAGAAGTCCCGCTGGCCTTGTCGGCGGTGTCTTGCGTCGCTGACGGTCCCGGCATGTCCTCACATAACGAGTGACGTCGGTGGTAAGACGTGGCCAGTAGTACCTTTCTTGTATCCTCGCGAGCGTGCGGGAAACACCGAGGTGCCCTGCCGTCGGATCGTCGTGCAGGGCCTGCAGGAGTTCTGGTCGCAGAGATGAAGGCACCACAAGGAGGTACTTAGCTCGAAGCGGTGAAAAGTTTTTCTTTTGTAGAAGGCCGTTTCGTAGACAGAACGACGCAAGTGCGCGCTTGAATACCTTCGGGAATTCGGCGGTCCTGCCTTCGAGGTATTCTATTAGGGCTTTAAGTTCCGGGTCGGCCCGCTGTCGTTCAGCGAAGTCGTCGGTAGTTATCGTTCCCAAGAAGTAGTCGTCATCCGGGTCGTCGGGTGGCGGTTGGTCGACAGGCGCACGAGAGAGACAGTCGGCGTCGGAGTGTTTTTTGCCGGACTTGTAAATGACAGTAATGTCATATTCTTGAAGTCTCAGGCTCCATCGTGCGAGGCGACCTGAAGGGTCCTTCAAAGTGGCTAGCCAACACAAGGCGTGGTGGTCGCTCACAACTTTGAAGGGCCTGCCGTAGAGGTATGGGCGAAATTTCGACGTAGCCCAGATGATGGCGAGGCACTCCTTTTCTGTTGTGGAATAATTTGCTTCTGCTTTGGATAGCGATCGGCTGGCGTAACTAATAACCCTTTCAAGTCCGTCAGCCCTCTGCACAAGAACGGCGCCAAGACCTACGCTGCTTGCGTCAGTATGTATTTCTGTCTCGGCGAATTCGTCGAAATGGGCAAGTAACGGAGGCGTCTGGAGGCGATGTTTAAGCTCCTGGAAAGCGTGTTCCTGCGGCGTTCCCCACTTAAACTCCACGTCGGCCTTGGTAAGGTTAGTGAGAGGATCGGCGATGCGGGCGAAGTTTTTCACGAACCGCCTATAATAGGCGCACAGGCCCAGAAATCGGCACACGGCCTTCTTGTCAGTGAGCGGCGGGAAATCGGCGATGGCGGCTGTTTTCCGTGGATCGGGACGAACTCCACACTTGCTGATAACGTGCCCCAGAAACAAGAGCTCCTCATACGCAAATCTGCACGTTTCTGGCTTCAGTGTGAGTCCGGACAGCTTGATGGCTTGAAGTACAACTTCAAGGCGCCGAAGATGCTCGTCGAAACTCGAGGAAAACACGACGACGTCGTCCAAGTACACAAGGCAAGTCTGCCACTTCAATCCTGCCAGCACTGTATCCATAACGCGTTGAAAAGTTGCAGGCGCTGAGCAAAGGCCGAAGGGCATCACCTTAAACTCGAAGAGGCCGTCCGGTGTTATAACGCCGTCTTCTCTCGGTCTCGTTCGTCGACTTCGATTTGCCAATAGCCAGTCTTGAGGTCCATTGACGAGAAGTACTTGGCGTTGTGGAGCCGATCAAGGGCGTCGTCTATTCGTGGGAGAGGATACACGTCCTTTCTTGTGATTTTGTTCAGGCGGCGATAATCGACGCAGAAACGTAGGGTCCCATCCTTTTTCTTCACTAACACCACGGGGGATGCCCACGGACTCTTGGACGGCTGGATAATGTCATCTCGCAGCATTTCATCAACTTGTCTCTTCATTGCCTCACGTTCTCGCGTCGAAACCCTGTACGGACTCTGGCGGAGTGGTCTGGCATTTTCTTCGGTTATGATTCGATGTTTCGTGATTGGGGGTCTGCCGAATTTTTGATGACGACGAAAAGCAATCTTCGTATTGCAGGAGCAGGGCCTTGAGCTGTTCTTGCTTATCATTCGGAAGTCTGGGATTGACGTCGAAAGCTATGGGAGGGGCTTGGTTCCTCTGAGCAGGTTCCGCAGAATCGGCGAGGGCGAAAGCACTAGTGGCTTCGACAATTTCTTCGATGTATGCGACCGTTGTTCCTTTGTTCACATGTTTGTACTCATTGCTGAAATTCGTGAGCATAACCGTTGCTTTGCCTCCCCGCAGCTCTGCAATTCCTCTTGCGACGCAAATATTTCGGGTGACCAACAGATGCTGACTGCCTTCAACGACGCCTTCCAAGTCAGGTGATTTAGGAGCGCCGACTGAAATAATGACGCTTGAGCGAGGCGGAATGGTGACTTGTTCTTCCAGCACATTCAAGGCATGGTGTCCTGACGGCGTGCGCGGCGGTAGTGCTTCTTCTGTGGATAATGTTATCGACCTTGTTTTTAGGTTGATGACAGCACCATGGAGGCATAAGAAGTCCATGCCAAGGATGACATCTCTCGAGCAACGCTGTAGGACTACGAAGTCTGTAGGATAAATGCGGCCGTTAATGGTGACTCTCGCTGTGCAGATTCCTGCAGGCGTTACGAGATGACCTCCGGCTGTGCGGATTTCAGGGCCTTTCCAAGCTGTCCTAACTTTCTTTAACTTCGCGGCGAACGACCCACTGATGACAGAATAGTCGGCTCCAGTATCGACGAGAGCGGTCACACTGTGGCCGTCGATAAGAACGTCGAGGTCGCTAGTTCGCCGTCTCGCATTACAATTAGGGCGTGGCGTCGGGTCACGGCTGCGTCGGCTTGTTCCGCTGCTTTCATGTTGCGTCGTCCGGCCACCTTCGGTAAGTGAGCTTTTGCCTTCAGGGCTTTTCCTGGTTGGAGTTGTGTTCAAAAAGCTCCGTCGCGTCGGCGTCGTCGTCGGAGGATCTTCGGTAGTTCGTCGCACAGCAACCGCACCTCCATCGGTTGCTGCCCTTAGTTTCCCGGATACGGGCTAGGAGACCGGCCCCGCGTTGGGCCAGAGTACTGCCGGGGGTGTGGTGACATGCGGCGGCTGGGCGACGGCGAACGGGAAGGACTTCGTGGTGTCCATTGAGTTCCTGCCAGGTAGTCGGCGATGTCACGTGGCCGATCTCCTGGCTGCGGACGCGGTGCATTGACGGCGAAGCCACGCAGTCCCATCTGTCGGTACTGGCAACGGCGGTATGTGTGCCCGGCCTCGCCGCAGTGGTAGCAGAGCGGGCGGTTGTCAGGTGCACGCCAAACGTCCGTTTTTCTCGGTGCACTGCGCTGGCCCGCTGGGGAACGGTAGGACGTCGGTTGGGGTGGTGGCGGCGGTGGCGTCTGGCGACGGAAGTGTGACGGGGCGGCGTTTTGGCGTGGACGGGGAGGAGCGCTGTGGCGCACTGCAGCGGCGTAGCTCATAGTTTCTGGCTCGGGCGGCGGTGTTTCGGGAATTCGAAGCGATTGCCGGACTTCTTCTCGCACAATGTCGGCGATTGAATCCACTTGAGGCTGCGCAGAAGGCAACAGTTTGCGCAGCTCTTCCCGCACGATCGCTCGGATCGTCTCACGCAGGTCTCCGGAGTTACTGGCTTGAGCAGCAGCGCAGTCTGCAGTCAGGTGACGATTATACTGTCTGGTGCGCATGTCCAGGGTCTTTTCGATAGTGGTCGCTTCTGCTACAAATTCTTGGACGGTTATCGGTGGGTTTCTCATCAGTCCCGCGAAGAGCTCCTGTTTGACCCCTCGCATGAGGAAACGAACTTTTTTCTCCTCAGGCATGTCTGGATCAGCGTGACGGAATAGTCGGGTCATTTCTTCTGTGAAAATGGCGACATTTTCATTTGGTAGCTGAACCCGAGTCTCTAATAAAGCAGCGGCCCTCTCTTTGCGAGCGACGTTCGCGAACGTTTGAAGGAAAGCGCCGCAGAAAACATCCCACGTTCGGAGCGTGGACTCCCGATTTTCAAGCCAAGTCCTTGCGGTGTCTTCCAAATAGAAGAACACACGACGCAGCTTTTCGTCATGGTCCCAGTGGTTGAGGGCGGCCACACGGTCGTATGTCTCCAGCCAGGACTCCGGGTCTTCGAACGATGACCCATGGAAAATTGGTGGTTCCCTGGGTTGATGCATGACCATCGTGGGCTGGGACGCTGCGGTTGTCATTGTCGCTGCAGTCGCGGTCATGGCCTTCGTCTTCCGCGCCTTGTCTGGTAGAAGCCCGTACTCCGGTGGTAGCCCTTGCTGTCGGCGGCTTGTTCACTGCTCCTGGTTGGTGTCGGTGTCTTCTCCGCGACGTGGGCTTGGTTCACGGCTTGACGGGGGCGTCCGGTACATGAACGAAGCAGCACCTCCACCAGATGTCACGAGGTCGTGACGTGGCCGAAGACGGGAGACTTCGTGTTAGGATTTAACTGTTTATTTGGGCGAACCTGTTCCCGGTAAACTGAAAGTCCAATTACAGCAGCAGTCTCGCACAGATAGCAGTCTCGGACTGATAGCGGCGAACGCAGCGTCGGCCTTCGATCAACAACTGACAAGCGGCGAAGCGCGTCGGCATTTATACCCTTGCCGTCGAATGTTCTAGCGTTATCGCTGGCGGTGGCGTGGGTTCCAGAACAATCTGTACCGTTCGCACAGTGGGCGTGATCTTATCGAAATAATCTACTACAGTCCGGAACCCTCTAGAAACCTGCAGGCGCGGCTTGCGTTGAGAATCGTGCGGTGCTTCGGAACGATAACAAAAACTTGTGAAATGGAACGTGGCAATAGCGACTCAAAGTTGAGATTGTCTGAGCTGATGATGGCAAGTAGTGCGGACTCGAAGAGTAAATTGCTATTACCGGTGAATTTGTTGCCACTACTTCAAGAAACTGAACTACTACACCTTCTAATTAACAGTTTTAAAGAGTACATGTTCCAAAGGTAAATGCCTGTATCATTATTGAACTATTGTTCTTGGTATCCTTGCCTTTCTGGCAAATGTAGTGCTATAAGCACTACAGTGGCTACCGAGCATTACTGTGAGCATTACACTCCATTTAAACTTGCCCCTTTGTGATGCAAAGCCAGCACATGCAGAGTGCTTAGGGACCTTTTTTTTTAAAAACTCCCTGTTATGTTTCCTCTTTTTTTTCTTTTCTGTGTGGTACAAATTTCAATGTTTAAGGAGTGCACAAAGGAATCTAAAACAGTCTTTTTCTTTGTATGCTGCAGCTGTTCCTATGACCTTGTAGGAAGTGGAAGTATAGCGATGTGTGTTTTTATCTCTAGTTGCATTTGTGTCCTTTTTATCATTAGGGTATATCAGTTGTAGTTTTAAAGAAAGGTGCAATCTACATTACCTTTTTTACCAAACGTACTGTCCTCGCAGTATTAAACACACTAATGGCCACGATACAGGTGTTCTTTTCATTTGCAGGAATAATCGATTTCCTCCTGAGTGACAAGCCAGTTGCACAGCGAGTCCGTGAAACCTTCGTGTTCAAAATTGTGCCAATGCTTAATCCTGATGGAGTCATCAATGGATGGTAAGGAAGCCTCCCTCATACATTCTCACTCTAATTTTGGATAATTATGTTTTTACGGCAGTGTGCACATGAGCATATTATTTGAGTCTTGTTGCACCATTGCTTAGAAACGTGGGAATATGACTACACCTCTGAACTTAAAGTAACTTAAATTTAGTATTATTTTATCCAGATTCACTGCACAGCACTGCACTTTACCTTTGCTGCACTGAATTTTTTACATTAAACTGGGTGCAATGGTTAGGTATGTGTGATAGTGGCTATTTTTTTATGGCGACTTAGGCATGTTCGTGTCACGTACAGCTCGTTTTTAAAAGGCCCTCTGTAAGATTTAGACATTTCAAATGAACAAGTGTGGTGGATAGGTCATGTGCTGACAGTTGTGCTGAGAGTATGAAATGGCTGCATTGCACAAGAATAAGTAAATTTCTAACAAGAAGCCACACATTCTTGCTTTTGAGGAAGTTGTGCTTTGTATGTGAGCCACAGTCGCTTACACAAACGCTATGCATAACACATGCTGCTTGCGCTGCCAACCATAGCAGACGAGTTCACTAAATATTGCAATACAGAACATGCAATTTTGCCGCTGCAAAATCTTTGTGAAAAGAAAATGTGGGACTGTCTATGGAAACATAATGTAGTCATTCAGTGCCAGTACAAGGGAGAAGGCAGGATAGAAATATGCTTGCTCATGCTTCTGATAGTAATGGGGGAGTGTGTCTAATGACAGTGAGACTTGGCTCAGAGTTCCATAATAAGGAAACACCTAACTTTATTATACTTCTTATAACAAGCCAACTTGAAAAGTCACTTCGATGAAACCAGACAGTCCCTTACCACTTGCACTGTATAACCAGAGCTTGTGTTCTGTGTCTATGTGAGGGTTTCTTGTAAACAGGGCATTTAACTGATGATTACGGTACGACTGCAGAATTTCTTAAACTTTATCAAGACGGTGTTTCTGATGTGGTGCATTAGGCAAATGTTCACTACTCGTGAATTGAAACAGGATAATTTAGGGCTAAATAATGCACATACTTTTGTTTCCATCATTTTCACTTTAGCTCATATTGGAATCACTTCAACCCAAATGCATAAATAAATTAGAGCCACATTATCTTCAGAGAACAGATTGGTTGTGACGTGACATGGTTATCTCGAGCAATTGCTCATACTAGTCATTATACAAACAATTTTATGTTGGATCTGAATCCATGAGTACTGTACAAACAGTTAAATAATAACCTGCAGGCTTTCTATATATCTTGTTTAATGATAGTGAAATACATATTAGGTGTTCCCCTTTAACCCCTTGCGGTTTGTTGTCGCCCGTCTCAACTACGAAATACGGCTGCAGGGGTCAGCTATCAGGCTCTGCTGGAAAAGCTCTTTTGTTCCCGATTCACACACTTATTTTCTTACTCTGTTATAACCGAGTAAATTAGCTTCTTTTACTTGAGATTTGCTGTATATTTGGACCAAAAGTGACGGAAGAGAAGCAAAAGTTCTAGGCATCGAAGGGCTAATATGGGACCATACTGTGCACTTTTTAAGTCACCAGTGGCAGTGGAACAATAGGTTTCGAAAAACCTAGACCTGTGTACAGTCGAACCCTTATAAGAAACACTAATATACAGCCGACTCTCAGTAAACGGAAATCCGTTACAGATTTTGAACTGCGGGTTGATAAGAAAACGCATACGAGGTAACCTGCTTGTAAAAGACATCTCATACAAAAGACAAGAATCACTGCCCGAAGCATAACTCTTATAAACTGTAGACATCATCCTCATTGCTTAAGAGAACAAGGTGCCTTAAAAGTTAAGCATATCGGTGTTATCTGGTCGATGTGCATAGATAAGTTCAGCTCACCATTTATTAGAAGAAGAGTTAGTACAAGAATGGAAGAGATAAAAGAGAGAGAAACCTAGATAAATTGAAAGCATTTTATTTGTGCTAATATATTGTTTCCGTGCAGCCACCGCTGTTCGTTGGCGGGCCAGGATCTGAACCGGCAATGGTCATTCCCAGATCCTGACTTGCACCCCACAATCTATCACACCAAAGCACTTCTAGCCTATTTGGCCCACCAAGGACGAACTCCATTGGTCAGTCACCCAATGGAATTTTAGATATTGTATTATTGATATCTAATTTGTGAATGGCGGTCAAACTTTATGACGATTTCTTTCTAGCCACACCTCCTTTTTTTTTTTTTTTTTTTTGTCGCTAGGAAACTTCCAGCTGCATGAATGCATATAGTATTTTAAAATTCAGCAAAATGTGGTAGAGAGCAACATGAGACTCTTGAGGCATTGTGTATTAATAATGTACCTTCTTGATGCGCTTCGCACAGGACACATATTTTTCTTTATCAGTAATGTCCAGTAGTACAGTCGACCCCGCTTATAACGAACCTGCCCCCCGCCCCCTGTTCGCTGGCGAGATAAGCGCGCAGACTAGCCCGGCTGGAAAGGCTATGTTCGCCCTGCAGAAAGAGGAGGCTAGTGCATCCTTTCCCGCCTGTGTGTGTGTGTGATGTGTATATATATATATATATATATATATATATATATATATATATATATATATATTATTCGAAGGTAGCAGGTACGGTTCCTGCCCACGGCAAGTTATCTTTTCACCCACTTTTCTTTCTTCACATTTACATTACAATTGGTCTAATAACTTCCTGTATACTTTCCTTGGCATTATTGTCTGTTAGATCTCATAATTATTGTGGCAAGCACAGAAAAACGAGCCTTTAAGTATACACTTCTTTCCTTATATATATATATATATATATGTGTGTGTGTGTGTGTGTGTGTGTGTGTGTGTGTGTGTGTGTGTGTGTGTGTGTGTGTGGTGTGTGTGTGTGTGTGTGTGCGTGCGTGTGCGTGTGTGCGTGTGTGTGTGACGTGCATATATGTGACTGACGGCGATGATGGCAACGGCGAAAACCAGTCAAGACTGTCCGTATAATTTCTATCGCAATAATAAAAATCTATGGGCACCTCGCCGATGGCTTATCGGCGGTTGAAAGCGGGGTCCCAGGAAGTCGCCGGAGCGCCGGCTCCGTTCGCTATAACTGGTCAATGGTACTGTTACGAGTGACCGTGTTTATTTAAATATGAGGTGAAATGGCATTGTGAAAGAGCAGCGTAGGCCTAGAACGCTTCTACCCAACCACACAGTCCAGGCGCTGCTCCGCTACTCTTCTTCTTCTTCCGTGTCCCGTAGGCTCGCGCATCTTCGTTTCATTTCCCCCGGCGGCAGACGAAGCTCGCCGAGCGAGTTAAATAGGCCTATGATGGTACTGTTTGAGGCGGGCTACGTGAACAATTTGCGTAGTGCGCGAACGCCGGTTATTGGCTGTGACTCGGGCGACAGCGTAATTCACGTCACTGAGACGAGTGACTATCACGAATGGGCCGGAATAGTTTGCTAGAAACTTCCGGTACAATCCTTTTCTACGAACAGGAGTCCACAGCCACACGTAGTCACCAGGAGAAAACTCTATGGAGATATGCTTGGCATCGTAGCGACTCTTGCTGTGTTCTTGCGAAGACAATGTTCGAAGGTGCGCTAGTTGACGTGCTTCTTCAGCGCGACACAACGTCTGAGCAATGGATAGATCTTTCTGATGCGAGAAAGGTAATAGAGTGTCCAGAAAACTCTGTGGATTTCGTGCGTAAAGCAGAAAGAAGGGCGAATGTCCAGTAACTTCACGCTTGGCGGTGTTATACGCGTAAGTAACAAATGGTAAGACGGCGTCCTAGTTCCTGTGGTCAGCATCAACGTACATCGATAGCATATTTGTGAGAGTTCGATTTGTTCTCTCAGTGAGACCGTTAGTTTGCGAATGGTAAGGGTGGAGTGGCGATAAGAGGAGCCACAGAGGCGAAAAATTTCTTTAACCACATCGGCGATAAATTGTCGTCCACGGTCACTGATGACAACCCGTGGAGCACCGTAACGCAGTATGACCCGTTGTAACAGAAAAGAAGAAACAGCGGCTCCTGTGGCCGATGTCAGTGCGTCCGTTTCTGTATAACGCGTTAGATAATCCACGCACACTATAACATATCGGTGGCCCGATGGGGTCTTAGGAAGGGGTCCGAGCAAGTCGATGCCGACTTTTTCAAAAGGGGATGTCGGTGGAGGGATGGGCTGCAAATAACCTGCTGGGGCAGTGGTGGATCGCTTGTGGCGCTGACATATAGCGCAGCTGGCGACGTACTGTTTTGTGGTCTTCTACATTTTCGGCCAGTAGAACCTCTCACGTAGTCGATGTAGCGTACGTGTGAAACCGAGATGACCGGATGTTATGTCATCGTGCACAGAACGAAGGACGACCTGGCGCAGGCTTTCCGGCACCACTAGAAGCAACGGGAGGCCATCGGCTTGAATAGTTTCTTTTATACAGCAAGCCATTTTAATTTTAAAGTGCTTGTCGACGGAGTTATGTGCAGCTTCGAGCAAGGGTTTCAGAGTAGGGTCGCGCTGCTGCTCACGTTTGAAGCTGCTGGTATCTGGGAAGCCGGACGAGACAGAAACTAAATAGTCATCAATGTCATCGTCGTCAGTATTGGCGTGTACTGAAGGAAGCCGGGATAAGCAGTCGACATCTGTGTGAAATCGCCCGCTCTTATAGGTAACAGAAAAGCTGTACTCATGGAGGTGCAACGCCCAACGAGCCAGCCGCCCAGACGGGTCACGAAGTCCCACAAGCCAGCATAGTGAGTGGTGATCGGCCACTATTGTGAACTCGCAACCATGTAGATACGGTCGGACTGCTAAGCACTCGCTCGGTGACGGTGTAGTTCGTCTCTGCTCGAATCAGTGTCCGACTGGCATATGCTACGACGTGCTGACGGCTGTTGCAGTACTCAGGGATGCTGGTTGTTAGTGGGATATTGTGTAATTGAAATACGTATATTTCTACAGTCATGCGGATATCATTCGTTCTAAGTGGGGCTGTTATATGTGGGCTCGACTGTTTTACAGAACCCTGTTTGTCATCAGAGCAAGCGTACTTAAACTTTTGGCCTGTAACACTGAAGAGACCATAAAAAAAGTTCTTGTCTGTTGTTAGTTGTTGCTGCATTCATTAGCTTCAAATTCAGAATAGACTTTCTTGATACTATTTCTTTGTAGAAAGATATTCTTTTCACCTGTGCAAATGTATGATGGGGAGTGTAAATTTTATTTCTAATGCTGTGAATGTGGTGCAGGTCATGTGCGACTTCCATGGCCACTCAAGACACTTCAATGCGTTTCTCTATGGCTGCTCGCCATCTCGTTCAGTGGTTGCTTCATGACAAACCTGAAGAAGATGATAATGTTTGTGAGGTAAATGATTGATACATGTTCTGTTGTTAATTGCATTTTAATGAAACAATCTAGTAATGTGTGATGGTTGTGGATGTTCGTCACGTGGTTTGCGACTGACGGACGAGAAAGGATTTGCAAGAGTGCATTATAGGTAAAGAAGAAAACTTCATGAAGCACGCTAGTGAAGGAAAGACAGGAGAGCGATAAGCAGAATAATCTACATTCACAGGACTAATTGGCAATCACTGCGCTGTGGAAGTTTTAAGCTGTCAAGAGTTCAGCTTTGCTACTGCAAAAGCCTGTTGAGCACGTAGAGTTCCTCAATATTAAAGGGAAAATAAAAAAATGCCGCCCTTCACGTTTCGAAACACATTCCTCCCATCTTGTGCCAGTCGTTGTGCAGAAGGGAGAAGTGGCACGGAGGCTCGTGGCAGGCACGGTTGTCAATACAGCGGATGTGCGGCACCATTGAATAACATTCAGCAGCTGACTCAGCACAGTGGGCCGCGACTCTCGAGGACCATGGTCAGCCAATGGCCCAGGAATGCAGCACTAGGCAGGCTTTGTTCAAGATCTAGTTCAATTTCTGGAAATGTCCCATTTTGAGGCCTGCAAAATCTTTTCCATTTTTCGCTACACGTGAAAAGTGTTTTCTTGTTTTTTTTTGGCGTCGTCATGCGCGTACACTTTTTTCTGTGACGCCTAACTGCCTCCTGGCCACACTTCTGCCGATTTTCTCGGCAGCTGTGATGAAATTTGTCTTCAAAGCAGTCGGGCTACTGTTTTCGATCCCCTAAATCTTGCAGCTAGGTTCACGCATGGCACATGTCTCCTGTCAAGGCACATGTTTGAAAATCTCAGCAACAAAAAAAAAGAAATGCCTCCAATGCTCATTCTGCCCTTGCTACACAAGAATGTGAAGGTGATAAAGCCGAGCCATTGCCACGCGACTGTAGTGAGATCGAAACTTCAAGAACAAGCTTTGTTTTTCGAGTAAGTTCTTAATCATATCTGTAAATAAGTACGAGGCGGAAATTCGGAACACCAATATTAAGTACAAAACCTCCTATTATGCAGGGTTTTTTTATGATAATATTACTATGAGCTGGTACTTTCAAAGAGAACAATGTGTTGAATCTCATATTATAATTGTGTAAGTTGAATGTAGTTACATAGAACATAGTGAAAACAAACTTTGCATTCAGCAGGTGCTAGCTGCAATCTTGCACCAAGTGAGCCCTGCATTCACATACAAGTCGTGTTGCTTTGACGTGGAGCGGAGTAAGGAGTCAACAGCCCGAGTGACAGCCTGGCGGCAATTTGGAATTCCACTGAGCTACACGTACGAATGCTCCACAGCTGGGTGTGACCAGGGCATCTATGCTGTGAGTGTGCTGTCTCTTCATATTGTCCTGTGTCAACCACAGATCTCGTACTCACTCCTCTTTGCAATGCATCAAGCACAGCGAACTCGGAAAAGTTGTCGCTTAGTTTACTTCATTACTTACTCATTTATTCACAGATGTGTTTCTACAACCAACTTTAAAGAATTCTGCTCTGACCCAGTGGTCTAGTGGCTAAAGTACTCGGCTGCTGACCCGCAGGTCGCAGGATCTAATCCTAGCTGCAACAGCTGCATTTTTGATGCATGGCGAAAATGCCTGTAGGCCCGTGTGCCTGATTTAGGTGCACGTTAAAGAACCCCAGGTAGTCGAAATTTCTGGAGCCCTCACTGCGGCGTTTCTCATAATCATACGGTGGTCTTGGGACGTTAAACCTCACATATCAATCAACTTCAAAGCATTTTAGAAGTGTGTGATTCAAGAAGTGGACAGTTATAGAATACACATTGCTACTGAAACATCTAGCTTACAAATGTGACTGATTGATCGGTATGTTGAGGAGTAACAAGGAGGGAGAGAGAGCAGGATATCAAACCAATATGGCAGAATCAAACAGTGGAACCCCTTTAATAGCCATGGTGTCGAAAAAATGGTAAAAATATTGAGATCTGATTGGAATGAATAAATCGAAGAGGTCTTTCAGTTTACTACTAGTTGCAATGCATACTTTATTTACCTACGATCAACACTTGTTGATATGGTGATGATTACAGTCATTTAAAAAACTCGGTGTCAAAAAACCTGTGTTTAGCTTTTATCTATGGGTGGCATTTAACATCAATTTACGAAGAGCTCTTGGCTATTAATGGCTGCATCGTGTAAGGTTTACATAGCACCTGAGGATTGTTTCTCACAGAAATGCGGGAATAAAATGCAGCTTTTGGAAAATTCGTTCCGATATGCTATTCACAAGTTCGAACTGTAGTAAAATTAAAATAAAGCGAAGGTATCGGCAAGCTACATATGTGTTTTTGCTGTACACATTCGTGCACTACTATTTCTGAAGTGCTTAGATGCGCTTCATACCATGTCCCATTATGGATTCCTTGATTTCTGAAGTTGGGAAGTGTGGTGATTTCATTCTTGTTCTCTTCTTCATTCCAGGGTTATCACCTAGGTGTGGCTCAGCTTGAAGAGATGGGCATGCAGTTTTGTGAAGCACTTAGCCGTCTGGAACTTTCGGTTGGCGGTGATGTGCAGATGGACCCATCTTGCATTGAACTGCTGGATGTGTGCCGGCGGTATGCCTTTTCAAATTCACTCCAGACGTTGCTCTTTGTGCTAAGTGACTGACCACAGCATGGAACATGTTTCTTGTAGATCACATCCAGGCATACTTTCACATGTGCATCGTTCAGCAATGCAACACGCATGCCATCAGTGCGTCCAAGGACGATGTGTTGTGTGTGCCCTTAATCATGAGAGCTTAGTGAATACGGTGTTGCGCTGCTTAACTCGAGGGTGCGAGATTGATTTCCAGGTGTGGTGGCCATATTTCGACTGGAGGGTGATATGCAAGAGCACCCGTGTACATTAGGGGTGTGCAAATATTCGAAATTTCGAATAGTGTTTAATATTCAATTCAATTTGCATTGGAATTTTACTGTTCGAACTTCTCGAAAGATTAATATTGTCAATGTCCAATTGACCGTGACCCCTTCAGATATTCAATGTGCTTTATCCCACCACACTCGTATTGTGGCAAAGATGCCTTTCAGGCTCTCAGTTACGGTCACAATCGTACGGACTCAAGAGAACGCTGTGAACCTCTACAAGGAGAGTGTAGAATGGACAATCTCATGCACACAGATATTCCTTTTCTCACAATGTGGTCGAGATGTCCACCGTCAAGCGAAGAACGGCAAGTGAGTGAGAAGGTAGTCAGGGATGGGGTTCCAGTATGCTATCGCGTTTCACACTTACATTCGAAGCATACGTGTCCTCCCACATTTTTTGGCACATCGAACAACAAAATTAATTTTTCCGTGTCTTGTGGAAATGATGCTGATCGAGGCACCCTGTTCTTTGGCAGCATCATTCTACGTTACCTGTGCCAATCTTAAAACTCTTGTCTTGATTGACTTTTCGTAGTTCTACTAGTGAAAGAATCAGCCTCACAGAGAAGTGTAATTGCTCAGGCGGCAGTAGAGCTTTAGACAGAATGACTGTGCTTGCTCTACGCTTTCCTCAAGATGTCTAGATGTTCATGCCGGCTCGTCTTTCTTGCAACAGGCATGTCCGAGAGAAGAAGCGCGCTCCATGCAGCAGTGGCAGTACCGACTCTCTTGTTGAAGAAGAAGATGAAGAAGAAGAGGGTGCAGCTCCCATTGTAAAACCATAGCTTGCCCGGTGCTATTTGTTTTTATTGTACTATCCACAGTCAGTTTTACAAGGACTGTTTTTAGCACTCACTGAAGGTGATACCTTTCCCATCGAATGGTTGTTGGACATGTAGACGATTTGTCTGCAATGGCTCCCCTGTCTTTTTTTTTTTCCCTCGTAATATCACGGGATTTGCTTGGTCAGAACTCAAGGTGATATTTTACCTAGCAGTATTGCTGGCTCTGTCGCACTCTCTGTTGCCAATGTGCAAGTGTGTTCCATACGACAAGCACCCATGTGTGTTGGTAGCACATTAATTACTTGTAGTCTTTTTATCGTAGTGTATCCAACCAGCACACTTTTTATCTGTAAGATATTTTGGTGTGAAAATAATGGAGCACTTACAGTTTGGCAATAAAGGCCACATAGTGCGCACAGCTAGTCATAGCTTATAGAATCTAGTCACCAAATGCGACTGTTCTACAATTTTACTTTTTCTGTGGTAATTCAATGTTAATATTCCCAATACTTTTACTAGCAAACTTTCTTTCATATAGTATATACTAGCATGTTTATTCTCTGTACATTGCAGCATTAAAGTATGATTTTGAAATAAGACATTTAATTTTGATTTTGAAATCTAGTATGATTATGAAATAAAATAAGGTAGCAATAGCACTACAATAAATCACACTTGTGCAGTGGTACAGCACAGTTAATATCAGCTACAACTTAAGTTGTGAAAGCTTGGTATAATGTAGCAGTAACATTTCAGTGACGATCCTAGATATTATAGAGTTAGTTGAAATAAAAAAAATGAAAGCAAGCAATTGAAGCCATTTGCCAGGACAAATGGAAAATAAGTGCTATTCAAAGGTAATATTGGCACATGCTGCTATAAGCAGGAGACGAATACTACAAGCTGCGACCATTGAATTCGGTGGTAAGTCATTTAACTACCCTCTAGCTTAAAATACTAGCAATAGAAGCAATGGGCTGACACATCAAGTCGTTACTGCATACATTGTTGGTTTTGTCACAACATGAGTGACATTCCAAAACGTGTATCACTATCATCACCATTCTTTGGTGCCAAAATATTGAACTTGACACAGTCACGTCCAATACTTTACAACTGATTGTCTCATCGTAATTGCTGTCGCTGAAGTCTCATGTTCATTGATGCCATAATAACTGAGTGAGCTTGTCTCCTCAATGGTGATTTTTTGCCTCTCTGGCAGTACTATTTCACAGTGTCAGTTAAGTCAGCACCGTGAGACATAAACATTATTATGAGAAGTATACAAGTCCACCCTATGTATATTAATATAACATGAAGAGGCATGGTTTAGTTGGAAAAATTAGGAAACATACACATACTATTAGAATTATTATGGAAATGTGAACTACTAATGTAGTATGCAGCTGTGTTTGTGGGCATTATGGTACAACATAGTGGGCAGTTTATTTAATGCAATGCTAGCCTGTGCAAGTGTGCATCGGACACTTGGGTCACTAAAGGTCGTGTATTGTGTGACAAAATTTCTTACTGTAGCTAAAGTTTATCCAGTCCTCTGAGTATTACTCTCACCGTTACAGGCTCGCTAATACATTCTCTTTAGGCTAGATGGTGTGAGATTGAATGTGTAAGCAAATGATTGGGTAAAGGATGTGACAAGGATGTCTCATTCCTTATTCTGTTGCCTGGTATTATGTACGTACTGGAATTCGCAGACTTTTACCTTCCACTACTGAGAACTTTGCTTTGTCATCCCTACACAAGTACTACTTGCCCAATCCTGCGGAAGAGGAGAGTGGTTATAATTGTTGTAGACATGCCAAGCAAAAAAGACAGCTGTCATATCCATGCATATATTGTACTAAATAAATCTTACAATGTTGAATTTCACTGTAGCCACTGTTTCGACAAAAGTAGTAGCCTTTGTCGGGGCACCAACCGCCTTCTTTATCAGCGCGTTTTTGTATAACTTGCTCACTCTCCTTCAATCTCAAGTGGAAACGTAGCAGTCTGTTTTGCACAGTCTATTTTTGGAGGGGCATTTACAATGGGCTGACCGTGAGTTAATTTCTGCACCAAAGGTTCGGGATACTTTGATTACGGTGAAGTGCACTTGTTCTGATAAGTTTTTTTGCATAAAGAAACTACACAAAGGTTTGACTATTCAAGAGTGTCAATATGAAGTTGTTGAGTTGTGCCTGCAGCCAATGATGTTGAGGCATTCAATAAGCCTTTCTGGAAATGTGTATAATGCTTATAAAATTAGTCAATTTGGGGCTGTGCAGTGCACGTGCTTTGTTTTACACCAAATCAGTTTGTTGTGTCACATCGGCGTAATATTGGCTCGTTCACTTACATCAGAGAAAAAATTAGCTTTGCAGTGACTACATTTGTAGTGGGACGACATGGTTACCTTGATCACTTGCACATATATTTGAAGCTATGATGTGAAGCTTCATTTCATGAGCACTGTACATCAAGGTTTTGCCACATCTTGGTGCTCTACAACATCAGCTGAATGTTATCACTTACACAGAGTTCTTGAGCAATTGTTTGAAGTATAGAGACAAATACTCCTGTATGCATTGCAATCGGTACTGCTGGTCTCTTAAACATTGATCTTCTGTATAAGCTGTGCTACACTTTGTTGGACACCTTGCACGTTCATTACATTCTAATTATGCAATGTAATTAAAACATGCTTTAGTAGTCCTGTATAGTAACGGTAGCACAATTCCTTTATGTGCACTTTCCCACTATGTGAAAGTTGATGCCACGACCGTTATGCTCATGTACACTTTTATTTCACAACTTTGCACACACTCTGCACTAATACGGTTCTCTATACTTGGCTTCTTACTGTATTTTGCATTTAATGTCATGATTGCCAAACTTGCAATTTTAACATGTTTTTTTTTTTTGTCCAAAAATAGTTCTATATTCTAAGTTTGCAAGTAAGCCTTTTTTAGGAAAAACTGTGGACAAACATGGTGATCTGCAGTCATTGGCCACATGGACTCTTCTGCCAGACACAATATCTTCACAAGCCTTGCCCTCTTTTCCTGCTATTTATGTATTTCTCTGCATTTTTCAGACTCGGGTTAATACAAACTAAGGAAAATGCACAAATACTGTGCAAGCATCTTGCAGCAATAGAATCCTCAAATCCCTGTAGTGTTCTGCTGTGATGCACACTGCTGTTGTAATGTCCTATTAATAAAGTGCTGACTTTGCATCAATACGTTTGTTATCTCACAATTTCTTAGAAAGACACTGGTGACCACCAAGCTCAGTCAATACAGAACCGACCACCATAACGATCAGCTGATTATTATCTAATAAGTAAAGCTATTTTATCTTCAGTGCCCCTGCAGAAAAGAAGCAAATGAAAAAGCCATACACAATGCCCATGCACACTTGCCTACAGGAGTTTCATGCTCTCTACACTCATTCTTTCCGGGGCACAAACTTTTTGCACCTGAAGAATTGATGGCTTGCACTGACATCACTGAAGCTGCCATCTTGATGGTCTGTGTGGTAGGTCATGAAGTTCGTAATGTTGCGTTAATGTTATCGTCACTTCACTGCCAAATCCTTTTGTTTATTAATGCACAGAGGCCAACAACAATGACCCCCATCATTATATTTGAGTATGTTAGGTCTAATGTGATTATGCTGCCTTTATGTCAAATGCAACATATCAGTGAGCCGGTAGATTACCAAGCTGCATCAATTGTTAGCCACATTATCTTCACCTGGCATACAAATGCAACGTATTCACCACCTCACAAACTGATGTGCCTTACTCGTGACACAGTGCACATGTACACACAAGCAAGGCTGTTGACGCCGGCAGAGCTTTAAGTTTATTTGATCGCCTTAATTATTCCACGCTTCTTTTTCGTCTTTGTCTTCCCCTTCGGCAGAACTTGCTTGATATTGGCCTTCACCAAACATGATGCTTGGACGGTACGGGGCACAGCAACTGCTTTCGTCTTGTGCGGAGCACACGACGACGATTCTACTACCTCAACAACGCTGTCACAATCGTAGTCCGGAAATCCTAAGCCGTCTTCTTCAGGAAGCTCAATGTCTACACCAACCAACGAGGCTGCTCTACCTTCGGTGGGGCACTTTACCGAATTGAGCATTCCCAACTGCGCTTCAGATGCGTCCTTGGTTTTCGTAAAGGCAGCTCCTTCGGAGAACGGCGCACGAGCTGCCTTGGCTTCGCTCGTTTTTCCATCCACAGTAACAGACTCCTCGGTAACCCTAGATATGGGGTCTGCGGTTATTACCTCAACGGATGGATTATCAGCGCTTTCATTTTCATTCTTCGATGCCACAGTGTTGTCATTTCCAGATGCCCTATCGGTGTAAGCACCGGCATTTAGCCGCACCGCTTTCAGGAAATCGTCGACCGACTTGGTAGCGGGCGCCGCACGCCGCAGGCCCAACGCCAGCAAAGAACGCACACTGGGCACCCACTCGTGCAACTCACTGGCACAGATTACGGGGGTGTTTTTGTTTCGCGCCAACTTGATAAGCCCGTGCAATAGCCTCGGGGGATCCGCAGAGGAGTTAAGTAGCAGCGCCGACAGCTGATCCTGTTCCAAAGCTCGAGCAGCACCGTTAAACCCCAGCACGAGGTAAGACAGCTTCGAGGGATCCGAGGGCGCAGTCATGCTCCGAAAGCGTTCCAACAGCCGAGCACGACACTCGCCGTCAATCGTAGGCCATCGCGTCGAAACCGGTGCGGCCAGAAGAATCTTCTTCCGCGCTTTCGGTGCCTTTGGCATTTTCGGAACGTTTCTTGTAGTTCTTGACCTACGAACGGCAGTAGGACGCGGCAAGCCGCCGCTAGCGGCAAGCGATCGCAGTGAAAAGCGAGGTGCAAAACACGAGCACACAAACGATGAGGATAGAGATGCTATCCCTGCGTTCGCACAGACATGTAATATCAGAGAACACCTACCACTCTAACCGACCAAACAAGACTCGGCCCTACATGCACGTGGGTTGTTTAAGCCTCTGCGTTTCGTTTCTGATGGATGGATGGATGAATGTGGCTGTACCCTTTAGATCGGGCGGCGGATAACGCCACCTAGCCGTAATACTTAGTGAAGTAACCATTAGATTTATCTTTTTTTTTTCTTTAAATAGTGAGGTTGAGGATTCGTACTTTGCAGTGAAGGGTTTAATTTTCACTCGTGCCTTGACTTTAGCCACCAATCAGATAACCTTCTTCTAGTCAAGTCTACCTGCTTAATGTCTATTTTGCCCTCCCTGTCCCTAAACCCCAGTGCTTTGAAAAACTCTGCGCCATCATCCTGAACTATAGGGTGAAGCCCTTTACAGAACATTATCAAGTGTTCGGCAGTTTCTTCTTCCTCTCCACACGCACTGCATACCGTGTCTAACCCTTCGTATTTGGCCCGATATATCTTGGTTCGCAATACTCCCGTCCTGGCCTCATACAGTAGAGATCGATCGAACTACCCCGAGTGTTATCATAGATCCTTTCCTTGGCAATTTCCTGCTTAAAAGTTCGATAGATCTCTAGTGCGGACTTCTTAATCATGCCAATTCTCCACATGTCAGTCTCCGTTTCCTTCACTTTCTTCTTAACCGATAGTTCTTTTTGGTTTGGCCACCTGCTGTTTTCTAAGTATTTACCAGTCAATTTCCTGGTTCGCTTCCTCCACTTTGTATCGACATTCTTCATGTACAAGTAGCTGAAAACCTTCCTATCCCAACGTTCCTCCCCCATTTCTCTCAATCGCTTCTCAAATTTTATCTTTCTGCTAGCTTCCCTGCCCTCAAATGATGTCTATCCCATATCACCTTGTACTCCCTGATTTGGTGTATTCCCGTGAGCTCCTAAAGCAAGCCTACCTATTCCACGTTGCTTAATTTCTAATCTAGCTTGAACTTCTGATCTCATGCACGAGATCGCATTGCCAAACGTCAGCCCATAGAACCATGACCCCTTTCCATATTCTTATCCTATCTTTATCAGCGGAAAAATCGGCCTTCGTGCTCTTCCCGGGAGCGCGACGGAAGTCAACACGTCTGTCGCTGAATATTCGAGGCCACTCAATTCGTTGTGCAACAAGGGTCCGTTTCCTGGGCATTACTATCGACAACAAGCTATTATGGCGACGTGCGGTTGATGGTATAGTCACTGCATCAGTGCAAAGGATCAACGCTCTTCGTCGCATGGCAGGGGTCCGTTGGGGCAACAATCCTATGCCCATGCTTAAATTGAATGATGCGCTTATAACAAGCCTCATTCTTTATCAGCTGCCCCTGATATCACCATCACCAAGCCAGTTCGAACGCCTAGAGGCAGTGCACAGAAAGGGTCTTCGCTTGGCGATGGGAGTCCCTCAGGTGGCTTCAAACACGAAGGTCACCAATGAAGCCGAGTCTCTTCCGCTCCGCCTTTTGGCGTCTCAGGCCTTATTGACGCAGCTGTGAAGACTGGGCGAGTCCTTCGCAGGCACGGCGCTTCTCCGGCGACTAAGAGCAAGAACTGCTCACATTTCAACGCGGCACTAAACACATTTCGATATTTAGGCTTGAAACTGCCTAAACGGCACCCTATGGACCCGCCATGGTCTTTTGTGGATGTTGCGTGTAACGTGCGTACCCAATCTACCAGCGAAGCGCACGATTCCAGCCGCGGAAGCAAAATTTTTTGCGCTGGACCACTTGAGCACCATGTACCGCAGCCACCTACAAGTGTACACCGACGGATCAGTGTGCCCACAAACGGATAGCTGCGCAGCGGCTTTCTGCATACTCTGCCTTGGCGTGTCATGCATGGTCGGGCCGCCTGGATCGCGTGGTTTCGTCCACAACGGTAGAAAGCGCTGCAATCACGGCGGCTTTGCGAAAATTGCGATTCTTTCTGCACGAGATGTTGTAGTACTGACGGGCTCCAAATCGGCGCGCTACAAAGACTGCATCGTGGCCTACCTCAAGAAAAGTTCACCAGGCAATCTCTGGCACTAATCAAACACCTAAATGGCAAGAGTTTTAATATAAAGTTCCAGTGGATCCCATCCCACGTTGGCATTGAGGGCAATGAAAAGGCTGATGCCCTTGCATGCGAAGCATGTACATCGTTTCCAAAAGTAAGAACTCCCAAGACTTACGAGAACAACAAAGATGTGATACGCAATCATTTCAAGGCGATCTACAAGTTTCCACACCAAGCATGTGTAATTCATGGACTTTCTCGTGAAGAAGCGACGCTGTTGTACCGCATAAGAACCGGCTCCGCGTACACCCCGGCCTGGTCATTCAAGACTGGGAGATACGCTTCCCCGTTCTGTGCCTTCTGTGGTGACATCGGGGATATTGAACATTTTATTTGGCTTTGCCCACAGTTTGATGTGCAAAGAGCAGCGATGATCCGCACCTTGCGAAAAGGCTGTCATAGGCACCGGACAGTTGATGACGTCATCTTTCCTGAAGGACCCGCGGCAACCAGGAGGAACGTGCAACGAATTTGTTAGTCTTCCTGCGAGACACTAGGCTGTCTGACACGTGGTGACATTTTCCAATTTCAGGAGATGCTCAGGTGGAACATTTGCCGGCCATGCAGGCCAGGCTAACCCCGCCTGCTGCAACACCACCACCACCACCACCCTTTCCATATTCCTCTCACAACATCATACCTATTGTAATTCCACAGTGCCCTATTTTTCATTACAGCTGCATACATTACTGCTGGTAGTGCCTGATCAATGAGTTTTCCTTGTTTGACTAAAGAGAGGTTGAAGCCAAGTCCACTTCCCTCTAATTTGGCCTCTAATCCATCTAGGTACACCATGAATAACAAGGGTGACAGTGGACACCCCTGCCTGATACCTGTTTTTCCCACTTTATAACTACCTTGTTATTTTTATAGATTTCCTTTAAAAGATTAGTGACTCCATCTTCCACACCCAGTGTGTCTAGTATTCCCCACAAGTCCTCTTGAACCACGCTATCATACGCTCCCTTGATATCCAAAAATGCTAGCCACAGGGTCCCGAGTTCCTTTTCTGCTATTTCGATGCACTGCTATTTCGATGCCTTGTCTTGTCTTGTCGCCTAGGAGATCTTGGCTCATACCCACATGGGGGATTGACCACACTGTACCTCATATTAGATAATTTTTTTACAACGCTTGCTAAAAAAAAAGTAAGAGAAATTAGATAAGAACAATAATAATGTTTCTTTGAAAAAAAAACGTGAAAAAGTGCAGAAGAATGCGATAAACCAGAATATATAAAACATATTAACAAGAATGAGGAAGGGGGACAAAGAATTGGATATACGGTCATATACCTGACAGTACCACTAGCAGCGTATCCTTCCGGTTGCCTGAATGGATTTATGTAGCGCTGACAGAATAGCACTGCGGCCCACACCCAACTGACTGGCTCCAAACGATAATAGGGTGGATGTATTGACTGGCAATCCGAGCATATCAATCGGTCTTTCAAGAATTATTCGGCGCAGTGAGGCGAAGCGGCGGCATGTGAGAAGAAAGTGATGTATTGTTTCCGGTTCATTGCAAACTGCACATAGGTTAGTTATTGAAAATCCTGATTTGTTGAGATAAAAATTTAACCGAGGAACTCTACAGCGAAAGCTTGTGAGGGTCACTTCACATTGACGGGAAAGGCATTTTGCGGTGTTCTATGTGAATTGCAAGTGCCGAAATTATTCAGATTGTAGGAGCGACGTTTCGTTGATCTTTAAGATTAACAGGCATTTCAATCGTTCGGCAGTAATAAAAGGAAACTGTGGAGCTACTATCACCACCGGGAAATTTAAAGATGCCGAAGCGAGCGAATCAGCAATTTCATTTAGTTCAATTGCAGCATGTCCGGGGACCCAAATAAACCGAACTTCTGATAGGCTGTGCGGTACGAGAGACCAAAATATTCTGAGAAGAGGAGGCTGCTTTGCGGACGTTAGATGTGTACATACAGACAAAGCATCCGAAATAATAATAGCTTTTGATTGGTGATAATTTAGTTTTCGAAGAGCGAATCTAATAGCCAGGAATTCTGCGAGATAAATCTTGCGCGCGCAAGATCACGGATATTCCTCTTTTTTACATTAACATTTTCAGTTCTAGCTAAACGTTTTTAACATCGCATAATGCGAGTAAATTTTATTTTAATAAATTCTGTTTTTAATGCGTCTGCGCAAATTACTTGAAAAAAAAAAAAAAACAGACTAGGTGTACACGTGACTGTGACGTAACTTTTAATGCCAGTTTTTGCCGGTTGTCGTCTCTTCAAAAATAACAAGCAGCTGCCGATCACCGGATCACCGCTCAACAACCAGCTCAACGGTGCAACCGTTTCGCCGCTTGCGTTACCCGTGCAAGACCTCGTTTTACCGAGAACTAATTCACGGATTTCGCTCACACGTCAACAATGGCCACGGACGAAAGTCACGGCGCAGGATGCGCCGCAGATGCCGATACAACGGAAAAGGATGAGCAGGTAGGAGAGTCGGTCTTAGGCTTATCCCCGAATATGTTTTTTTCCGTGAAGTCGTCTTATATCTTTGCGCAGTGCGGGATTTCACGTAGCCTGCGCGGCATCACTCGCGAATTTCGATACGGTTGGCCTTGTGTTGTTTCGTGCAGGGCTCAGATGCGTTCCGTAATCGAGCCGTTACTGCTAACGGCCGTTAGCACAACCAGTGAGCGAGTGCGTTGTGCTCGCTCACTGGTATTCAACCGCTGTGCCTCGACACCTTGCTATTCTGTATTCCCGCCATCTGCATCGTATTAAGCGGCTTGATGGATCGAAACTTGTGTCATCGCCAACGTGCACGTGGCCCGCCTTTGTACGACGGGCTTTTAACTCGATTCGTTTACTTCTCAGCTGCTTCTCATCGGAGTGACCAGTACTTTGTGGGGAACAGATAAAAACCTGCCGTGTTATTTCGTGTCCGGCGGCCGAGCATACAATGTCGCAGCATTCTCGCCTCTGAGAAGTGCTGTTTGTCGGGCTAGTTTGTTGCTCACTATATTTCAAATCGGCGCATAATCAATTACCATAAGGATAGTAACACAAGAAAGATAGAAGCACAAGGTATAATCAAAGAAAGGTTTCACATGCCAGCTCCCCCGTTGGTTGCTTTGGCCTAGAAAGAAATGTTGCTCCTTAATAACTCCATGGTGCGACACCGTGCGTTACAGAGCTCGAGTTTGCTTGTCAGGATGCGCCTGTTAACTTCAGTTGCTTTAACAGCACTTTCGTTTGTGTGTGCCTAGCTTTGTCCATGTTTTTCAAAGCGTGCAAAAATGGAAAAGTGCTTATTTGTGTAGCGGTAGCATCGAGTAACCTCGATTCAGCCAACCTATTCTCGACTCTTTTTTTTTTTTTGATAGCAAACAATGCGGAAAGCAGAGCTGGAAGAAGAGGCCAAGTTCAAGTCCAAATACCCTGCAAACATGAGGCCAGGAGGATCTCTCTTCCTCCAGAAACGTCTGAACAAAGGGGTGAGGGTCCTTTGTCACACTTTCTCAAGTTAAAAAGTTCGATCTGATGATGAATGGAAGAATAGTGCATTGATGATCTCTCTTCTGCAAGTGTGCAAAATGCTTTCACTTATGAGAGCCCGCGGAGTAGTGTTGTGGCTTCTCTGCAAGGAGCCTGTAGATCTAGATTTACTGTATGTTAAAAATGGTGGAAGATAAACGGCACTGCGGTCCTCTCATTTTTGTCTGTACTGGCCTGTGCTGCTGATCAGATGCCAAGCTAATGTGACTAACAGACATCACAGATGTTTGCCACATGGTGTTCGCAATGCACCTTCCAACACACCAGTGTGGCTCTGTCAGTTATGTAGCTGATGTCATATAAAGACATACTAAATACTACATTAAAGTGACAAGAGCAGGCTAAATTGATCCAGTGGTTTTTTAGTGCTGTGAAAGAGTTGAATTAATCTTGTTTGCTAGAAATCTGACCTTTTCTTTGCGACTTTGAAATTATGTGTAATGGCCTGAGATTAAAAGGAATACCACTGTTAGCTGCCAAGTGAGAGAGTTGCTACGAATACATTCAATAAGACTACATGACAGGCTCCTTTAGCAATCTTAAGTATTAACTATAAGTGAGGCAGTATATTCTAACTTTTATTATTATGTTGTTATGCAGCAATAAAACTCTGGCAGTTAAACTGTATTCAGGCGAACTTGAAGTCAAGTGTTACTAAGCGAGCGATTGTTGCACTGGTTAGCACCTTAAGGTGCTGTTAGCCTACCTAAGCTTTTCTGTACCATTGACTAAGTTTTTATGATAAATACCTTAACAGATTAGAAGATTGCTTCCAGTTGCAGCTTGTCACACTGCACTGGATAGCCTGAAATATAGACTTGCTGCATAAGCAGAAGACAAGATAGAATGTGGATAGCCTGTGTATGCATTGGGGGGGCTTGAATACTGGCTGTGGAACCATGTTGCTGCACAGGCTCCAAAAATACGGCCGTTTTTGTGCGATAAAAATTGAGAGAAGGGGAGCGTAAACCACGGCTTGTATGCAAACTTCGTGCAAGTTTTGTCATTTCTTCGGGTACGTAGGGGGCTAAACTGCTACGATTTTTCTTTTCTTGTGCGTTTACAGCAAAAGTACTTTGACTCCGGAGACTACAACATGGCTAAGGCAAAAGGCCAAAAAGTGGTTCCACGGGTTCCTCCCGCTGTCCCCCAGAACCCCACAGGGGAGACCATCCCCACAGTGGAGTCGCTGCCACCACGCAAGACCTCGCTGGTGCAGAGCAAGCTGGCCACGGGGCTTTCTTCCTAGGAAGTGCAAAGTGGGGCTGCCCGCCCTACGGGGCTCTGGGTGACTTGCTGTTGTTGCTCCCCTGCCCTCCAAGATCCAAGTGCGACACCTAGATGGTGTGCGTTTGCTCGTACCTGGAAGCACAGGGCTATAGGATCTGAACTGGTCAGGTGCTTATAAGATCAACCAGTCCCACTTTCGCTCTGTTTGGCAAGACCGGGCCAACTGTAGGAGCAAGCCATTGATCTGGTGTTTTTGTGTTCTGGTAAAAGTTCAAAGGTGAATGTACCGGTGCCCCTCTTGTTCATTTCAGCTGTCCACTTCTGGTGGCATCTCGTGCTTACAATGAATTCGCTAGCATTGCGGCTGTTGTGATGGATAGATTTTGCAGCAGTATTAGTGCTTGTAAAAATAGTAGTGCTAAAGGCTCGCCTTATTCAGCAGTGAAATGGTGCATCTATATACAAGAAAATGCACTCTTTTAACATTTTTACAGCTCCGTTAAAACAAAATTATTTTACAAAACAGTGCTCCTCCAAATCAAGTTTAAAGTGAACTATATCTAAATGTGTCAGCATTTAGAAGTCTCTAATGTAGTTCAGAAATTTTTTCTTGGTAAATATTATAAGAAGTGCTTCGCTGTTAAATGTACAATTTCTGCAAAAGCAAATTGCTTAACACTGGCCATGTAAGCCTCGCTGTACAACTTCAGTGCTGACAGATCTTGTGAATCCGTACGAGTTCCTGGACACCGTTCTTAAAATTTAACCACTTCTTTATAATTGAGTTGACCTCGTGGCTTTACTGCAGCTGAGTGAAAGTGCTTTCAAGTATCTTCTCTGCACTTGCAAACACACATGTCGTTGACGTACATACACGCCCAGAAGGATTTGGTCAATGCTGCCATGTCAGTTACTTGTTGTACCATGTGGATACCACGTCCTGTGCATTTCTCAAGCATGACTCAACTGTTTGAGCCAAAACAATGTGTAAATAAAGCCTGTACAAACATTTATGTGCCATATTGGTATTACAGTGTTCAGCCAGAGCTTCAAGATCACATTGTACACTTGTTTGTCTCCTAGCCTTCCGTTCTCTCGTCCACTGTGTGCACGCCGAAACGTTGTCAAACCAAGAATGTTGTCAAAACAGCTCGTCCAACTTTCCATTTTGTTACATTGTACACTTGCAATAGTATTACAAGTTTTACAAATGCGGATTAGTTTGGGAGCACTAAGCTTAAAATAAAAAACAATGGAGTAAAGCAGTGAAATTTATCATGAGTCAATGTACAGCCATATATTGCAGTACCAAGGCCTCTCCCGATCTTCAACCCAGACTGTCCTATGCGAGCAGATTGGATTTTATGCCTCTAAATTATAAGTTTTTGCCATCATTACCTGCACTTCACATATCCTTGTGTGCATTCTGATGCTCGATCTGACAATTGGTGATCTGCGCTCATGAAGTGAACATCTCTGGACTACTGTTTCCTTTTAAAGGAGCCCTGAAACACTTTTCCAAGTAATTATCAATTCATTAAAGGAGCTTATTGCATCGCAAATTGACTGCTGCAAAAACTTTTACGGTCTGTCGGGAAGATAAGTTGGTTAGTCTGAAAATGTCACGACCTCTAGCACTTCCTTCTTTTTACCCTTCAAACACTCTGCTTGCTTTCAGTGTGACTGCATGCCAGCACGAGGCAGCATCCTGCGGTGGCAATGGCCACTCTGCAGCTCACGGTGCTCAAATCAGCCAGTGGGCGAGGACATTAGGTATACCGGCATTTGTCAAAGAGATGAACGATTTTTAGCCGCCTTCCGGAGCTGTAAATTTGAAGACCCTCTGCACTGCGCTATACTGTTTGGCTGAAGTATTTAGGGGTGAAGCTCCTTATGGTGAAGCTTGTGCATCCCCGCCCCCTCCCCTTAGCGCAGTGTAAACTGTCGCACATAACTGCATACCAGTAGCGCATACCCATCCTCAGGCACATGTCTACATGTTACGAAGAATGTAGCACAGAGTCGTTGCCACGCTCTCAGCGTTGAAGTGCTGATAGCGGAAATGTGGTACATACTCTCCTTTAGTGCTTGACGGTACTTGTATATGATATATGACAAGAAGCAAAACGGCGGAACTTGAAATGTTTACTAGATGGACGGATAGTTGCACCGACAGATGCACGCACGAATGGATAGATTGACGAACGCTTCGCCTTACTCATGATCAATCTTTCCGTGAATATGCTGCGAATTTTTTTCAGGAGCCTGACTGCCACTCAACGTTTTCTGACCATGCTAAAGAAAGTGTGGCAGTAGTTTTAATATATACTAAAATACATGCTAACCCTGTCTGGTCCGCTGCGCTTCTTGGGTTATTGACCACCTCTGATGCACTCTGCGATCTTCCCATCTCTCCAAGTTATGCCTATCATTTCTCATTCCACTGCATGCTGAGTGGTTCTTAGCTTCTACTGTTTCAGTGCTACTTTCCATGGTTCTGCGCCATACATGGGACCTGACAAAACGCAATGGTCGCACTCCTTTGTAGCTGTGGTCATGAATTGAGAATGTCTACAGTATATGGAGCAGCCCATTCTGTTTGTTCAGTTGATTTTCTTCACACCAGTAGGCTCCTCGGTTAATATTTAGCTTAGACCTATTGCACTGATTTTAAGGTCCGGTGGTCTTATCACAAATTCTCGTTATCTAATTTTACTTGGCCTGTTTCTTCTATAATGTTTTGCAATTCATTGCTACGAGACGTACCATGTTGTCTAAGAACTGTAGATGTGTTGGTTATTCTTTGTTCACCTTTACTACTGATTCTTCATTATCTAGTTGTTTTAGTGCTTCTCAACAAGCAGTGAATAACAATGGGGAAGCAGTAAATAACAATGAAGAGATTGCATCATCCCGACAGACCAGTTTCTAGATCGGGATTTATTCCGCCTCATGACTGCTGGTGTACACTGGGCTTGGTGCCAGCACAATTTTTAATTGTGTTATTTTGCATAATTTCATCTGAACGGTTAGCAGACACCTGTATGTCATTACTTCAACGTTGGGTGACAACTCGTACTGATATGTTGCTGGTAGCATGCAGCATTTTTCATTTTTAATGGCCCCCTGGTGTGAAGCTACTTGTGAAGGAGGAGGGGAGAGGTCATATGAGCTACTTGCCATGAGGTGGTTTCAAACAAAAATGGACTAAATGTAAAGACTCGTACTTTACGCCAAGTACTATATCATTGCTTTCTTGCACCAAAAAGCTCTTTATATAATGCGACAGCACATCAAAGAGAACAGCTCGTGCAAAAAAAAAAAGGCTAAGTTTGCAGTGACAATAACCTCTCGCCAAGAGCAATTTCTAATTACTTGGCTTGAGAAGCATTTAGCATCCGTACATTTTTTTACAGCGAAAGCTGTTATGAGATCAGAACACGGGTCACACACGGCCGCTGCCGGCGTCCGTAACCAGTATCGCAAAAAATAAGAAAAACTCCGTAAATAAAAAACACCAAAGAGACAATTGGATTCGAACCCGAGTCCGCTGTGTGACAGCCTGGTATTCTACCACTGAGCCAAAAAATAAGAAAAACTCCGTAAATAAAAAACACCAAAGAGACAATTGGATTCGAACCCGAGTCCGCTGTGTGACAGCCTGGTATTCTACCACTGAGCCACGTCGGTGCTAAGAAGAAAAACTCCGTAAATAAAAAACACCAAAGAGACAATTGGATTCGAACCCGAGTCCGCTGTGTGACAGCCTGGTATTCTACCACTGAGCCACGTCGGTGCTAAGAACTCGTTTGTAAACTGGCCTTAGGCAGGCCTGATTTCAGGAAAGGAATCATGTTAAAAATGAGTAATAAAGAGTTATAGAACATCAAAGGAGCAACCAGGTGTCGCACAATTCGAATTGCATAACGAGAATTTCCAGCCCATTATAAAACTTGTTCTCGATTACCTATTAACTGTGGTGCATACCCACTTCAGGCGTAATTTTTCGGTGTCAGCCACTGCACACACACAAAAAAAAAGCACTAAATTCCTAGCAAGTGCGTAGCGGATATCACACTTATCCATAACCAGAGCAAAATACTGAACACTGTGATAATGAAAGCCGTACAACCTCCGTTTGCAATGACGCGAATGCAGAGCGTTTGGGTTTGCCAGTCGAAACATGTGCATCCATAAGAGGTGGCACATCAATTCTATGGTGGTGGGCATGCTACTGTTTGTGCAAACAAATAAGCATCTACTATAACAAGAAAAGCTTTGAAAAAAAAAAAAAAAATCCAACATTTCCTTTTACAAGCTTATGGTAACTGAATTGCAGTGATCCAAGCAATGCAGATGTTCAGGATCATAAGGACTTGAAGACATGGAATATACTTGAGCAGGGCATTTCATAAGTAAATCACTATGCCGCAGTATATACTATGGAAGTTTCAGGCCATTCGTGTTGCATTTTCTTCGTACATTTGGTACTACTACTTTTCTGTTATGTAACAAAACTAGCAAGTGTAAATCAAAGGGCTAGCTGAGCCCTCCTTGATCAGGAAATTCAGATTCCAAAAGTGAAGGGTTGCAGATGGACATGCCTCTGCAGCCTGGGTTGCAGAGCTCTTTGATCACAAGTGGATGTGCTCTCACTATGGTGTTGTTCACCGATGCAGCTGGCCAGTGCTTGTTCATGTATTAAAGCCTGCCAAGTTTGAAAACAAGCTGCTAGTACAAGTGGGTATCTATCTTCACGCTAGCTTCCTTCAGAGTTCAATAAGAATGTTCTTTTTAAATGTAATTTGCAAATTTAATGTTGAAACATGACTACAATGACAATATAAACATTCTCATTACTTTGCAGCTACAACTAGCTGAAATGGGAAAGTAAATGTTTCATGGTCATACGTGACTCCAGCTGCAGGGTTCTGTAGGGTTTTACATTGTCTCATAGGAGATGCAGCTCTGCACCATGTCTTTGATGTTCTTGTTCTCCATAGCTGCAGCTACTCTTTCTTTGTCGTTGATCTGCTTACTCACTGCAAAGGCAAAGTGAAATCTGATATCATGCATGTTCTTCAGTCTGTTAGGAATGTTTTTTAATATTCCACTAATTACAGTTATCTGCAGTTCAACAACTAATGTCTGTCCTGCACAAGTGAATTTGGTTACATATACAAACTGCCATGGAAACATTACTTCTAATTGAACAGAAACAGTGGCCTTACATTCAGCAGCGGTTGTGTGAGAACCTTCCTTGATAAAGATATCCAGCTGGAATAAAAAAATTCCACCTATTTTGCAATAACGTATCATTTATGGCGCACTGGGCAGGCAACACTTCAGCATCTCTTACTACTATGGCATTAATAGCAAAAAATAAGTTCAATATTGTGTATAGAACACGTAGTTTGGCGAGTAGACACCCGGAAGGTAGTACACGTTTTCAGTGTTTAGTTTACTGGAAGCAACACGTTTAACGCAGGTTACACACCTTGAAACTGTAAGGCAAGTTTTCCTCCAGTTTCGTCCTCACACAGAGTCCTGTATAAGTAAACATTTAGAGAGACAAGTGCCAACTTGCAACAGAGCTTCCGTCTGCTCACCAATAATCGCAGCGAGGTGGCAATGAGGCACGGTCGGTATCAGGGTGACGCTTACGTAACTGTAGGTGTCTCGGTCGGTGCTCACGCTTATCTCTTCCTCGGATACAACGCTAAGCTCTTCCAGTGTTTGAGGCTTCTCGGGATCACGAATGTCCTTTATCAGATCTGAAAGCAAAACAACACACTCCCTAAAGCAGTCCGAAACGCCACAAACCACTAATTAAGTTGAAGGCTTGTCTACCGTAGACTTCTTCAACAAGCATCCGAGTTCTGTCATCAAGAACGCCCATTTTTAGAACACGGCAGAGATGTCACGATGAACTGGTTGCAAGGGACATCAAGGATGAGACTATAAAAAAGAACCGTACAACTTATATAGGGTAGAATATTCATCTGACGCCAAGTAAGCTAGAACCAAATAAGAGAACTTATGGCAACACATTGTTCAGGTTGGAAATCGCGAAAAGACGGGTGCGTCAACAGGCAGACCGTTACCTTTGGAAGCTTCTTAGCACATATTTCGTGGAACATGCAGAAATCGCAGCAGACGCCGAGGCATTTCGTGCCTGCAGCAGCTGGTCCGCCATCCAGATTCTATTCAGATCCAACAGCGTCTAGTTCTATCGTACGTACAATCCAAAAAGAGCCAAAGCCGATCACTTTCCAGCTGTGATTCAGCAGCAGCAACATCGCGATTGCATCATTCAAGAAATTTCTGCACGTCGTACGTGAGCGCAGCTGTTTTTTTAATTAATTGGTATCCCTTAAAATCTAGGTCATCAGTTGGCGATCTTTGATGTGTCAGAGGAGCACTTTATGACTTTCGGTAGACTGAGAAGTGTTTGAATACGATGAACCTCACGATTTCTTTCGGTCCTTCATGGGCTTCCCACCGCGCAGGGAACCAAGGTGAGCGAGTCCCGTCTGTTCGATCAACGGCGGCCTCTGGCGCATGCACGACATCTTCTTTTGGTTCCGTTTGACCTATACTGAAGATCTCAATCACTCTATGAATGTCTGCGCAGTTTCGGCGACCCTCAGGCACCCTGACACTGGTGGTTTCGGAGGGGACGACAACCCGTATGAAGGATCGATGTTTGGCGACCCGTGGGATATGTTCAGACACCTTGACAGCGTCTTCCGCAACTTCGGGCTGACCGATTTCCCGCCTTTCCCGCACGGTAAGATATTTTGGATTGCTGTCCGAAACCACCGAGTAACGTGTACGTAATCTGTAATGCAGGGAGCGACGTACCCGCCATAGAAGGACCAGGCCCAAGTGAGCCGGGACATCTGCGTGATCACATGCTGAAAGTTCCAGACTACCATGAGCCGTTCCTGAATGCTCCGGATATGGTAAGAAGCAAGCGAATATCATGACGAGTTAGCTGCAGCTTGAAAAGTGTTGCTGCTGTTTATTAGCACAGATTTCTTGCTGAATTTTTGTGCGACCACAAAACATAAGTATAGCTCTGGTTCTGTCATTGTGTGGTGCTAATGGCGTGTGTTACCGCGTGAATATTCGCAGGAACTCGTAGTCCTCCTTGAGTTTTGAATCGCACTTTTAGGATCAGTACCACTATGTATTTCTGCGTACTGCACAATTATGCAAAGCTTCGCGTGTGTAATATCTTCATAATGGAAACAACTTTTTGTTCACCCACATTATAATTTGATGATTCGAGACACAGCTGATCTGGATCTCATTATTTACAATTGATATCAAATGATATGCATCTCTTAACACAGCATTTAGGTTGATCTTATAACGAAATTTGGAAACCTATTGTTAGAGCTTGAGATGCAAAAAAGCCAGCACATGACTCTTAGTTGAAAGGTTTGTTCAATGTATTTTGTCAGAATAAATTAAAATACATTTTTTAGTGGTCGGACTTGCAATAAAGCTTTAGAAACTGCTCCCACATTACCCTACATGTTTCTTATACATGTTCCTTTTCCCCATGGTTGTGTTCTTGCTTCTGTCCCATGCTTGTTTTTTTAATGCTTGCACAAGATTTGATTAATAGCATATGTTAAAATGAACTATCATTGCTAATCTAAAATTTCTTCTGTGCAAGATTTTGTTGCTTGTTTTTTCTTACAAGTAGTCTGCCGTGGTGGTACATTAGTTACGGTGCTCGGCTCCGTAACCACTACAACTGCGGTGCTCCTCTGTGGCTGCATCCCAGCCGCGGTATACACATTTAAATGGGCCCTAGCTGTCAACAGTCGAGGTATTATCCAGTAGTTAAAAAGATTATTATTTAGCTCTATATATTTTGATAGTAACACCTTTCCAAAGTTTAATTCTAGAACTGCAAGGAATATTACTTGCTGGCTTTTTCTTTTGATTTGTAAACCAAACCTTATAATTTTGTTTATTGTCCAAGAATATGCTCCACTGCTACTTTTCACTTGTACTGATATTAGGCATAAGATTGAGTTGAGTGCTAACAAATATATTTAGAACAAAAATGTGAGACAGTTGTATAACAGATGCAGTGCCTTTCAAAGCTCTGCCCGGAAGAGTTATCGTGCACTGTTGATTTTGTAGGCATATAACACAGTTACATTTATCATGGGAATATTTTTAAGCAATAATAATAATAATAATAATAATATTAGCAATAATTTTTTGATTATGCTCAAGCCTGTGCAAAATATTCTGCAAAGATTGTGAACCCGTCCAGTGACACGTCAGGCTAGACAGAAAGAAAAGACTGTTAGTCTCGTATGTATGCTAGTCCATCACCAAAGGGCAGGCTAGAAAGCATTTCTGTTAATAGATAACTAGTAGAGATGTCTTAATGGTTACATTGAGCTGGTGTCATTCATGCAGTGTCACTCTAATGAAGTCAGAATTGTTTTTGTAAGGGAGGTTAAATTACTGTCTTATTGAGTATGGTTAGCATTGCACTTCCTCTTATGTATCAACTCATGTGAGAGCACGGCTCAGCACAATCTTGTGTTCTAGATCGGCATGATACACATGGCAAAACGTCTCGTTTATAATAACAAGGTAAAATTTGTTTTGCAGTTTCCACACATGCCCCCAGGGCCTGCCCAGCCAGAGGAACATCCGTGCAGGGACATGGGTAAGATAGGGAGTCCTGTCAACAAACTTTAGGGATATTTTTCTAAATGGCCTACTTGAAATAGGCTTTCCTGAAAACAGTCTCAGATAAGGTCATAAAGCAGTGTCAGTAGAACTTAATACGCACAGGTTGTTGCAAAACTCGAGGCTAAACTCTTTTTTTTAGTCTGGTAATGCTTGTGGAAGCAACATTTTTATATTGATTCCAGGAACATGATTACCTCTTGTTTAAATGTAAAAAAAAACTGCCAGACTTGCACAGAACACGTAGTATAGTTACAGCAAAAGCTGGAAAAGCAGTTTTCTTAGAGCTAGTTGTAAAAATTTTTGGGGCAACTAATACAAGTACACTTGCGAGGTGCCCTTGGACCATTAGTCAGCATGACGTTTGTGATGATGTGGGGAAGCATCCACTATGCCATTTTTTGCCATGCTGTGGCGTAGCATGGTACTCATTACACACTTGTAAGGCATTATGCTTTGGTTGATGATGATGAAGAATTATCGCTGAGCGTTTTGTCTGTAAAGGGTTGGAGACATTCAGCGGCCCACTCGTTATGCAATTCACGCCTGAATGGTATTTTACTCTTCTACCCTGCTATATTATTTATGTCAACATGACTCCATCCCAGACATGAACCCTTGTATGGATCTTTTTGTGAAGGAGTTTTAAGCAATGGTGTGGCTCTGTCGTAGTATGATAGACTGCGACGCAAAGGACTAAAGCTCGAATCCCACTCTATCCTGAGTATTTTTTTTTCTCATTTCATTATTTTTCTTATTTCGTGTTATAGCAGTTTATGACACAGACGACGGACAACTACGCCACCTAAATCGGCTGCTGTGATCTCTCAACAGCTTTGCTCTAAAAACTCAGCTTACAGCACTTCAGAACTTTTTTATGCCTCCAAGATGTCTTCTATATGGAGTGTGTCAAGTAGATGGCAATGTTCGGTTGCAAAGTTTTAGTTTGAGGCCAGGGATTTCTGGAACTTCACCAGATGTCACACGGCGCTTTTATACTCAGGCAATGACATGCTGAACAGTTGAGATGGCAGAACAGTTGAGATGGCACTGTTAGAACATGAATGCTGTTTGCACTCACAGCAACAGATGTACCAACTTTTTCCTTGTATTCGTGACTACAACATGAAAATATCATGAGTTGTGACATGCAGTAGTGTCACGAGTACTCTGCAAAGTTTGGCCTTGATTTTATCTCCCGACAATTCTCCACCTAGATAGCTACCATCGGCATCCAGTGAAATGCGAACATCAAAGCGCATGGCCCAAGCATTAGCTCATGTGCACCATCTAGTTATCACTGTTGACAGGTGTGGACATCTGGTTTGGTACCATTTTGTGATCCCCCTTATGTGTAATATTTTTGCAGCTGTTTTTGTTCTGTTATGTTTATATTATATGTTTATAATGGCGGCAGACATGGGTTTGTGAGCTGCTTGTGGTAATTTCGCTTCAATTTAATTTTTTTGTTGTCACTTTCTTCTTTTGAAACAACAAATCTAGAACAGAAGCGAAAATATTGCTCTACTACTATGTCGGGGTCATGCAGCGCTGCCAAAGTGGGGGTACGCTCCTGTTGTGGTGATGACTATACGAAGCACACTATACCGTTGCTATTGCTTGGGCCTCACACCCCGCTTTTTGTATTTCATGTGATGCCCGTAATGCCAACTCTGTCAATCTAAAATAGAGTTTAATGTTTCTGTCTAGTGTCACATTAGCATACTATACCATGGTGTCACAGTTGCAACAACCTACCAGTTTGGTTCAGCTGTCTCAATGATGCCTGTACATTTGTGCAGATCTGGACGAGCATGTTGCTAGGGGCGGCCTGGACAGCCTGATGGCCCCGGTTCCGTTTGAGGCACCTCAGCAGCCTCAGCAGGCCCCTGCTTGGGGAGGCAGTAGTTCACTGCGCACCTTCTCTTCGCATAATGGGGTATGTGAATGAGGCTGGCCTTATTCTCAACATAGCACAGTGGCAGAGGCAACAAACACTATCACAAATGCTTTGGAACATGGAGAATAGTGTCATGTTGTAAATGCAGTGAAAAGCGTGCCAGTGCCCAAACTGTGAGTCGTAGAACTTCAATGCAGGATTTTGATCCCGGATATTAAGGGAAGTGTCACCCAGAGTATGACGACAACTGTAAAGTGTCATCAAAATCTGATCAGTGAGTCAAGTGCATAGACTAAGTATTCGTGACCTATACATTTCATGGCACCGATGTTCCTGAATATGTTCCTGAATGTACACTGCCGCTCTTGGCTCACTAGAAATGTTTTGCTGTTGTGTCTGCAACAACATTGAGGACACATGCTGGGCCTTGCACTGTGCAATAGCTAGACAACAGTTATTAGCAGCGAAAAGTAAGAATGTGCCAATATCAAAGTTATGGAAAAGTTACGAAGGCAAGAAGCTTTTTAGCACTGATGGAAAATTTGCAACAGTATTTTGCAAAATGGCTTCTCTGGGATCATTCAACTGCATATGGTGCTTCACAACAGTGAAGTACATATTGTCAGATGATTGCCACGTGCAATATTATTTTACATAAAACAAAAAAAAAACGAAAAGGCCTCTAGATGTGCTTTACTGTGCTCTATTTTCCAACTTCTGTGTTGGAACACCTAGTTTTTTGGTAGTGAACTAAAGCAAAGTCTAACATTGCTAGTTAACTGTTCACATGCAGATATGTATGACCAGTGTCATTATAAGTACGCTTAACTGTACTCTAGTTTGTTGGTTTTCTTGTTTTTGGTAGTGGGACGTGCAAGCTATTGTGATTTCACCATCCCTCCCCCCCCTATTCACTCCCTTAATGTAATTCTTGCAGAAAGTTCAAGAACGCACAGTTGTCAGGGATGCCCAAGGCAATGAGGAAGTTACAGAGCGCCGTAGCCTGGGTGACAGGTCCATGACCGTTCGTACCATCAGGAGACCTGATGGAGTGACGGAAACTCAGGAACAGTACATAAACATGGATGAAGGTAAGCTGAACGCCATCCTTGTGTGCACGCTTCGCTAGTGTAGAAATCGTCACAAGGATTCCACACAGATATCTTATGAGACAGGCAGCAAGTAAGTTTAGGACAGGCCAGGAAACTCAAATGTTAGCAATAAGACTAAGAGAATCATCAGTTTGCCTGTCAATGAAGGCAGCTATACGCTGCTTGCACTCACCAAGTTCATAAAAAGTGACTGACCCCTGCATTCTGGAACACTGCACGACTTGAAATTCCTAGTTTAATGTTGCTCTTGTGTAAAAAAGTCCAGCAAGAAATTTCTGCTCCGATATCTTATTAGACAAGCAGCAAGTATGTTAGGACAGCCGCGAAAAAAGAAAATTGCATGCTAGTGCAGACTCGAATCAATACGGCTACTATTTAAGACAAAAAAAAAGGGGGGGGGGGGGGCAGTGCAAACACAGACACAAGAAGGAACGTGCCAGAGATAATAACATACACTTAGTTGTATTTTAGATGTCTGGAAGGTATGAATGCACTAACACATATACATACAAGCACAAATACTTGAATACAAGACACCTATGTTTGCTCGTATTACAATCTTAAAGCTTAGTGAGATCTAACCGACAATCATGCCAAGGAAAGTATAGGGGATGTTATTAGAAGTAATTGTTATGTAAATGTGACAGAGGGAAAAATGGACGGAAAGATAACTTGCCGTGGACAGGGACCAAATGTGTGACCTTTGAATAATGTGTCCGATGCTCTACCAACTGAGCTACTATGGCGGCTATCCCCTTGTCCACTTAGCGGCGTATTTTTGTGGCTGCCTCTATCGGAGGCAATAAACTTCTGTAGTGAGCCCGTTCGGTGGTTATTGGAAAAGTGTTGCAGGGCACCTTTAAAAGCATAATGTTTAATCAAATTCAGTACAAAGTTACTGAGAAGAAATCATTGGTCATCTATTTCGGAGTTCCTCTTTGTCAGTATGGACTTGTTTTTAAATCTGAGTATACTTTTGTGAAGTACTTTAGATGCAGAGGGATTAAATCGATGACTTTTTCTCTGCAGTATGGCTCTACTGCATTTGAACTTTGATAAAAAAAAAGAGAAAGAAAGACTGCATTTGATTTTTATATGAAAGCTTATACTACTTATTATTAGACCAAGGACAAGCACTACACATGTTAAATATACGAAGTGAGGAAAGATTGTGTGCTGCAACACGGCACCAGTGGTCAATGCGGAAGTTAAAGTAAATTGGCAATACTATAAAAAAAAGCTTGTTTTTTCCCCCGATAGATTATACTAATAGTATTCCCATATTCCTTAAAGGAAACGGAATTCATATTGTTTTGACGAGAACACATGTTGGGAACTGGCCGAGGTAAATTAGCACAAAAAATAAAACAAGCGACACAGGAAAGGTGACCAAGACAAGCTTCCTTTCTAAAGCTGCTTGTCATGTCATTGTTTTTGTTAATTCGTTTAATCCAGTTGTAAAAGACGCACTAGCCCAACAATTGATTCTTCTAGGTGCTGGAATGCTGATGATAATAAGTGAAATGTGTTCTTCAATTTTATGCTATTCAGCAGGTGATAAAGCAGCATTTGAGCAGATGTGGCACAGTGCAGCTGCTAGTCCCTCGGACTGCGATTCCCTCCGACCACAGTACGACCGATTCGGCCATCTTCCGCCGGCTCTTTGGGTTCTTTCCATCGAACAGGTCACAATGAACAGTAGTTGTGCATGTCTTCACGGGAGCGCTATGAGCACTATAGACGAAGCATTTGCAATAGTGCAAGTTGAATGTTAGGTATTAACAGTTTCTGCAGGAGGTACAAGCTTGTTGTGCTCTTATTAATTATAGAAAGCATAATTATGACAAGGATGATGCAAAAGCACCATGAGGATGTGCTATCACAGAATTAGTAAAACAAGGCTTGAAAGGTTTTTGTGAACCCAGTTTATAGTTACATATACATTAACTCAGTTTTGCCAGACAGCAATGTAAATTACTATTCATCAAGATTCTGCATGCTTACTCTGTGGAGCTTGGCAAAATTTACTATGAACCAAGTTCACTAATCATGAAGCCATAGTGAATATATCAGAAAGTTGGAAAACTGTTGTATGTATTATATTGTCAGTTGTTACCATGCCTATTGCAAGCTTTTGTAATGAGAGTTTTGTCTGTCACTTGTTACCATGCTTCAAGCATTACTGTGTTGCAAGGCTTTGCAATGAATAGAATTTTGTGTTTGTGTATACTAGTCACAATGGCTATTTTTTTTCTGTCAGAAGCTGATGCATGTTGTTTTTTTCTCTTTACCTGTAGCTTGAGAGTTACTTTATATCCAGCTTAACTAACGTAAAGAACTGTGATACCTATACTGTGTATTATGACAAATGCTTGTGTTTTTCAAAATACTTCAAGGGCAGGTTAGATATAACATTATAGTCTTGTGCCTTTTCTTTTTATTAAAACATTACATATCTTAGTCGAATGTAGTAGTGGACTAAATTTTTAATTATTGGTTGCACATCTTCATTGTTGCTTGCTTCTTATAGTATTTATTTGCTTGATGCCTCTTTAATTTGTCTTATAGGGTCTATGGGTGATGGCACTGCTTTCTTATGTATGTGTGTAGTTTTCTATTTTAATACGTACCCTCATTTTATGTGCTAATAAAAAGTGCATTTATTCTGTTCTCTCAGTCTGACCTTCTTCGTCGACCTTACGCAAGATATTTTTTGAAAGGTCAGCATGAGTGTGCAACGTCTCTTAACACAGAACGTTATAAAAGAAAACAGCGACTTTTACACAAGTGAAAGACTTGCGGTGTAAAAGGGCTGATATAATGTCATATATGTGAGACTCTTGTTTCGAAATTTTTTGGCAGGACTGCCAATTTCACTCTGTGGAAACTAATGGTGTGACAGTACTGGGTGTTCTCACTGTGCTTGTAAAAAGACACTTTGTGAATAAAACAGTTAATGGGCGAAAAATTCAAGATGGAAGTTGAACTTGTCGCATTAAATGTCTTGTAGCATGCCTTCACAAGATGCCCATCACATTCATTTGCCTAAGTTGTTGCATGAACTGAGTTAATCCTCATGTTTAATAAAAGGCAGTCAATCTTTTGGTAGTTTTAACACTGAAAATTTTGTATCTAATGATAGCTGAACTTGATCAACTGTGTAGGGGATCCTCTGTTAAAACTGATTGTTCTGATGGTCAAGAAACTTATAGGTTACTAGGCTGGTTGTTTTGGGGCTTGCTGTGCACAGTTTGTATATAAGAAAAAAAAGCAATTGAGCATTGCCACTAAACAAGCAGTTGCAGCTGACCGTATAAGATAGCAGAGTCAACATTCGTAATACAGCTTTAATGCTGTTTTTTCACCACTTTCATAACACAGTTGGAGAACTCTCAAAACAACCACACAGATATAACATGGCAGGTTCGGTGGTGCTCGATTTGATTGATATGTGGGGTTTAACGTCCCAAAACCACTATATGATTATGAGAGACGCCGTAGTGGAGGGCTCCGGGAATTTAGACCACCTGGGGTTCTTTAACGTGCACCTAAATCTGAGCACACGGGCCTACAACATTTCCGCCTCCATCGAAAATGCAGCCGCCGCAGCCGGGATTCGAACCCGCGCCCTGGACACTGCCATAGGGCTCAATTTATCAATGCTGCCATAGGTGTGTACAAAGGAGGGGGGGGGGGGGGGTAGATTTGCTGCCATGTTTTAGCTTAGTAGGGAGGGGCAGGGGGTGCTGTGAAAAACGTTCACCTGCCTTGATGGGCAAACCTTGCACACAGCTATGGGTAATGCAAGCCTTCACTGGATTTTGTCATTATGACTGTACGATTGGTACAATGAGGCCTTGTAAAATATGCTCTTCCATGCACAACTACGACATCTACAATGCTGTGCAACGAATTCACATTAAGTGACCGACTCGCAAACTGTCGAGGTGTTCATTGTTTTTACAACACACTTTTTGAAGCAATGAATGCTGCTTCCATTTCTTTCTTTTTCTGTGTCCAAAACGTCATGATAAAGCAACAGCTTTAATTGGAGGCCTCTTTCAACTGCTCCCCAGTTCCTGCACGGTGTGAAGAGCTTCGCGATACATGTCTGGCTCAGTCCCAGCAACCACGCAACGATGAAAGCGTCCCAAGTCGAGCTTTCTGCCCTGTTGCACCACTTCAGCCACCACATCACTGGCTGCCAATCCGTTTTGCAGACACGTCACTGAGGGAACGTAGTCAACACCTGAAACAGTGAAACGAAGATTGAGCAATGCAGCACACATTACTGCGATCTTTCCTCACGTCGCTCGTGGGGATGCTCAACTCTCTGATTTTGTGACTCTGTCTCCCCGGCATAGCTCTTGGGCCTGCTTGGGCTTTCCCGCACTGGGAACATACCTCAGAACCATTGGTGCCATTGCATACGCAATATGATGAGACATTATACAGGTGTTCTTGCATTCGTCCTATTTGATGGTGTAGATACTTAGGTCATAGGAGCCTGCTTCCTTGTGTTCAGCTTGGGGATGAGAGTTAGCATGGTCAGCTAGTGCTATCAACAGTATGCTCTACAGGCTGCCCTGTCTATGTCTTTCTGTCCCCTCCAATATACACCCGTTCGAGAAACTACACTCTTGAATGACTTGGGCATGGGTGTCTGGAAAGGGTGAACATTAGTCGCTCGACATTTTGGCATGTTTCAACTCTGTATAACAATCACATATGTCAGTACCGAATATTTCCATGAGCAATTATCACTCATCAAAAGATTTTCGCTAGTATGATTGCTGATTTTGAACTAATTTATCGAAACAAACAAACAATGTCTGTAGATGTCTGTTTTTACTTTAATATAGAAATTAGTTCAAGAAATATAGTTCAAAATTTTTTGCACACAAAAATATTTCATAGTCCCCTTTAAGTTGGGCAAGTGGAGTGCTTACAACAGAAGCAAGAACCTAAGCTAGTGCCATTTATAGAACGAGAGCAGTAAAAATTAAGTGATGATAATGAGTAAGCCGAGAAAAACAGCTTACCGGTCTGACGACCTCTAGCTTGGCAAGAAATAAGGCCAGTCGAAGACACAAATGGTCCAAAGATGTCCGGAAAGGAATGCGAGACGAAGCGGGATGGATTTTCCACTTCCCTCAACCACCTACAGAATGGAGCGAAGAATGACTCGCACTGTTTCGGTTCATGCTGGCCTATCTCATACCAGTGATGTTCTAACAAAGTAATGATCAGTTAGGCTGGCACGATCGTGTACTGCAAGTATCTCTTATTCAAATAAGAACTTCATGAGCACGCCAGGAGAGCTATCCTCGATGTGGCCATGTAATGGAATGTCCATTTTGGTCACCACTGATTGGCTGAAGCTCGGCAAGCAGTGCACATCGCTTCTGGTTTTCCTTCCGTAACGTCATTTTTGATGTCATGGAGCTTTCACTGCTCTCAACGCAAATGTGAGTGACAAAATGCAATGCAATAAAAGCAGCCTCCAGAGATCCACTTTTCGCCAAGCCGATATCCGAGGCTTTTAATGACCTCTGATTCCGAGACTTTATTAGCTCTTGAATTAGGTTTAATGTGAAGCCCCTCCAATGCACTGGCGCAAGTCTGTACGTATTCCCTGCATCATTCTCAAGCATGTGGCACATGCATATGCAAGGACAGACTTATCAACTTTGTTTAGGTGATATGTTACTGCAAATTTGATTCACTTCTTACAGTGAGAGAAGTGCAGCGCAGGTTCGGTGCACAGACTTGGTCAAGAGCTGCGATGATGACACGGCTCAGCAGCTTTCTCGAGCAACTGATTACTCTCCATTGAAATGTACATCTTCCCGTAGATGGACACGTTGAGAATAGTTCCCCAGGTGTATCAAAATATATGGGGGTCTTAAGACAATGACCATGACTTGAGGCATGTCATCTCATGTGTTGACTGCGATCAAGTGAATGCCATGATCAACATGCATCTCCTCCTCTAGCCACACTGTGTTATTGCACGACTGTTCCAAGCAGGTGATCTAAATTATGGCCTGCACACACAATCTTGGAGGTTCTCTGCAGCAGAAGTGAAGGTTGGGCTAGTGGAAGATGACTGGAAGCTGTACGTGCAAAAGGTATTTCATTCTATAGACTAGGGCAATTAAATTTTCGTGAATTACACAAGCTTTTTTTCCACTTTCAAATATGTAATCAGGTTTATAACAAGTTGCATTGTTTTTGTATTGTACCATGAAAATGTGTAAAATATAACTCACTTTAGACACACTTGTTCTGCCACTAAACTTGTATATTTATGAACCATTAATCACTGATATTTTGTCACTTTAATTGTGATATGCAAATAACTGACAAGAAAACATGTATTATATATTTTAATGAACAAGAAAAATTACAATGTGAGAAGTCTTAAAATGCTCAGTCCATACGAATTGCTTACTGTTGATTGATATGTGGGGTTTAACGTCCCAAAACCGAATTGCTTACTGTATATTTATAATAATTATACCAATGATATCAGGTTTAAAGGAGCTGATTGCAATCTTCGCATGTTAAGGAATACATGGAAAAATTTCGCCTGGACCTGCGTCCAATCTCAAGGAGTTGCTCATAATGGCATCTCGAGAAAATTGCATTTTAAATGTAGAAATGAAAGCTCATCTGCGTGGCAAAGATTTGCTTTTTGAGATGATTTCTTCCATCATGAGAGCTTGGGAATCCTGGTTAGTAAGTACCAAGTAGCCTTGGTAAACTCCTGTGCCATGGCGAGCAGCCATGTGACAATTTACAGCAGACTCAAGACAATCAGCTCTTCATAGTTTTTAATAGCCACCTTGCACTCATTAAAAGTGATTTTAGCTCAATTCGAGCTTGACTACAACATAAATATATTCTTTTTGTCATGCAACTAGAAAAACTAAGCCTGTGAAAGCAAGTAAAAACAAAAAAATATGTAATTTTGGAAAAAAACTTGATTTTCAAAAAGTTTCTTCACTTAGCCTGCACACTGTTTATTATGCCAGCATTGACTAAGTGTTTGTGATCAACGATTGATACCTGCTTAAATTTTTGCATGTGTGTGTGAGACCATGCTTGTTAATTTAGTTAGTAAGTTAACATTTACTCCAATCACCTATCGCAATTGCTCACCTCACTTTTCATACATTGCTGCCACAATCACCTTCTAGAGAAAACTTATTTCTTAGTAAAAGAGCTCCAATACTAGTACTCGGTACACTACGGTGAGACAGCACGAACAATGGAACAGTTAAAGAACACACAGGCAAGGTGCTCTTCTGTTCTTCCATTGTTTGTGTTATTCTGTTGTAATATAGGTACGCAAAACCAACTAGCTCAGCTCGGAACTCTTGTATATTCCATACTGATTTTCATTTCCACAAAGTGTTTTCCTACCAGTTCTACAGACATGTGTCATCTCTAATAAAGGCACATGCATTTACGTTCTTCTACTTGCATGCATGCGATATGAGTTACACAACTATTTTAATGTGCAAGCCCACATGTAAGCACTAGAGATGACTTTCTCAAAAGGAAGAATATATCTGAAATTGTTACATCCTTCCAACACGACAACATGAATGCTAGCCAGCCTCGAAACGATAATGAATGATTGCAAAAAAGTTCATAAGAGACTGAAAATGACATCCTTTAAAGGAAACAGACATTCTGGTCATAAGTCAAGTGCAGTATCACAGCAGCCTCATTAGAAAAGGGGATTCTTTAGTCAAATGCCTCAGACACACAAACCAAAGCACTGCAAGAGTGCAAGTAAAATGGTAGCGCTAAGGTTCCACAAGGATGATTTGAAGAAATTTAGTGACATTGCGAAGTTATTCTTCACTACGCAATGATGTTCACCACAGTTAAATGGCACAGCTAATGAGATAGGACAGTGGCAAGCAAAACACATGAGCAGTTCTTGTTTCCTGTTCCCCCCCCCCCCCCCTTTTTTTTTTTCAGTGTTCACTGTCAAGTGGCTTGTGTTCCACCACATAGGATAGGAGCCAATCACCTGACTCCACTCTATAGTACAGGTTGCCAAACTTGCCTACTCATGAGTCAACTCACTCAGACTCGGATTGGGCCGTGAGTCTGGTTGAGAAACATTTTAGCGAGTCTGAGTTCAAGTACACCCGAAACACAACTTATGTTTCTTGAGCGAGTCTGAGTGAGCTCAACCTTTTACTTCGAATCTATGGTCCTGTCTACTCACTTGCAGCATTACTACTTGCGTTCAGCCTGATATCGGCTTATGCTTATATTCGCACGAGTTGCGTATTTAACAAAAACATCTCTACTGAATTGAAACTACTGATAACTTGTATTTGAAACAAGATCAAAAGGCATGTAATGAGCACCGATTATGTAAGGTACTGGTGTTTAAAACAATGATCGCAAAAGTTAATTTTACACTAACAGAATCGTGAGTCGATTCACTCAGACCTAAGTCAAACCGTAGGTTTGAGTGCATCCAGCAACGCAATACATTTGTAAGTTCGAGTCCAAGTGAGTCTCATTGAGAAAAATTTCAGCAAGTTTGAATGAAAATTTCAGCGAGTTTGAGTCGGAGTGAGCCCTAACAGCCAAGTTTATTTATAAGTAAAATGAGTGAGCTTCCAATTATGAGTGAGTGAACTTCAACTATGCTTTATATGCTTATATGCTATATATATATATATGTAAAGCACGACTGTGAAAAGGTCAAATGCTTGGCAGCCTCAAACACTCAACGACATGAGTGTATGTGGAATGACTGCTACTGGTTCAAGCAAAATGATACACACATTAGGACTGTGACTTGCTGCTAAAAACAAAATAAAAGCATAGGTTGAAGATTGAGCAATAATGTGTTAGTAATAGTAAACATAAAAGCTTACATAAGGGATCCTTCACACACACGTTCTGCAAATCTCCACAGCACTTCACTGGGATCCTGTACCCGGCGTGGGAATCTACAGGACCATAAAAAAAGCGGCAGCTTAGAGGGTAACATGAAAAATACTTTATTTTATAACAGAAATATTGAGCCCAGGCTAACAAATTGAAGTTCCCAGCTTTGTGTTATTCAATTCTTCAGTTACACCACACAAATAAAACAAAAGCAGACACCATAGCTTCCAAAAACATTTACCGTAATTACTTGCGTAATCCTCGCACTCGCATAATTCTCGCATCGCCCAAGAAAAATCAGATTTTTTTTTTCCTCGAGTAATTATCGCACCCCCGAAAACTGCCGCAATAATGTCGTCTGCTCGTTCCAGCCACTGATGATGATAGCAGGCGCCATCTCTTAAGCATCAAGCGTATTGCGCGCAGATTCAATCCAATCCAAGCCAAGCCGAAGCGGCCAGTGCGCGTTGCGGTGTGTTTTGTATGATGTGTCGGTAATCTTGGCACGTTATGTGGCGATAATGAAGCCACACGGCTGCTTCAAGTTGCAAGTGATAGATCATGCACTAAACAACGGCAAAAGGGCCGCCGATAGGCCCTTCGGAGCCTACGGGTTTTGTGTTCGCTACTGGTAACGGCAGCTGAAAGCCACCAAGACGCGTTGGGCCTGCCGTGTGCCTAAAACTGGGATTGATGGCAAACTTAATTTCTTCAGAAGGAAACTGTGGACGATTCTGTTAAATAGACATCAGCCCAATACTGACGTCCTACGCTTACCTTTTGAGTGCTCCTGTTGAGTGCCGACCGCTACCGCTACGCCCGCAATGCCCACAAGTTTCGCTATGGTATTCTAATTCTCGACTATTTGCTTCCACTTTTTGTGTCTCAAATAAATCTTGCTTTGCGTTGAACCTCTGCTTTTATTGTTGAGGTAAGTTCTACTTAGTACTTCTTAAAGCTTGCTGTAAGTTGCTGGTGTGAGAATCCCGATTTGCGGCCACTTGTTTTCTTTTTCGCTCTCTGCGTTTTCGTGGAAAGTTTTCCCCCGCATAATTCTCGCACCCCCCAACTTTGCATCGGTTTTTTTGGCAAAATAAGTGTGAGGATTATGCGAGTAAATACGGTAATACAGTAGTACAAAGGATAATTTTGATGACACATTGGCTCGAAAGTCCCGTAAATGATCTGACAAAATCTGGTAGTTCACTCACTTGGACACCATGCTAGCGTTGCACCCTCTCATCACAGCCAGGTTCATTGCTGATGGTGAAGGGCTACGGGCGCCTGGGGTGAGCATTGCGAGGCTGCTGCCTTGGGTCCAGTCTGCCAGCAGCTGGAGTTCACCGAGACCAAGGGGCAGACCCATTCCCAGCACACATAGCTGCAGCAGGGCATCATGAGTAATTCAGTAAAGACATCCAGGAAACTTGTCCGTGATTTGGTCAATGTAACAACCGCTTTCCCTGTTTCGAGCCTCTGTGCTTTTTTACCTTTTTAACGCGATAGCGTTAGAGAGCTCGTGTCGTAGGAATCCTGCCGTCGGCGTCGGCCCCGTTGGTTGTGAGGGAAAAATCGTCTGTGCGTCTGTGATCGAAAAAGCAAGTTAACAGATATCGCCATGGAAGCCGCTACTTGTCCACGCGTGAGCCTGCGATCACGCTGAAAAAGCCATGCATTCGAAGAAAAAAGTGCTCAAGGTCACGAGGCGCGGTAGTTTCTTTGCCCCTGCCAACCCTCCCTGCTTAGCTTCCAGCGCTTTCGTTGGGACGAGAGAAGAGACAGTGTAATTGCAGCATGCAACAAACCTTTGTAACTCCACTCGCACTGGGCGGAGTCTTAAAATTTTTGCGGCGTTGAATTCGTGAGGCAATAAGCTCTTCTAGTGAATTCATTCCATGGTTACTTGAAAGAGTATTTCAGGGCCCCTTTAACACTTTTTATTACACAGGTGTCACGACGAAAACGAGCCCATTCGGCGATTTGTAGGCGCATTTCGGAAGCCTCAAACTACGTCGAAAAAGGCCGAGATAGTGCAGCCATCGCCACTAAAAGCACACAGGAACTTTCAAACAGCTCTAAAAATGGACAACTATGTCCATCTAGCAGAAAACATATAATATCTTTCTAGAGGCGTTGATCAAGCAAACAGCAAATGCTAGATAATGTGCTGCTATCTGTGAGGCATTGTGAGACTTTTTATGGCCTCCGAGATGGCGAGCGTGCCACCTGTATCTTGAAAGCCATGCGACCCTTGCTTTGGATCAAGAACCTGTATGTACCATTCGCACGCACGCGCTGGTAGGATCTACTGTGTGTGCGTGCACGTGTGTCTGTATGTAACAAACATTAATAAGTATGCACTTAGCTGTTGAAGGGTGCACTAGGGGCCGCGTTTCGCCATCGCGTTCAACTCTTAAAGGCGAAGCTTAAGGGTCCCCCGATAATTTTTTTTTAGTTACTTGTGAAAAGTAGAGACGGGTGAATATTAGGGCGCTTTGACTATCTGTACAATTATGACAGCAGTCGAATTCACCTCGACATGATTTCAAGTCATTCGAAATTTCAAAGTATTTGAAATGAAAGAATATGTAGATATATAAGAGCATGTAGAGCTTTGTAAAGATGGTTTCACTGCAGTATGAGAACGCTATGCCATGAAACCACCCGTTCAAGGATAATCCGCACCACAATTATTTCAGTTTAAAATCGTGTTACACGGGTTTACATGCACTAAGCAAAGTAATTTTCAAAACGTAATGTATTGCACTTGCACCTTACTGCTATAGAAGTCTTGCTACTATTCAAACGGGCTTCCACTTCTCTTTGAACAAAAAAGTGACATCACCAATATGCCTTGTTCAAAATCTTAAAAATAATGTGCAAGTTAGTTGGACCATAACAAAAAATGCTCATTTTTTTAATATGTGATATATACTATTCGAACTGTTCAATTTGCAATTACTTCACCAAATTACTATTTGTTTTAAGTTTGTTTTGAACCTTAAACTTACTACAGTCAACCCACTTATAATGATCCCAGATATAACAATCTATCGGTTACAGCGACCATATTTCTGTGCAATTACAATATTCCTATACTACCCTTTGAAACTGAGTTCACATACAGCGAACATTTTTCAAAGCATTTAACTTTTACAACGAACACTTCTGAATGGTCGCGGTAAAAATATATAAGCAAAAGAAAGGGTAAAACAGGCATTTTAAAGCATGTGATAGATGCATGCTCGCATGTGCTCTGCTGCAGTTTAATTGCGACAAACATATCACATAGCGCGGCGAGCACCCCACGCAGATTTCGGACATTGCGAGCAAGGTAGCTCACTTTCCATACATACATTTCTTTACCGGCAAAATGGAAGTGAGGAAAAAAACAAAACGAAAAGGAATAAGAGGCACAATGATGAATTGCGGTTAGCTTTCGCCTGGCAAAATGTTCCGACTCCGTTCTTGGCATTCACGACTGCCAACAATTAACCAACAATGCCTTCGAATGCAAGAAGCCATAAATGCGAGAAGCAATAACTTTTGTCGCATGGAAGTTCACTGTGAAATTCAACTCTTCGAGACCACAATGTGCTGAGAAAGGTTTTCCACCTTTTGGTGACGGCAGAGACTGGTCGATTAGTAATACTGGCAACTTCACGCGGCGGTGCCCGAATGAATAAGCATGAAAAAATGGCGATGGCGATGTGGCCAGTGGCCATGAACATGCCATTTTGACTCATCGCCGGCAACCTTACTAGGGTCATCTGCACATAGCAGCTCGGCAGAGTGATGACGAAACAAGCGCGTCATGCTGCCATTCCTAAGTTTACAGTCGCTGCGTTGTGGGAGACTGCTTGTGCGCGTTGATCGCAAAATTCTTCATTGTGTTAAATGAACACACTAGTCGCTGCATTCGAGCATGATGCTGAGTACAGATGCACGCATACCTTGCGCACAAAAGCACAAACTCGCGCATACCTTGCACTGCAAGTGAACTGGCATGAAATGACGAGAGCTGAATAAGCGTCGTGCTGCACGTGACCAGTTAGGGATGATTGGTTCAACGTGGTGGTACCCCACTTCAGTGGAACCCCACGAGTTTATTGTGAACGTGATTGAATTCACCCGTGAGCAAACTGGTGTCGTTTAGCATGTGAGAAGGCCCGACTTGTCAGCAGAGGGGTCGTTCCCACTTCTGAATAAAATGCACAGGGGACAAAAAATTATTTCGCTACTAAGGGGCGGGTGTTTTTATGGGTGGGTTTATATACAACAAACTACTGATATAATGACCATTTATTGCGGCACTTTCAAGTTAGTTATAAACAGGTTCGACTGTCTAGTGAAAATAGCTAAAGTGATGGCATAAGAAAAGCAAAAGACACATTAATACCTGAAGAAAAAGTGGTAAGAAAAAAGTGAATGGAAACAGTTCCAACAACCGTGTAGAGGTTGCATCTATCACTTAAGAGCCTTTAGGCTGAATGGACTAGACTGAGTACCAGAGGTTCCCACACCCCTTAACCTGAAGCAATTTCATTTGATTTCACACAGTGCTGTGCCAGGGAAGTCCTTTTTGTACCAGCATTGGCTGGCAAATCATGCAGCAAACAATTCTACATGCTGCTTGAGTATGGGTTGTTTTACAAAGCACCTGATAGCCTGGGTAGCATGGATGTGAGAACGATAGTGGCACAAGGGGATCACCCTCGCGCCTGAGGGTGTACTTTTGAAGAGTGGTACTAGCGTGGTCAAACATAATTATTTGAATGGCCTTTTTATTGCAGTAATGCACTCATGAATAGAAGAGGGTAACTAGTCGTTGCATGTATTCTGGCTAGCTGGCAATGTTGTGTAAAATAATCAATACAGCAAAAGTACATTAAGATATTACGAAACCAGAAAAATGTCCAAACTGAATTATCAAAATAATTAAAAAAAATGAACAAGTGTCTATTACATATATAAACTTCATTTAACAATATAAAAACGTAAATGCTGTACTTATTTTGCGTAAGAGTAGCTTGAAAGTCAAAATTTTATATACCCTGAAATTTATTTCACAATGCGACTGCACCCCCAGACCTCCGTGACTTAATTAGCCTTACGCACACTCAGCACACCTTCCTTATTATGAGCCACCACGACGCGCACATGACTACTATACCTTTTTTCACCAGAAGACAAATGGAATTGGCTGCTGCCACTGAAGACTTGGTCCCCAGGAACGCAATTGTGGATGGCAACGACGACTTTTTGAACAGACGCGGCTAACAAGGTGTCACACGCAGTAGTAAACGCAAATAGGCATGAAGCATTCTGCCTTTCTTGTCATCCCCAAATGGTTTGCAGCGATCACAATGGCAATGCAGGCTGCACAACCCCATTTAGGTTGTCTTTGAATGTCATTTTTGCTTCTTTGCGCTCTAAGGATCATTTGAATTAACCAAGTTGCAGTGGCCAAACTAAAGAGTTTGATGCCATTAACATTGTATATGCTGGCCGAGAATGAAGATGTCTTAATTACCTGATTTTATGAATTAATGCATGTTGAGTTAATGAGTGTTTACTGTAAATGCCCTTTTTAATGTTATTATTATACCTATACCACGAACAATTATGCCTCATTCATGAAAGAGGGTAGTGAAATTACCTTTTGGCCCCTCAAAGGAATGCAGAAAGGCTGCCATAGAAATTAGGTAAAGACCGCAGTTTTGTGCACATAAATTGGCAATAGCTACACATGTTTCTGACTCTATGCACTCTATCGATGTCACCACATGCGGCACAATCTCACAGCAATGCAGGAGTACCTTTTTGCTGGGGCTGCAAAGCTGGCCAAAGAGCTCAGGCGCTTCCAGAGGTTGGCTTTTCAGCTTAAGAGCACACATAATGTTGTCAAGGGCCAGGCCAAGGACACCGCTTGTATTGTAGTGGAGCAGGTCAGACTGGATTCAGACAATAAGTGGTCAGGAATTGAAGTATCCACAAAATACATTTCAAATTTAAGAATAGTACATTATATAAAAAAAGATTTAGTGTGAATGATTTGAAACACATAAGCACACACAATGCACTGTTTTCCACTAAGGTCAGAAAACACAACATATTGTTCACCATTACATAGTTAAATGTGTACCCCTCTCATATTTATTGCAACCATGTTCAACTGGTTACTGTCAAGCACACCCTGAATTTGTAAGCTGCTGCTACAAGTGACTAGAAACTAGACACTGATTAACCATGGCCCTGTTTAAGATCTAGTATTACCATTGTAAACTTTCAGTAGGAAGGCTGGTGATGAAGAGCAAAATAATACAGCAAAGATTATATATAATGTTAGAGATTGGGCTTGTTGACGTATTATAATGTAACTTTGAAGTGCAGAGATGAAGGAATGAGACGAAAAGGATATACACAGGATGAGATGGAAACAAAATATTGTAGGCAGAGTGATGCAACACTTGTGTTTGCCATTTCCCTTCTGTCTCATCCTTTATTTTTATGTACTACGAGGTCACAAAAGAGATTGGAAACATATAAAATGAATCTTTATATAAAAAAAATTACACTTAACACTTCAATCTTAACACTTAACGCATGTCTCATTTTTAACAGCTTACAGTGTTAAGCAGATTAGGACGAGTTTAAAAAAAGGCAATGACATATGCGCTTTGTCCTCTTTTGTTTAGCACTGTTAGCATCCAAAATTAACCTTCAACTAGCCCAGATTTTCTTTCTCATGAAATATGTCTTAATTTTTAGATTGGCAGCAATAACTCACTCCCAACTTGAGATGCTTGAAGTCTCGAAGAAGGGGCTGAAAATAGCTGCTAGATACACTCAGCGGACAGAAGGCGGAAGATAGTCGGTTGAGGCTGTGGTAGCACATGACTGCATTGAAGTGCCGGTGTGCCATGTCGAGTGCAACCTGCATTAGTACACAGTGGTCATGTATGTAAACAAAACTTAATTTGCACACAGCAATATCAAGTAAAAATGTGCGAGTGTTCAAGATTCGGGAGGACATTGCAATAGTATTTATTGCATAAATACTCGAGATAAGCTGGCACTTTTCATGAATAACACCTTCCTCACAAAGTTCAGTTGCCACAGTATAAGAAGCAAGAATCTTGTGAAAGCATTAAGGTGCTTCCCAAAATTACTGCATTCATATAATTACAGTACCTAAATATTCATAAACAGAAATGCAGAAGTTTGATCAGCTCCCTTATTGCATGTTATTTGCTACCTTGACTGCCTATTTCCTTCCAATGTCCTTGGCCTGAAAAGCCTGCGATTTAAAATTACATAAGCCATCACTCATGTACGCCATGTGTGCTGTGCACTGTAGAGCCACTGACAACTCACTGTCCATCTTCACCATGCATCGCAAGCACATATCAATGCTATATAAGGGAGGCTGTTAAACAAGTCATAGTTTTTCCAGTGCATTCGGTAAAATCTCCTCGTTTTCAGTAGGGCAACATTAACGAAACCAGAGTTTTCAATTCGTGCATTAGAATGGTAGATTTCTGCTGAGCACTCACACGTCCTTCATTGATGCTATTGTAGAGAGGCTGATACAGAGGCCAGCAGACAAGGGACTTGTTTGGGTAATCGTCGCGAAGGATCTCCAGAAGGCTGCTCGTTAAACCAGTAAAACCATTGTGGCCATCAAGTAGAATGTTAAAAGCCTGTAAGAAAAAGAGACAAGAATCTCAAGAATTATATTCAGTATATTATCGTGGCTTTGTAAAAGTGAAGTAAACAAAAGTAAATTGATTGATATGTGGGGTTTAATGTACCAAACCATCACATTATTATGAGAGACGCTGTAGTGGAGGGCTCTGGAAATTTCAAACACCTGGGGTTCTGTAGCGTGCACCAAAATCTGAACACAAGAACCTACAACATCTCCACCTCCATCAGAAATGCAGCCGCCGCAGCCGGGATTCGATCCCGTGACCTGCAGGTCAGCAGCCAAGTACTGAACAAAAGTCAAAGGAAGCAAGTACGTTGCAATGCATTACATGTTAACAGCATCTTGTTTTGAGCCTACATAGGATATTTACTTCCGGATACAAAAAAAAAAGTTGCGTAAAACTAGCTTTGTATATTTATTTGGTTCCTTACCTTTACCTACATACAGATTTTATCACGGCCATTGGCAGCGTTCCTCGACTCATAGAGCCCTCTTTTCATAAATCTGACTACTGTTGTATCAAATGTAGATATAATGATTTACAGATGACACCAGCATGTTGCAAGCAGTACGTTCTTACAAATAAAATCAAGTATTAAGAAAGCATTTGAATGTTGTATGTGGCTTCATTACACCAGAGTTCAAATGTGTACATAATACCTCTTGAGCATTCATAAGTGATTTCAGGATCAACCAATATATTTTTTTACACTGGAAGCTCGATGCAAAGGCTTTACCTGAAGAGAATCACAGTCTTCTGCAAACCAGCGCACATCATCCACGAAACTGTTCTGCCACTCGGGATCTTCTGCACATTGGTTTCCTATCCCAAACAGGTCAAAGGGATCATCTGGACTGTGCCAAACAAGGATAAAAGTTAGCACAATTTTTACCAAATAAGTTGTCTCCCTTTTCAATAAAAAGTTCCCTGGCCCCACCACACATGACTAGAATGGCTGCAGCAGGGGTCACATGAAAAGTTTGACATTTGATGACTGAAAATGACAAGGGCCTCTCCAGTCTTTTTGAATTTCTAAAAATACTGAAGAAAAAGACATTTCCTGCGTAGCCTGGAATCAGCTCCAATCACCCATTCCTAAGCCTTTGTACTTTTGACAATGACATTATGCAGTCAACAACCAATTTTTTGGACATGCCTGATTGCTTCGATGTCTTCACAGAACAGCCATGTAACCCATAAAGCCAATGTATCTAGGTGCCTAAAATTTCGGACACTGAGACCTTTCATGATATTTTAAATAGTTAAGACGAACAAGATAGCATTAATCTGAGCCATTACCAAAGCCGTGTTTATTACACACTATCAAATCATCCCATCCGCTAGCAGCCATCACAGCTCCCAAAAGTAAGCTTTGTTACAATGCACAAATCCTACGTGTCTGGTACACCCAACATATCGTAACGATGCATACGAAGAATAATATACAGGGTGCTGTAACAGCAAGGCACTAGTAGTCATCGCACCCAATTTCTAGGCGGAGGCGGAAAGATTTTGCCACTAATTAGATCACTTAAAAATGACTAATGAATAAAAATATTTTAATTAACATTTTTATTATCGATTCTCAGGCAGTTGTTTATATGGGAAAGTTGTTCTACGTCCCAATTTATGGCAAGCATAACTTTTAAAAATCGAAAATATCATGTGTAGTTTGAAACATCCGTCGCTGAATTTCCAGACTGCAATGCTGGAGATACCAAAACTGAACACACCAGGTGGGCCGGAAGGGCGGTCCATGTAGTGCGCCAGATACGAATTGTCATCTTAGCAGCACATGCTGACCAACGGTCCTTCGCGAGCAACATGCAGTGGTTGTTCGATTCTTTATAATTTCAACTTCTGAAATGTGCAAGACTAATATTAAGGAAAAATCTTTTAATGTCTTGCAGTCGCAATGACCAGTATCCAGTCCCTTGGCATGGTGCCAGCAGCGGCGTCTCTGCCTCACGTGAACGCGTATGGAATCTGCACAATGCGCTAAGCGCAAGAATATGAATGCATGCGAAACAGAGGGAAAATGTGTTTAAGAAAAAAATGTGCATTGCTTAAAAAAAAAAAACAGCCCGCATAATGATTGTTATAGTTTTACGCCCCAAAACTACATTATGATTATGAGGGATGCTGTTAGAGGAGGGCTCCACAAATTTTGATCTCGTGTTCTTTTAATGTGCACCTAAATTTAAATACATAGGCCTCTAGTATACTGCCTCTATAGAGATGCTGCCACCATGGCCGAGATTCAATCCTGCAAATTTCGTGTCAGCATTTGAGCAGAGTAATAGCCGGACCACCATAGCAAGTTATAAAAACAAAGGAAAGGAGCACCAGTAACAGGACACAGTATGTGTAACAATCCTTATTTATGCACACACATTTTTCTAGTCTTTCCTTACACGAACAGCATTGAGATGCCTAGTATTAAGCATACTTGCAGGCTTCCAGAAGTATTGTAAATGTGGCTGTGATGATTTGGACACTCAAGATCTTAAAATGACTTCCATTATACAGTTCACCTCGCTGTAGAAGTTGCACATCGTGTTGCTCACGACATAGCCAGGACATAAAGAATAGAATCTCCATTGATACATTTTTCACAACTACCGGAACACAAAACATATCGTTAAAAAATTCTATTAAACAAAAGGTGGAAAAAAAAAGGATGAAAATTTGCACACTTTACTAACAATATACTTTTCTAGATCAAGATTGGAGTAGCTAGTCAATTTGTGCAGTACTCTATTCTATTCAACATCAAGGAGTAAATTCTCCTGATTACGTTTCACTAGATGGCGCGGTGCACTGCCAGGCAGAAATTTTTTCGCTGCGAAATTGCTACTGCTGCAGTCTCTGAGCCTCTGCGATGTGCAGATCATGGCTTGGTGAAATCCAGTTTGATCTAGTATACCAAAGAATAAACGTAGGATTTCTAGATACATAGGTCAAGATACACTTTTATGGCCATATTATACAATTATGGGCAAAAATGTGATAGCAATAAACACATGAAAATGCCCTACTTCCAAGGGACGTTAGTCGGGAATAAAACAAAAGACATATTAGGCTGAGAAGTGTATTATGCGGAATCATGTCAGCGAGTTTCTACTGTACTTGGCTATACAGATCATTCCAATGTAGAGGCGTTCCTCAAATCTTACTTGTCGTGCAGATAGCGTGTAATCAGGTGAATTGTGCGAGGATGCAGATGGACATCGAGGAACTCTGACCACAGCTGCACTGGCTCCTTCTTGGATTCCACCTGCCTGCTCGATTGATGTACAGGGTCCACTACAAATAGTGCAATAAACTATAGGCTTTGAACTTGCTTACTAATGTCTAGAAAACCCTGTAAAGCTAGGAAGTACATTATTTTCATGCCTATAAGCACAAATAGTCCAGGAAGAGTAAGAACAGAGTGCACATGCAAGCCACAACCTAAGCCTGTCATCGAAAGCAGCTTCATGACACTGGGTTAGGCAATGTAATAATTTTGCACCTTAAGGGAATATTTATTTAGGTATGTTACTGAGAATCCATGTCACAGCTATGCTCCTCAGCTCATCAGATGATGAGGGCCGATGTGGGTGTGTAAGGCTGGCTTCATTATTATAATATGCCTGTCAGTATGTCTCATTGCTTACTTTCCTACTCAACCCTCGCCTCACATCTGAGTATGTGGCTGGATAGAACGCAATGACTCAGGCTAACTTTCACTCTGCTATTCCAACGAATCTCTGTGGCTGTACTGAATGCCACAATCAGTGTAGGTAGATTGCTATTCAATGTTAACATGAATAGAAATGAATGCACTATGGCCAGTCTGAAATTCGAACTTTTGCAATGAACCACAGTTAAAAAGCAGCCTGAAGTAAATCATGTCACTTTAAAGGTATACCACCTCGGCAAACATCTTTGTCCTGGTCAGCAGGAAACCGTTGTACATCCTGGAAAAGTCAAAAGCAACAAACAGAGACTGCTGTAGAAAAACTGACCAACTAGTTTTATGTATAACAGCAAATGCTAGAAAAGGTTCACCAAATAACATAGAATAAATTTAAAGTAACAACTTGCCACTCACTTTCAATGTACGCAATTTGAGAAATGCACTGAAATACTGTTGTTTGCAGAACTGTTTTCATTTGGCTATCATAAAGGGACCGACAACTGGCTAGAACATGGGATTAGATTCTGGTAGAAATGAAAAGACTGTGAATTATCGTGATAGACTACAGCGTTTTTTCCGTGAACTGAGTAGAATCCATATTTTTTAATCATGTCTGAAAGTAACAAAAACTGGTATGTTGCACAGCCTTGAAGCTTGATTATGCAGTTGATTACTTTACTGTACGTAGTCACGTAATGTGATGCTGTCAAGTGTGGCATTATCAGTCTTCAGAATTAGAGTAGGTATATTATTATCCAGCCTTGCTCAATTCTGTGCCGCTTATGAGGTAAAAGGAGTAGCATGATGAGAAGCGGTGCTGCCTTCGCGGTAACCAATGACCCTGTTTAGCCATGGTGCACGCACGCAAAGTGCCCACGCTCACGGTAAGCGAGAAAACTCGAAATGAACCGCTCTTGCATTTACTGTTTGCAGCATGCATTGTCATGTGTCTATACGGCTCCATATTTGCTGCGGGAGAGCAAAATTATGATTGAAATTGTTTCGTGGCGTTCTCCACGTTACCATTTCGTCATTATGCACTCTTCCTGGTAAGCTTTCCATAGCACTGAAGAAAATAGGTATCACAAAAACTGGCTGTAGGTCCCTTTGAAGAGTATCCTTAGCTAAATATACAGATAGGTACATTCTGATTACACCTGTTTGCACTGGCAAGAGCTATATATACAACAAAGTACAGGAAAGAACAGTCTTTCCAGTACCTGTTGTTTTCTTTACCTTGTGTATCATTTTACCTTTTGCACACTATGAACCAACTACTAGTCCAACAACATTTTTTTTATTAATATACACAACAAATTGATGACCTCAACACAAATCTGGAGGTTGTCTTCCTAAATACAGTGCTGTTATAAATGTCTATATTTATGCCAAAATAAAAAAATTGGGAAGCTTGGTACAACTTGCATGGCCTTTTCTGTAAAGTACTTAAGGCTACACAGTTCAAAATACACCTAGGTTTCTTCTATACAGTCCCAAGCAAGTTTCCTGAGTAGAAATTTTATGTAAAGGCGAAGAGTGATAATGTGGAAATGTCACTAGAGTATTTTCGACAGAGACATCCAGAGAAAATACTGGCTTATGTCACAGTATAAACACGTATTGATGTATATAGCAGCTCTCGAAGAATTCTCATAAAACAGGAATGCTCATAAAAGATACTCGCTCTATTATATAGCTAGCGACGCACTTTATCTCTAGAGCCACCTGGAACCTTTCTCTCTGGTTCAGCCTTGTGGATGGTGACTTTACCAGACCTGCCAAGACAAAACAAAGATGAATTTACACAGAATATTCAAAATTAGAGCTGTGCGAATAGTAAAACTTTGAGTTTGAAGTGAATTCGAATATTGAGTGCGAATCGAAAAGAATACTTTTCGAATATTTCTAGAATATTATCCTAATAAAAACAGAAATTACAGTAAAAAATTGGAGAGGATTTCTAAGCATAGTCTTATAAAATATCAACATGAAAGCGTTTTTTTTTTTTTTTTTTGCTAATGAAGAGCTGCCAGGATGGTGTTTCATAGTTGTCTTATCAAGAATGAGGCAATGCAGAAGCCGAATTATATTTATGTAGTACATGATTTGGTGCAAACAAAGTGATGCCGCCAACACTGTATGCACGAAAGGAAAAGATGCTATTCACTCAGTCTTTTCTCCTCTTTAAACTTTGATGGAAGCCCAACTGATGTGGTGAGCAACGGTGCACTCCTTTCAAGTCCGGAGTTTCGAATCTGCCCAGTAAATGTACATATATATATATATATATATATATATATATATATATATATATATATATATATATATATATATATATATATATATATATAAGAACGCCTAAAATATTGGGTGCTAGCAAATCTTCAGCGCCAGATCTTTTTTTGGACTGCCTGCCCAAATTGCAGACACAAAACTGCATTGATTTTGCTTCCACATCTGCCACATTTATCATCTCAATGTTGGAACCAACGTTTTCTCGAGTCAATACATTTACGACCACAGCGAAGCTTGAAAGAGAGCTCTGCCACAGCACAAGAGTGCGATGAGGTGAAGCATATTAAAATCTGATGGAGCCACTTTAATTTTGACGACGACTGTATTTGTCTTTGAGAAGTTCAAAGATTAAAACTTCAGTGTGAATCGAATTGAATAGAAAACACTATATAAATATATTCAAAATCTCGAATATTTGCGCATCCTTATTAAACATGCTATAAAAAGGATATAGCAATTATCAAAGATTAAAACTTCAGTGCAAATCGAATAGAAAACACTATATAAAAATATTCTAAATCTCAAATATTTGCGCATCCTTATTCAAAATGCTATAAAAAGGATATAGCAATTATAAGTCGTGATAAAACAGGGTTGCATTGCCCTCTAGCGAGATCATATAACAAACAAATAAAAAGGGCACATTCTAATTAGGGTAACAAGAATCTTTTATGTTGTGTGTTCCTTTCCTAATCAAATGTGCATGATAATCAATTACCAGACGAATGTAGAGGATTCCATTAACCTCCAGAACATCCTAGTAGTTAGTGTAATCATATTATCAACACATCAACCCATCTTAGAATTATCATCAGTTCAATATATCCAGATTTAGTCGTGCTTTGCTGAGTGACCACATGCCATGCTCAAAAGTAGCCCTTACCAAACATAAGAAAAAGCAAGCCAAACAATCCAGTCGAGAAAGAGAATAAAACAGCAATGTTTCAAAGTTGTGTTAACCACATGCAATGGCAACATCACGATGTCGCACTAATAGAAATAGTGACAATCGTTCTCCTGAAAGTTGCAGGCAAGAGATTTTGATTACTTATCTAGTATACATATAGACCTTCAGCTTTAACCCCTTTCCTCCCATTGATAAGTATAGTCATTGGATTTTGTGCCGAAGTGACCAATGATTACTATACTTGCTGTCAAAAAAAATTTCTCTACGTCGAACCAACGACTAGACTCGCAATAGTTGTGTTTGTTTATGCTGCGTGGCCACACTTGTCCACGTCGCGCCATTTGCGTCTAGGCTTTCATTTTACTGACATCTCTCATTATATTGCTATGTGATGAAACCTTCATTGAGCTATAGTTTTTTGCAATTATATAAATATGGTAGACTCTTGATAAGTATAACCTGGAGGGACCAGGAAAACAAGTTCCATTTAATAGGAGTTCTATTTACCAAGAGATGAGGGCAGAGTTAGAGAACGAAAGCAATCATATGAGAGGTAGTCATTCCATTTAGAAAATTTCCATTTTCTGTGAAGATACCTCCCGAATTAATATAAATGTACCATTTTATCCTCAGGAAAAAAAAAAGGTCAACAAATGAAGCGAGAAAACATTTCAGGTACATTCCGTATTATTTTCTTCTTTATTCAGAGGTTAGTAAAACATCCACATTGCCAAGCTCAATGAACAGTAGAAGTTCTTTCTAACATCTTAAATGGACAGTCTTCTTACCAAGCAATCACTTCATTGGCTGATGATGGTGGAGGGTCATAAAGACAACCGGTTGCCTTCAGGTTTCCTAAACTTCCTTGTAGGTCGGCAATTAGAAGACGTGGTGTGTATGTCACATTGCCCTGCATGTATAAATGACACAATGAAATGAGGAAAACTGGGCACATGAGCCAAGGAAAAAAGAAAAAGAGTGGTTTTGCAGCTGCAGACACTTAGAAATAGCTTGATGGACATCACGTGAACACCTGTGAAATCAATCAACTTAGAAAAAACAAACTTAGCTGTAGCTTAATGCACTGCCCTTATAAAATAGTGTAAAAGGAATTACTAATATACTCTTCGGCAGGCATCTTTTCCTTTGTGCAGCGACATCAGGCAGTATAGCTACATGTAAAACAACGCTCGGTCAGTACCTGTCAATGCAGCAGCAATTGTACATTAGTACAAGCTGTTTCACACTTACGGAAAAACTCAAAGAGCACACTGCAATGTACATATTGTCACATGCGTCCCGCGAAAAAGACGAAGGCGACAGCGCATACGCGCATCTGCATGCTTTTATGCAGAACGCAACAACGAGAAAGATGAGGAACTCTCTCTCACGCGGTTAACAAAAAGACCGACCCGCTGCTGTTTTCTCAGCGTCTTCGAGTACGACCTCTCTCTTGACGTCGCGACACTGGTGGAGGTGCTGGGTATACGGTCCCGAACAACGCTTTCTTGCATCAGGTTGCAGGCCCCAGCGCCTCCACCAGTGTCAACCAGTGCTGTTACGTGGTGTCCGTCTATAATAACGCTGAGGTCGGCACGTACAAATTCATTGGCAGTAGTACTCGTGGTTGTTGTCGTCTTCGTCATCACCGTCGTCACGTCGTCTTTGTGTAGAGGCAAGGGGGTCTTTTTGGCGTCTCAGCAATTGGCAACCTTGCCCCCGGAGGTCGCGGCAGTTAGTTTCCCTGGCACGGGCTCGGGGAGCGGTTTCTGATGGCGTCCGCGTATCTTTGGCGATTCGGGGAATTCTGACCTCGTGCAGGTGAGGGAGACCGCCAGCGACGACTTGGTGAAGACGCTTGGTTGGTCGGTAGGTGATCAGCACCATGGTCACGAGGGTCTTCAGAATAAAAAGAAGCGGGCCGAGAAAAGTTTCCAAACCGGGTTTCTCGATGACGGCAGTAGCGCGAGATGTGGCCTGGTTCGCCGCAGTGGAAACAAAGGGGTCGACGGTCGGCAGTGCGCCACAAGTCGGTCCGACGTACTGGTGGTCGCCGCACAGGTTCACGCTGCCACCATGGCGAGGTAACGGGCCGCAGCTGAAAGGGTGCTTCTTCTGGGGCAGGCGGATGACGGCGGACGGCATCAGCATAGGTCAGTGGACGTGGTTCGGGTGGTGGCGCCGGTGATGGAAAGGCTTGCCGTAGTTCCTGGCGCACGATTTCTGCAACAGAAGCAACTGGGGGATCGGTAGACGGAAGGCCGAGGGCCCGCAGCTCTTCCCGCAGGATTTGTCGAATCATTTGCCGTAAAGAGTTTTCAGAAACGGCAGCGTTTTGAGCGGCGGCACCAACAGGCGTTTGGTCGGGCAGGCGGTCAAAGTGGCGGCATCGTTGCCGGAGCGCCCGCTCAATGACAGTCGCCTCTTTGATGAATTCATTCACTGTTGTTGGCGGATTTCGTACAAGGCCGGCGAATAGCGGTTCCTTAACTCCGCGCATCAGATGACGAACTTTCCTTGCCTCGGGCATGTCAGGGTCAGCGCGGCGAAATAGGCGGGCCATATCCTCAGCGAACATGGCCACGCTTTCGTTCGGCTTTTGCATGCGGGCTTCGATCATCTGTTGTGCGAGATCCCGTCGGTCCGCACTCAGGAACGTCTCGAGAAGCTTTTGGCGGAAATTGTCCCAGGTTTGGAAAGTAGGCTCCCTGTTCTCGTACCATGTGCGAGCGCTATTTTCCATTGCGAAGTAGGCACGGCCAAGTTTTTCTTGCACGCTCCAACGATTCACCACAGCGGTCCGCTCGAACTGGTCGAGCCAGTCCTCGACATCTTCATACGGTTCTCCACGGAAGACTTCGGGAACACGAGGAGTCTCAAAAGTTACCTGGTAAGGGTGAGTCGTCTGGGCCGGGGGAAGATTCGCAGACGCTGAAGGGGCCGCCATGTTGGTAACAGGAGATGCCGTCAAGAGTTCGGGGCTTAGGCCTAATAGGCGCCGGCTGAATCGGTGTACTGGAGTCGCAACAAGACGTTGAGGCTCCGGGCTGAAACCCTACTTGTCCAGCTAACTCTCGTTTGTCCTGTGCGTGCCGGTGCATATGTGCGTTTTTATAAGTAGAGTGCCTTGGCTGCGCATCGGGACGATGCCATTTTTGGAGGGAGGCAAATGTCACATGCGTCCCGCGAAAAAGACGAAGGCGACAGCGCATACGTGTATCTGCACGCTTTTATGCAGAACGCAACAACGAGAAAGATGAGGAACTCTCTCTCACGCGGTTAACAAAAAGACCGACCCGCTGCTGTTTTCTCAGCGTCTTCGAGTACGACCTCTCTCTTGACGTCGCGACAATATTAAAAAGCTTGGTAAAGTATAGCACCATTTTGCCAATCCCCTTTTAAAAGTGTGATAATATTATGTATAAATGGGCACACAAACAGAAGACCCCTTGGGGGTAACTAGATATTCATGTGTATATGTTCAACTTTAAAATGAAAACAGCACACACTGATAGTTCAAAATGCTCTTATTACAAAAGCCAAATGTCCCAAGCCTCACATTGCATCCCTCATAATCATATGGCGGTTTTGGGACATTAAACCCCACATATCAATCTAAGCCTCATATGAGTACACATTCAGTAGATAAATATGTGCAAGTCTTTACACAATAGAAACATTTTCATGATGACTCTACGCTTGTGTATCCACAGCTTGCACGTGACGTCATAGACGCACAGCATGGCAGCTTAGATGACGTCAAAACGATATATTCGCACGGTCATTAACCTGATTCAAGAGTGATAACGACATTGCTGAAGTGTTATTGGGCCTCCGTGCATTTGAAACAAAGTTACCAGCACGCGATGTATATGAAATACATATAACACTAAGGTGACATCACAAATGTTTCATCACGTCCCCCCATGTTGGTGCTTCAATGTGGCTGCTTCTGAAACGTCTGCGTAAGTAATATATACCGACATGAAACGGGTCAGCACAGGCCACTTACCTTGGGGTTTCTTCCTTCGCGGAAAAAAAGTGTCGTGAGAAAACTCAAGGGGTATCGTTTTGTCATTTGGCTTGTACGAAAAGCAGGCTTCCTGTTAAAAAAACAACAAAAGTATTGTAGCAGAAGATTACATTGGAGGTATGCAAGCATAATAATGCTTCATGTGGTCTGCTATTTTTCACTGTAGTAATCATGCCCGAGAGTTTTTAGGCTAAATGCCAGCACGCTGTAAGTAGATCAGAGAAAAATTGCTGCGATTACATATTTTCTGTCAACAAATTGTGCTTTGCACCATAGATACTTTGGCAGCTAAAGAAACCACATTAATGCCACTGTCCTGCCGGTTTAGATGTTCAGTATCAAAATTCAGTTCAGTTCAAAAACATGAAACAAATAGTCGCGATATAGCGAGCTAAAGCGAAAGTAACTTCTCGTCTAGTGCGGGGAAATACTTTCGGCTAATTTGCCGTAAATCAGTGAATCGCAGTGAATTCGGAAACAAATAACACAGATGGGAACATGGAAAATATAAGTTGACAGCTCCGCGCATCGATTTCGTGATGGTCGCAGCTAATGAGCGCAAATAACAAATACAATTTCTCTAGGAGATAACTAGAAATGCTTGCACCTTACCTGCAAATTCCAAATATGAGAGCCCACAAAGTTAGCGTAGTGTCCGAGCTGCAATGTTATGACTTCTCTGTTAGGCATGTTTTGCTAATCGCGCAAGGCACGGCGACAGAGGTGCTGATTATAATCACGGCATTGCCCTATGCAGCGTTAGTTCCTTGTACGCACGCTACTGTGGAGTCAATGGAGTTGACATTCCGCCTTGCTCAGGGTCGCTTCCCTGAATTTTGAATTCAGCAGCGCAGCTGCACTAACGCGCGATGCAGCTCAATCGCATTAAACCGCGAGCAAGTCATACAAGGCTTTTATTGGATTGGCTTCAAATGACGCCAAATGCGCCGAGGCGGAGTCGATAGAACGCCCATCCCAGCCGCAGACAGCTGAGCCAGCGCTACGAGCGCATTGCAGCCGTGAGCTAAGTTATGGTCCGGCCTAGAGTGCCTGAGCTTGCTTTCGAGCTGTAGAAATTAAACGAAACTTGCAATATGGAATTTAAGAATGCCATATTCAACGCTGCTAAAGATGGCAAGCTTAAGCGCCTCAAGGTACGTCAAATTTCGCACCTGACAAAGCTGCGTCAGTGCATGTCGTCTTATGTTTTGTTAGGCTTAGTAGCTTTCGCTCTTAACGCAATATTTTCAATCAAGAGAAACTTAAATGCGCGTGTAATGCAGTGATACCTCTGTTTTGGTCTTCGGTTATAGGTATACGCGGGCCGAGTTCCCACTTACCCACTGGCATTGAACGACGCTCACTTTTCCTGCTTAGCTCTGGGATCGAGATGCTTTGTGGTGTCTTCCAGACGCTTTATTGGAAACCTCCGTTGCATTTTTGCGTAAGCGTTCGTTGCGTCAAGTCCAGGCGAGAGCAAAATCTGAATTTTTTACAGTGTTGTGGCATTCGGTGCGCATTCTTGCTAGGAGTGAATCGGGAAGTGTATTTGATCTGATGACTCGAGTCGGAACTCTCGAGAAACAACGCAAGCGAACATCCTGTTTGTGACGTCCGGACAGCTACATATAACGCTTGTCACACGTGTGCTGTAATGAACATGTGACAATATCCGTGATCTAATATTTTGCCTTAATTATGTAAGCCTAGCGCGCAATATTGACAAGCTCATCGCGAGTTTACACCAGAGACAGAGTGGGAGGGAATGCTTGCGCAGTTCGCTGCAATTTCGTCCTGTTTCACATGCACTGCTGCCAGCACGAACCAAACATGCGCGGAGTGCAGTTCTGTGCTATGTAATGGCGCTGACCAAAGTTCATGTGCTGATTTGGGTGTCGTGAAGACGGCACTCTTAAAAAGTGACACTTCGTCAGTGAGCGTAATTAAAGTAGCATCATTTGCGTAACCTAAAGAAAATGACTTTGCTTTCTCGTAACCATGTGCGTCCTCTTTTTTAGTTTTACCGAATTCAGTAACCGTGGGCAATGCAGGTGTTTTTGGACCATAGAACGAAGGAGCAAATCCAAATGCTGGTTTCCGCAACAACTAATGGAGCGACACCGCTAGTGATGGCATCTCGAAATGGCCATCTAGATGTGGCCGACTACCTTCTTGACAGATGCGAAGCTGACATTGAACAGGTAACTACTCTGGCATGCTGGCATGCGATTGGCATTGTTGTACAAGAGTGTTTTGCCTTGCGGAACTTGCGTGAATGATGTATTGGCATCAAGTCAGCCAAGTAATTTCACAAAAGTATAGTTCTATGAAGTTAACCGGCTTGGCAGCTACTGCATGTTATGTACCCGATATTGTTACTGGTCGTTATACCCATTGCAGTGTACATTATCACTTACGTGCATTATCAGCTATAAAGATGTATTTTGGAAATCATATGATTTCTGGTAAATGTCAATTTGTTGTGAATATAATCCAGGTACTGCATAAAGAAGAAGTTCTTGTCTCCTCTGCGTTATCTTTGGACATGTGAACTATGTTGGAAAGCTCACAAACTCGCATGTTGTTTTGTTTCTGCGTCGCTAAACCTGCTTTGCTGAACTGAAATGCATACACGAGTCTCGAGATCTGTGAGCAATATAGAAAGCAAAAAGATTTGTCCACCCCTGGTCTATTTTTGTTTAGAAGGGGGAACCTTGTGTGCCAAAAATGAAACTTCAGGAAATGGGAGCCATCTGGCTGCATGGCAAATATTAAATGTATTTAATGGAAAGCTGTTTATTGCGGGGAAGGGAGGGCATCATGATAATGTCGTCAGGCACATCTTTGGCATCCTTCCATGAGAGCGTTGTGGCTTTTGGAGAAGAGGCTTGGCAGAAACAATTCAGAAAGCATGCCACAGAACAACACTCTGTACATTTTCGCATCAGTTCAAAGAAAGTCAACAAAAATTATTGTTAACCTGTTCGCTTGTTAGCAGTTCCAGTATTTTCTGGTCCCTGCTCTGCCTTACACTGCAAGATGTGAATGCATTGTAGACAACTGACATATGTATTGTGCTAACTTGTTTATTGTTTCTTTAAGTACAAGTTTTTTTTTAATTTGTGGAAAGAATGAACTTTTTTTGTGAGGTATGATGCATGAAACATTTATTTAACTGGGTAGAAGCTGTTTCTTGTTAAGAATTTCAGCCCGTAAAGTGTTGTATAGCTTATAAATAGGTGTATAACACTCAGTTCTATGTAGGTGTCATATATGCACTTGTTACGGGTGGAAGTTGGTATCCTTTGTCACTTATCCAGCTCTCCCTGAAAATTAACTGTAACGATTCATAACTTGATATTTGCTACATAATTTATTTTTCTTATGATTAAACTGCTTCATACTGAAGTGCTCTGCTTCGAAGCTGAGTTATTTGGTCCTTTCCACTTAACTTTCTCACAATTCTAAAATTTACTGCTCGAAAAGGTTTGCAGCAACTGGTAGCAGTTGTTCTTTGCCGTGTATTTTTATCATTGTGCTGAGAATAATTTTAGCATCACATGCTAATTATTACTCGGAGACATTGGAAGCATTTTCTTGTTTGAAAATAAAGAAAGATGAGGGGAAAAAAACAAAGTTAAAGAAAAAGGATCTCTTGATCTTGTCACTACATAAAGTTGCAGCATATGAATTACAATAGCCCGACAGTGAGTAAATATAATATGCGCCAAGCTAATAACATGAAAAAGGTAGAGGGAAGAGACAGGAATAGAATTGATTTGTTCAGCATATCGGGCACCAACTCGCCGAGAAACAGGTTCTTTTTAGTAAATAAAAACTTGGAAAACATTTCAGCTTGAAAGCAATCTCAGAAATGCCTGTATGTACATGTGGCTATACTTCCACACAGTACTATCAGCGTCAAATGAAACCCAAATAGCAGCAAGGCTTCGCGATGGCATAGTGTGTGCCGTCCACTTATCACCGTGCACAGGCACACATATACATGCGCAGAGCTGCTGAACAGGATGGGCACAGGCTGTCAGTGGTGATTACTGGACAGTGCGCAGTATACCATTGCGAAGGGTTGCTGTTTCGTTTCATTTGACATTGATAGTAGATGGCCAGATTCATGTGTATATTGGCATGAAGCTAAGTACTGCAGCACGCGTATCAATTTGTAGAAGCCTCAAGATTTCGGTACGTTAATGCAAAATGAATCTTTGAAAGCACGTAGTTCAGTACATATGGTAGCTTGATATTGATACATGCATGTTGACATTTTGTGGGACGATGCGCGTGTGTGCCTGATGAAAAGGACGAAGAGTGGTCTCCGCTCAGTGTCTGGTCCACCGGTCACGCCGCTTCTGCTGCTGGTCTGAAATATATTTCATTCACAGCCTCGTCGATACGGCGTTCTCTCTTTCGTAAGAATATTTTAAATAGGAAAAATTGAATTACTCAGTGTAATGGAGGGCCGACTATTTGATATTTCTGATTTAATGAAAGAACCGAATTCGTGTGCTTGCATGATAGATGACCTTCTGGGTGAGCAATATTAACACAGTTGAGGAGCTGATTTATCATTTTTCAATGTTATGTGGTTTTGTGTGTGCAATTGCTTTACTTTATCTACTAATATTTCTGACATATCTTTTTGTTTGTGTGTGCATATCCGTGTAGAGAGAGAGAGAGCTTGGCACCTGACTAGTCTATGCAATCTAAGTTGAAACATGAATGGGTGTCAAACAGGCACTTTGAGTAGCAATCGAGCCCCGAAAGCTGTGAAATTTCTCAACTGCAGTTGCATCCCTTTGCATTATGCTCAATGCTCAAATAAGCCATTTGCACGTGAGCTATGCAGTCCCTGATTGAATAAGCCATTTGCTGGGGACTCAGCTTTTCACTAATTTATGAGTTAATTTCATAGTTTCATAAAATTTCGCACTTTGAAATATTAATGTGCAGTGAATTTTATGCTTCCTTTCTTTTTTGGTGGTTCATAATATTTAAACAGATGCCATTTTGTGGGTGTGTTTTGTAACTGCACTTTGCAAAAATGTCTTGATAGCGAAGCCAATTATTTTGGCTGCAGGTTGGCTCGGTTAGCTTCGAAGGGGAGACTATCGAGGGTGCTCCACCTCTGTGGTGTGCAGCGGCAGCGGGCCACCTCAGTGTAGTACAGAGGCTGGTGGAACGGGGTGCTCGCGTGAATGCCACAACACGGACCAATTCTACGCCGCTGCGAGCCGCATGCTTTGACGGCCACCTTGCTATAGTGCGGTATCTTGTGGAGCGTGGCGCTGACTTGGAAATTGCCAATCGCCATGGGCACACCTGTCTCATGATCGCCTGCTACAAGGGGCACCTGGATATTGCCAGTTACCTCGTTGCTCAAGGCGCCCACGTCAACCGCAAGAGCGCCAAAGGTATTTATAGCGAAAAATAGAAGAGTTGCTTGAGAAGCGGGCATGAATTCCAGTACATTAAGTGATTAGAACACACGCGTTCTGGATAGCATCATCTGCTCCGCCACGGCAGTCTAGTGGCTAAGGTACTCGGCTGCTGACCCGCAGGTCGCGGGATCAAATCCCTGCTGTTGGCGGCTGCATTTCCGATGGAGGCGGAAATATTGTAGGCCCGTGTACTCAGATTTGGGTGCACGTTAAAGAACCCCAGGTGGTCAAAATTTCCGGAGCCCTCCACTACGGCAGTCTCTCATAATCATATGGTGGTTTTGGGACGTTAAACCCCACAAATCAATCAATCAATCTGGATAGCATCATCTAATCGTAGAAGCACAATTTTTTCATAGAAGTTGTTTATGTGTGCTCTCGAAAGCCAACATCAGATCATGGCCACACCCCACGAGTTATGAGATATGTAGGCCAGTTTACCATGTATATAAAGTTGTCCCTCTGTAGTAGCACAAAGCTGTTGTCTCATTGTGTTGTTATAACAGCCTTGTTTTTTACATTAGCAAGGTGCACCCATATATATATATATATTTGGTGTTGTAGTCAGGTTTAATGTGTCAGTCTAAATAGACAAATTTCATTTTCGAGGAAACACTGCTCTGCATGACTGCGCTGAATCTGGGAGCCTGGACATTCTTCGGTTGTTGCTGGAACACGGAGCCCGGGCTGAGCGAGATGCATACGGCCTCACACCACTTCTGGCTGCGGCAGTCACAGGCCATGCCCCTGTGGTTGAGTTTCTTTCTTCGCTGCCCAACTGCCCACGGGAGCAGCGCGTTGAGGCTTTGGAGCTACTGGGGGCCACTTTTGTGGACAAGAAACGTGACTCACCTCGTGCCCTGGCTCTCTGGCGCAGGTAAGCAGCACTCATGTGGTGCAGTCATAATAAAAAAAAATTATTCGCTCTACCTATTGATTTGATGTCTGATTGTTTGAGAATTTGTAGTAACTTACGAAGCACATCACTTATTCTGCTGCGAACAAGCTTATTTAGGAACAAGTACAAAAAAAATCTTGGGTTATAATGCTTGTTTCTCAGCATCTTTCAGAATACTTGCATCAAATCAGAGGCAGCCCTGTTATTAGTGTCATGTAGTGACTGAAAACTGCCGTAGATGCTGCAATGACCAAGAACGTTGCGTAGAGGTTTTGCTCTAAGCAACACCATTGCCCACATTGTGCATCAGAGTTTCTTGGTGCCTGCAACTCTGCTAAACACAACTAGTAGCATTATAATATACATACCACGCATATAAACTGGTGATTCGAATTAAGCAGAGGCAGGAAAAAAATGCACTGCTGACTTATGTAGAATCACTGTGATTGCTGAATGTTTTGGTGTCTAATATGCACCCACACTTTATGGTTACACAGCTGATAATTACCATAATAATGTTACTTGACTGTCTAAACTATGTAAAAGCCAAATGTGCATGTCCTGCCCACCCCCTTTCCTCTTTATCCTGCTTTTTGTTGTCTTTTTTTCTTTTGGAACAGAATTTTTCCAATTATAACAAGAGGTAAAATACAAAATGAACAAACACTAACTTCACTCAATCAAACCATAGCTTCAGTTCTCCCATCTCTCCTAGACATCCTTTTAGCACTCCCTGCAATCAATAGCACACATGACGTCGTGCGTTTATGAAAGAACTCCCCAGCAGTTGATAACAAACAGCTTAGGCTAAAAGATACAGTAAACCCACGTACAATGAAGCCGCTTCATTCGAATTATTGCTTTCATCGTAGCGTCACGTAGTCCCGGCCCCAATACGTGCTTTTTAGGAGAAATTACAAGCATGTCGATAGCTTGCTTCGCTTAAAGTGAAGTAACAAGTTGCGGATCCCTATATACAACGGCACAAGCGATTGACCGCCCACGCCGCTCAAGTGCCTGCACGCTTTTTTCATCCACGTCTCATGCCGAGCGTTTTTTTCTGCACTGAGCGAGCGATGTTTGGCTTAGCATCGTCAGGCTAAAGTGCGCCAGTGCAGACTGGTGCAGATTATGCAGACAGCGCTCTACTCCGGTACGGAGATGACCGCCTGAGGCGCTCGCTAACATGCCGGTTGTAGAGAGTGTCTGCGCACATCAGGGCACTGTAGCCAGTTCCTCACTGCTACGCCGCTGGCAGCTTGCGGGCTATGTTGGTGGTGTCACGTGACCTGTACAGAGCATTTGTGTGCTCCCTGGCTGCTGGGTTTTTTCCGTCTGGGCTTGCAAGACGTGCGTGTGCTGTACGAGATCTGTGTGAACCCGCGACGTGCCTGCAAATCGTGTGCGTTTAGTGACCGTCAAGTGAAAATGGCACCGCCGGTGCCTGCACAGAAGTGTCTGACATTTGAACAGAAAGTTGAACTGATACGTGAGATGAAAAAAGGAGGCCGGCAGAAGTCTTAAATCACAAAACCATTCTGGAATACTGTTGTCAACATTGTGAACTGTTCTGAAGAATAAGGCTGCCATACTGGGAGGTTTCGAGAAGAGTTTCTGAGCCAAAAGAAAGCACTACTATGATTCTATGTATTCTGAAGTGGACAGAGCGCTTCTAAAATGTCTGAAAAATGCTAGAAGTGCGAACCTTCCTGTAAATGGGTCTACAATGATCGTAAAAACTGAAGACCTAGTCGCCCGAATGGGCAAGCAAGATTTTAAGTGCAGCAACAGCTGGCTTGAGTGTTTCAAGAGACGGCACTGCGTGTCTTCAAACTCGATCGTTGGTGAAAGTGCAGCAGTGGACTGTGACGTCGTAGATGGATGGCGCAGGCATCGGCTGAGTGCCATACTTCAACAGTATGAAGATACATTTACAACTTGGTTGAGGCGGCAATCTTTTATAAACTTTGCCCGAAGCGCATATACACTTCACCGGGCGGAACCTCATCAGGATGTAAACAAAGCAAGGAACACATTACAGTGCTGTTTGGTGCTAGCGTGACGGGGGAGAAGAAGCTTCCTTCGCTAATACTGGGAAGGCGGCAAAGCCCTGGTCAACTAGCCGGCCGAAATAGTCGACTTTCTTGGAGGCGCCGATGAAGAAGATGAGCTGCTAGATAAACAGCCTCGCCAAATACCAACAGTGGCACAAGCGCAGGAGAGCGTGCGTCTGTTGTGAAATAGAGGGGAGTGTGAGGGTGGTGACCACGACCTCATAGTTTGCCTGAACGAATTGGAGCAGGTACTTCTCGCACCCAGCCAAAGCACCCGACAAAGTCAGTTGGCTGCCTTTTTTTTTTTTGTCTGAATAAAAGTTTGTTTCACTGAATACCACTTCTGGGAAGTTGTAATGGCTAATTTAGAAGTACTTGCTGAGCTTTTATGGGACAGTTGCATGTATCAAATTACCGCTTACATCGAATCTTTTTGCGGTCCCGCTGACTTCGTTATTACGAGGGTTTACTGTATGTGAACTGTGGTGCTAGTGTTTGAGCTTCCTTTAGTTTTGCTTCTGCACTAGTTTACCATGCTGAAGAGAGCTGCATGCTATGACAACTGTGCTGTTTGTGGGAAGCTGTTAGTGTCGACGCAGTATCTTGCAACATGGCCTGAATAATACTACACGAGCAGTGCATGACTGTGCGTGATGCTAACAGTTGTAGGTTAGCGGCAGACTCTAAACTAGTACAATAATATTTTGTACATGCGTGTTGTGTGCAGGGCCCTGGAGGAACGCTGCCTTGAGCCCCCTTTGCCCAAGCCCTACAGGAAAAGTACTGCTGCTTATGGCCATGCGATTGAAGCCAACTCCCCAGCTGACCTGGACGATCTTCTCTGCGAGCCTGACCAAATGCGCATGCAGGTTGGACCGCTTGAAGCCAATGCTTCTTTATTTGAAGGGGGGGGGGGGGGAGACAGCAGTGCTTGTCCCCCCCCCCCCCCCCCCCCGAATTGCATCGTACCTTTCACAAGCGAGCAAAAGCCCACGAGCAGCGCTTCGTGCGCTTTATCCCCTCGTGAAAGGTGCGATGCGCGGGGGCATGTTATCAATTTATACTTATTGCGGAACATGGTGGCGACGGCAAAAACCCTCCGAGAGCGTCCATATAATTGCTATCGCCATAACAGCGCAGTTTTTTTACTGTAAAATAAGTGTTTTAGGTTAGCTCTGCCTTCAGTTCATGTTTTGTTTAATTTGCGCGTTTATTTTCCTAATTTTGTACCGAACCTGCATATAAGGAAATTCTCTTTATAACGAACTTTTCCACAAGGTTATCAACTTCGTTATGTCCAGGTTTAACTGTAGTCGGCATCGAAGGAATCGCTGCTGAGCTCACTTGCTGCAGATAAGCCAGCACATACGCCATTAGTATAGTCAGCATGTGTGTGCACACACCGGAAAACTCTGTGGTTGCGCACCTGTCAGAAAAACTAAACGTGCTGAGAAACTTTGTCACCCTTCATCATTCTGCCACCGAGAGCCAATAAATTTTTGCAATTCTCAAACAAGATAACATGCAGGCAAGACAGCATTATTCGTGGTGACATTTTTAGCATATACATGTGCCTGCCTGTGAGCAGCTGTAATCACAACCCTGTGGGCAATAGACAGGACCAGGTGCTCACCCTTTGAGAGATTAGATACCAGATAGGCATCAGTTCTTGCAAGTACAACAAATGGAAACGACCCGTGGCATGAAACTCAAATATATTGTCATGTGCTTGTACACATGCGGATATTTTAGCCATAGATAACAATTCAGTATTTATGAAAACTGAAGGTCGGGGAAAAAAAATGTTCTTGCATTCACGCATGGTGGTAGCATTTGCCAAGGCAAAAAATAGCCATAAAATTGACAGATTCTTCAAGCGCACTAACAGCAATGGAAGTGTACAGCATCAGAATTTGTGATTTGGAACTTAATTGCTTCTGACCTTTATGTGGACATAATTGATCCACAATGGTTCAAGTCATTGCATTTCAACTTGTCATTCGTGGTCGTGAACCTTTAATAGTAAAAAGCAGGGTGTTCGCTTACTTGTTATATCCTTGTTATATGTGAGGTTCATAGAGTGCATATTGTGCCACGCCTATCAGTGGCAGCTTGTTTTTCTTTTGATGTCTTCTTTCTGTGTCTGTGTACAAGAACCTGCAAAGAGTTTTTAAAGCAGGTGGGTTAAATGTGGACTCCTCAGAACCATCTTGTTTGCAGGCACTTCTTGTGAGAGAGCGTGTATTGGGTCCTGCACATCCCGACACGGCATACTACATTCGCTACCGTGGCGCTGTCTACGCGGATCTCGGTGACTTCAACCGCTGTGTGGCTCTATGGCTCTATGCACTGGACATGCAGCAGCGCTGCCTTGAACCGTTCAGCCCCATGACTCAAAGTAGCCTGCTGTCCTTTGCAGAGCTTTTCTGCTTCATGATGGCTGAGGCCAGGCCTACAAGGTGAGAAGCATGTACACATTGGCAGTCAAACAGTATGGTCATTGAAAACTTCATTGTGTGATGAGTGTTGTCGAGCTGATATCGCATCTGGGCAGTTGTCGTGCTTATTTTGATTCAAGAAAAATTAAGTGAACAATGTTGGTTCTATCTAAGTTGAAATCCAAGAAAGCCAACTGTATTCCCATTCAATCTCTCTCCACCTCAAATACAGCGATACACTAGATGCTTGTTAATTCAAACTGATGCTTCGGTGTCTGCACAGCCCCGTGTATTTCTATGCGAGAATACTCCCAGTAATTTGAGCACATCGATATCCACAATGCTTAATTCGAACTGGGAACTCCTAATTTTTATTGCTTCTTGCAGAAGTTGGCCTAGAGTGATCATGATATGTTGCATAACCAAACCAAACTAAATTTACTATAAAAAGAAAAGCTGCATTTCTTGGCAGATGAGATTTTAGACACTGTGCTGTAGCTGTTGGGCAAGTGACTCGCAGTGCTCATGGAGTTGCGACATAGAAATGCAAGCGAATGCAAATTACAGATTACTTTAAATTTTGATTGCGTTAAGTTGGCCATGTAAGTACATGTGTTATGGAGTGCAAATAGCATCATATATATTAAGGTTAAGGCTCACTGCCTATATGAATGTATAACGGTGCTTGTTTCTGGTGTATAACTGATTAGTTATTTCTGTTCACTGTTGGAGCTCTTTGAACTTAATTTACGAGCTCACCTGCCACAAGCATGTTGTAGTGCCTAGTTCACGATAAAAAGTCAGTTGGTGACTTCTTTGGGTTCTGCTCGCACACTGTGGCACAATAGGAACCCGAAGCAATGCTTGGTGCCGCTGCAAATTTGGACATGCAGCACCATCTCTGGCAAAAGAAATGGAAATTGGGGATGTACATCATGCGTTTTCCCATCTTTTCACAGCACTGCTGCTCGCCTCCGTGCACGTGTAGGTAGGGCTCTCGCGCTGCACTTGGAACACTGTGCACCGCATCCAAAAAAATAAAAATCTCCCAGCTCGACAGGCACTTTGAAAGGCGAACGCAATCAAATAAAAAAAGTTCGTTTATCGCGTTCACGTTGAGCAGACAAGGACGATGCCTGTCATACATTAAACCTTTTGTCATACATTAAATATACCTAATGATCAATATGCAGTGCGGCATTGTCGTCGCTCTGCTAATTTAAGCTTTGGGTCCCTATGGCCATTCATTATAGCACCCGCTAATTTTAATTGCACTCTACTTAAACAATTTCATAGTCCCCTTCGAGTTCGAAGTAACAAGCTTCGCTGTACACACAAAGTTGGCCACATCTAAGGTGAACACCTCATTAGTATTCAAGCCGGCAAAACTATAACATTTATTCTACTTCACAAGGAAGATAAACACAGTAATAAATTCCCTAACTTTGCGTTGAACATCACCTTCTGTGAGGCCGTGAATGCTTAAGGGGTTCATCTTGCATGTGGATGACCGTGCATATTTATTTTATTTATTTTTTATTTACATAATACTGCAGGCCCAGTGAAGGGCTCAAGCAGGAGGGACGTATTTACAAAGCTCGTATAAGGACAACAGAAGATCAAGAACATGAAAAGCGCGAAGAATAAGGACATAACACAAACAATGAATAAGAAAGACATTTAACACTTTAACAATACAGGTGAAGATACAATATGTTCAATTGAGTCTATGCTATTTATGAATAATGCTGGTAATTGATTCCATTCAGTTACAGTGCGCGGGAAAAAGGAGAATTTGAAAATGTTAGTTCTAGCATTGAAGGGCGTTAGAGAGTCGGCATGCCGGTGTCTTGTTCTGCGAGCGGTAATTGGTTGGATGTATTGTTCTGGTCTCATTGACAATTTGTTATTCTTGAGAAGATAAAGAAATTTTAATCTTTGGATTTTACGTCTTAGTTCTAAGGTTGGTATGTTATGGTCTCTCATGAGTTGGGTTGGGGAATCGCTCGAACGGTATTTAGAGTAAACGAACCGAACCGCTTTATGCTGAATCATCTCAAGTGCAAGAATGTTAGTTTTTGTGTAAGGGTCCCAGATTATACATGCATACTCCAATTTCGGTCTTACAATAGATGTATAGGCTAGCATTCTAACACTTGCAGGAGCATGTTTGAGCTTATGTCTTAAAAGGCTCAGTTTACGAAAGGATGACGCACAAATGTCTGAAATGTGCTTGTTCCAACTTAAAGTGTTTGTTATGGTAAGACCCAGGTACTTATATTCTTATATTCAGGACAGTAACTTGCCTCCCTCTAACTGTGACTACTGCATTTCAAGTAATGCTGCTGTGAGGCTGCAGCTTATTTTGGGGCAAACCAATGACCCGATTTAACGCATGCCTTTCTTTAAATCTGTTGCAGGCCATCGCGACGCCAGCTTGCCCCTGTTGAGTTCGCAGATGTACTTGCAGTCTTTGAGCGTGCCGTGACAGAGCTGGTGTCAGCCGGGCGCCGCATGCCAGAACCAGCAGAGGGCGTCCAGCGCACATTGGCAATTGTACTGCAGCTAGCAGCTCTCCTGTGCCGGCTGCAGGTAAGATTTTCTATGCTTGCTAGTATTGACAATTTGAATTCACACATCTAATATTGTCCACATTGCGTGCGAGTCATCACACTGTGCCAATGTAGTGTTTCAGAATCCAACAAAGGCCGAAAAGAAAATGTACACATTAGGAAATATGGCCTTTATTGTCGCTTTGAAAGACAGCGCATAGTGAATGGAAGGAATGCTTGACATTAACTTGCAACCATGTGGCCCTAATCACTTGTAGACCACTAGCAGATCGAGGTTTAAACATAGGTATGCATCCATAAATGGATGCTGGTCATTGAAAATTTTCTTACTTTACTACTTGTCTTTCAGTCTCAGAGCAGCCTGGAGGAAGACACTTTCCGGCGTGCTGCGTACCGGCTGGTGCACTTAGATCTGCGAGGCCCACGTGGCGAGACATGCTTGCATTTGGCGTGTGGTCATGCACCGCCAGCTAGTCGCCAGGCCTTGGGCGCAGTGTGCCAGGAGGCTTTCCCAGCGCCTCCTCTTGTGCGTCTGCTGCTCGAACTTGGAGCCAACCCCAATGCCACCGACCACGACCGGCGTACACCCTTGCATGTTGCAGCACGCAACAAACCATTCTCACGAGCCTCCGCCCTTGCACTGCTGGCCCGTGGCGCTCACCTCGACCACACCGACGCTGCCGGTTGCACTCCCCTGGACTATGCGCCCATGCTGGTGGATTGTAGTCCTCTACGTTACACCGGCCTGCAGTGTCTGTGTGCGCGGGCTATTGTGCGCTTTCAGCTGCCCTTCCAAGGACTGGTGCCGCACCAGCTGGAGAGCTTTATCCAGAGCCACTGAACAATGTGGCAGGGCATGTGTGATGCCATCCCCCTTCTCGCGTCTGTTCTTCAGAAGTCACCTTTTTTTCCCCCAGCCTATCCTAGGTTCATAGAAATGCGTTGGAGACTGCCAGGGTCTTGTGTGGCTGTTGTACTGCGGAGGTCAAATGTCAGGCTCCTTATTGAGGCGAGAAAGATGTTCTGAAGGCAGTTCTTGGCAATGCTGTGGGACTTTTTTTTAGTTTTTGTGCATGTGCTTGGCTAGTTGTCTTCTGAGCTTGTAAGACTAACTTTGAAAGGCAGAGTAAGGAGGCTCTCAGTTGCTCCCATTCCACTGTTAAAAAGCCTGTAACCAGTAGCATTTCTGAGAGCTCTGCATGCCATAGTGAAGAGGTGAGAAGCTGCCTAGCTAGCTAGCCTGGCACATGTGGCCAATGAGAGGGCATATCACAAATTCCTGACATTGTGATAACCAGGATCTCTTTGATAATAAGGAAATAAAGACTTTTCCTCATGACAATCTGGGGATTCAAAATGACTATTTACCCGAGTGTGCAAGATTTTCTGGTGGTAAGAAAAATGCCGACGGATTGTTAAAATCTTTTAGGTTTTTCTCTAGCGCATGAAATGCCAGTGTCCAACAAAAGGTGATCCTACTGGTCTTCAAGTGGCAAGACGCGTAGTTGTAGTCATGGTTGAGTGATGAATCGCAGTAGCAAATGGCATTGAATAGAACATTGAAGGAAAGTTTTTTAAATGGATGGTAATATTCACGGCGGAAGTTTCTCATTCCTTCTATGTTTGTGTGTTCACTACAGCTGCATTTTTTTGTTATCGATCACCTAGTTATTTGCATACAACATAAGCATTTACGAAGATTCCTTGCTAGTAGAATTTGGTGCAGTTGGTCAACCCTAGATATAAAATGCAATGTTTGTTGAAATGTACAAGCGCTAATGACACATAGCATAATGGCATTTGTATGCTGGTAAAGTTACAGGTCAGCAGGGCATGCGAAACGCTGGCTGCGGCAGACTACCTGTGCATTCGCTTCTTGAACACATTAACACATTGCAGAAACAAATTGCACGTTGCACAATTCTAAATCAGCCTAGCTGGGAAATGTTGCATCAATCCAAGGGGCCATATTAATATCGCTTTTGCACATTGTGCTGCTTGGCTGCTTCTCTCTGTTGCAGTCCTCCGGTCATTGCAAACAGCTGTGCCTTTCTGCATGCTTACATTTGAAATTTTCCTTAGGGTGCCGTGAAGTTGGATTTGCAAAACTTTAAATTGTGGGATGATATTGGCAAGGCTCATCTCATTTGTGCAGATATGGCTTTTTGAAAACACAAAAGTTAGAAGTGAAATTTAAAATAGTGTTGCTGCTTGTTGTGCACTGTTATAAAAGATAGTGTTTGTGTTCCTTCAAGGTGTGAATCGGAGTAAACGTTGCATCATTTCTGGCTTTCCTGTACAGTGCTTAGCAGTCCGAATGCAACAATTGACCCACATGGCTGCTGGCACTTTTCGTGCCACCTGGGAGCACTTGGTGATCGTTGAATGGCCAAATTCAGTCACTGTACATCAGATGTACCCTCACTTTGTATATCTTAGCACATCAGTTTGGAGAACTCTGCACCTAATGGGAATGTTAATTTTTCAAAGTTGAATTGCTGAGCACTGTACACAGCATTTATTTGGGCTTACTTAGAAGAAAAACAAATGTGGCCCAGTTGGTTCAAGTGGGCCTCTGTGCAGCTTGTTCTTTTAGTTTGGTGGTGAATGCTTGAAGTGAAGAATAGCTCTTATCATCTGTTGCATGCTAGAGTTGCCTGAAACTTGCATGCTTCTTTTTGCTCCAATTTAAATTTTGCCAAGTCCTCTTACTATGATGTAAAGCGAAACGATTTGGAATCGAAGCACCAGCATATAATTAATGCAACTCTCGTGGGAGGGCAGCATTGCTTTTAAAGACTACGGTTCTATCTCTTCGAGGTGTGGATGTAAGCATCGTGTATGGCAAAAGCTGCCTCATCTTATGGGACTTTCACGGCTAACTCAGGATGTTCAACGATAAAACATGACTGCTGCTAGACAGACATTGTGACCAAGGAGCTGACGTAGCATTTTTCAATATTTGGTGTTTGTGCGTTCATTTGTGGAAGTGCCCCGTGTTATCAGATTATTACATTGATGCCTCTGATATATGAAAAAGACATTTTGGTGCTTTCTGGTCCTGAACTCACTTACCTAACTTGTTGGAGGCTTTAGTGAGGTCATGCTGTTGCACGATTCATCAGCCCCACAAACTTCTAAGCTGTTGATACATGAAACCTCCTCAGTGATTTGCTATTTGACTGTGTGGTTTAACATTGAACGTGTGGAACTATCAGTTTTTTTTAATACATACTTGCGTAAAGGTGTATTTCAAAATTTTTTCAAAAAAATTCCCTTGCCATTATTATTGCAAAGTTTTGTTGGTCTTTAAGTGGTGCAGCATGATGTAATTTATTGTAAGTCTTTAGTGCATTATTTTGACCGTAACAAAACCATAACTGAAGCTGTAGAGAAAGAAAACATCCTGCTGTATTGCAGTATGTTTTTTCAGTTGTTGCAACACAGATGCGGTTTGAACTGCACTAGGCAAACACTCACATCTTTGTTTCTATTGGTTGCTTGAACTTCTGCGTGTTTCAGAGTTGCTGGTTATCCATGTCATTGCTTATGTTACATGAAATGATTGAATATTGTATTCTGATCTGTGATGTGTCATTAGTGTAGCTATCATTGCTACACTGTAAATTTCATGCTCATGTTTCTATCTATTTTTAAGGCTAACCAGTGCAAAAAGACTATGCAGAAACCTGTGCATGATTTTGGCTTCAAATTTTAAAAAATTAAAATTCTTCTGAAAAGAATGCGAAATTCCTCCAATATTTCTTTTGTCATAATAGAGGAGACATTATTATCCAGGAAGTGTATTAGATTAGTACTCTATTATGTTTAAAATATTGGAATAGCAACTTGTCTAGGGCAAATTATTTATAGAACGAAGCATGATAGTTGCAGATCTGCTCGTCCGAAGCCTTCGCGATAAAGAAGCATGTACCATTAAACAGTACGAGAATGTCCTGAAAACCTGTAATGGCTAAGGATACTAACTTGGTGCTCCGTTACTTCATGAGTCAGACAAGCCACATTAACGAATATTGCTCATCATTAAAAAGTACACTCAAAATTTTCTTGTAACTTGAACGAGTAGGATTATTTTTAAATTAATACAGTAGACATCCGACAAACCTCACTGCACAACTAACAACTGACTAGACTCACATGTCAACCTGCGCAACTAAAATGTGAGCTTAATTTGGCAAGCAATCTTGTGTCTGATTGCCCATGTTTTCACACAGCTGCCTCACTTCATCGCACTGCTCAGACTAGTTATGAGGTTTGTGAAGACAGCTCAGAAAAAAACATGGACAAGAGAGGCGACATGGACAAGCACTAGTCCATGCTTCCTCCCTTTTGTCCATTCGCGTTTTTTCCTGCATTGTTGAAAATTTTCTTAGTAACGTAGCTTTCTGGGCTAGTTGGTTCATAGTAATAGGAAGAAAAAACCAGCAAGAAACCACACGAAGACAGGGAAGAACAACCACACAGAAGGCGACATGGACAAGCGCTTGTCCATGTCGCCTTCTGTGTGGTTGTTCTGCTTCGCTGTCCTCGTGTGGCTTTTTGCTGATTCTTTTTCCTATCAAATCATTCTTGACGATGAATCACCAGCTTGCCCAAACACTGACGTGAGATTTGACTGTAAACTGCTGTTTCCTTTGTTTTAAAAACAAATCTACTTAGTTTGTCTTCTGGTCTGTACATAAGACACCGACCATTAGACTGAAGCGCACAAACAACTTTCATCAGTGAAATATTGGGAAGCTGTAATGTACTGTGTGGTGCGTTATCTTTAGTTATTTACCAATTTACTGTCTTCTGCTAACACCGCACATCAGTGCTATTTCTTGCTTGAGCCATTAAAGGTGCTGACTCTGTCGCATCTTGTATTGTACCTGTTGCAAGCCGAGACATGTCTGCATGGTGGTGTGGCTTGTGCACACACAGCGGCCAAAGGCTCAGGAGCTCCACAACCACCGTGCCCAGATGTTTCTTTACGTCCTACTGCAAGCTCCTATTGTAACAAAGATTTTAAAGTGCCATTATGTCTTCGCTTGCTTGTCTTCCTCACTTGTTTCTCGGAAAGGATCGAAATCCCTGTAGTCTCTTTAGTTAGAGTAGCACAATACGACGAAAGCTTTCATTCTACTTCTAAAAAAATTGTTATATAGGCTTATAATTATGACAGCATAGAAAGATTGCAAATTCAATTTAGTGCTAGCTTTTTATGCAAGCTGCTGTAGGCGATTGTATGCTGGGAACAGTGGAGAGCTATGTTTGATTTAATTTGAAGTGAATACATCTACATTGTTTTGATTGTAAATATGCAGTAGAATCATTTTAGACTTGCTCCTTTCACGACTGTGACGTTGATCGTTTTCCTGTGTGTGGTCGTCGAAGAAAAATAAAGAGTAGGAGCACTACGTGTTTGTTTCTGCTTTGGAATGAAAAAACAATGGAAAGCTATAAAACATTGTTAAACATGTTCAGCAGGAATGCTTGAGGTAGCTGAGGTTCTTTTAGCATTGCTTGAACACAGTGAGTTGTGAAGCATATTTAATCTGTGGGACATAACACCCATTGACATACTTGTAGACTTTGTTTCCAGTTGGGTAGCAAACCGGTTATCCTGGACTGGTTGACCTCACTACCTTTCCTTCTGTACCATTTAATCTCGTTTACAGTTTTTCAGGTTAATGTTTTCTTTGCACTGCGCTTTTATATTGCATGAATCATGTTATTGGACCTTGCATTTGCTCGTTGACCTCTGCATATTTTTCACATACTGCAGAAGTTGGTTGACATTAAACATGTAAAGCTATTCTTGTAGGTGATTATAAACTTCCTTAAGCTCATGTAAAATGAACATGCAAACATTGCTGTACTATTACAGAAGCATAATGAAAGATTGATGCAAAGTTGTTGCATTCTTGGCACAAGGTTGTGGGATTGAATCTCGGCTGCACTGACCGAGGCAAAATGCTTGGGGCCTCTGTGCTTTGATTTAGGTGGGCGTTCAAAAAAACTAGGCGGTCGAGATTTTCAGAACCCTCCACTACAGTGTCTCTCATAACAATATGGTTTTGAGACGCAAGACTACAACCACGGTTAGTATTCTCGGCACAAAAATTTGCATATTACCAGGGTGGATGAACTGCTCTGTACTCGTGTCGTATACTGCCGCTTTTGCTGTATGCATGACTGAAGACATAAAAAAAAAGAAATACAGCTAAAAAAAGGAAACTAAATTATGGGGCTATATGTGGCAGAACCAAGATATGATTGTGAAGCACACTTTAGTAGGGGACTACAAACTGCATTAGACTCCACTAAAACCTGGAGGCACAGAAAGGTGTGTTAGATTACAAATTTTTTTGTTAATCAAGGGGCACCAAAATCACGTTAAATGGTTTTATAAGAAGAGCATTTCATTGTTTAAGTATTACTATGGTAAAAAGTAATGCTTCTATCACGCTCTGCTTCTAACATTGTAACTTATTTAGTGCACGGTTGAGTTCGGTGAACATATTTTAAATAATTCAGCAAAGTACTCGCATTCGCAATACCAGACTTCCAACTGCATTTCTTGGTTTGCATGAACCAGACATTCAGGAAAAGTAGCTCACGCAGGTACAGCACTGTCTACACTTCAGCACTGTAATCATCTAGTCTTTTTACACAGACCTCACTGATAATACCACTTTAAACTCTCTTCAGGGCAGGCAGAAAGGTTATCAACTGAACCTTGTATTTGTAGTGGTGTGTGCAAAGCACCAAGTCAACATGAAAGCAAAAAATTATCAATTTCATCTTCTTGCTTGCTTAGTGATGTCCTCGGTATGAAAAGGGCTGAAAAAAAATTTTTTTTGCATCATAATGCAGCTAAACTGATACTTCGACATTACAGTTGAACCTCTTGTTCAACACCAGTGTGCCTATAGTAAAATATGGGTTGATAAAAAAAGTCTATACGTGGTACCTTGCTTACAAGAGACATCTCATGTAAAAGACATAAATTGCTGCCTGGAGCATGCCTCTTATTAAGGGGTTCAACTGTGTAGGTACAGTTATGGGCAGTCCAATCAAGGAGGTTCTATACCATGTGTTCTGGAGTGGGGGTGCGCCCCGATAAGTGACGTCAGTCACCGCCATATTGGAAAAGGAAAGACTGAAGCAGACGACAAAGTGCGCTTCATAGCTGCGCCCTCACAGTCGCCTTTGGAGACTGTGACATGCTTTTGTAAAGCAGTCAAAGATTTTACAAGGCCTTGGTGACTTCGTGCGTTGCTAATGACTGCACAAATCACATCAAGATGACGCCTGGGATCACTTTTCACGTGTAAGTATTCTCGCTTCGTTCGCTGACGATCGCCTGTTTTTTCGCATATGCTGTTAAATTAGAAACAATATGAAAGGTGCGCATGCGTGTAATACATGCATATAGCAAACTGATAGGTGTTCTATGGTATAGCTATATGGAAGGTATCTTGAAGCTTTAAATGCTCGCTGACGCGATGTTGCCCATGAGTTTTAAGTTTATGGATGAAGCACTTGCGGTCTATGGCTGCACGTATTTGGAACGAGTAGGACGTCTGAATGCCTTTTGAATTCCAAGTTTTCTGGTGTTGTCTTACAAGGCAAAACTGATGGCGTGCATGCATATTTTTTAGGCGAGTGAATGTCGAATTTTGTGCATGTTTATCGCGGAATTCGCAAACGTAGAGAATATTCCATGCCGTGATTATCCGTGCTACAGGTTTTCGAAGTGCACTGCGTTCTGCCTGGGAACGTGCTGTTTGAAAAAATAGTAGGAGGGCTACAGATGGTGACCATTACTGTTCCGTTCACTTCGAAGAATGCTGCTTCGACAGAACGGGGCAGACAACGAGACTGCGGTCTGGCAGCTGTGCACCTTCGATTTTTCCTGCTTTCCGAGCGCATGTACAAAAACGTGTTAGTTTCTACCTCCTTGACGTAGCTTCAATAGAATGTAGTCACGAAAATAAGCAATTGCGTCTAAAACAAGATGAGACACCTTTGAAATCCGTTGTATCTTGCCAACAAAACCGAAACCAAAACGCCGATAGATGAAGTTGCCTAAATGAGTGAGTGGCGTAATATCAAACATCAAGCTACCTCGTTTTTAGGCTCTGAAGGCTGCGCTTGCCATGACAACACACGTCGCCAACGGAACTTGATAAATAATATGCATAACTAATGCCACTGCAATCGTTCTTATAAACGGTTCCTTTGGGGTACGTCTCCTGGAGTTGTCGGTTGCACGCGACATTGTTGCTTCAGTTTCGGTTCCGCCTGTAAATTGCTTAGAATTCGATAACTCTAGAAAATTACTGGTGACTCCCAGTTTACTTAATTACCTCTCTTTTCTAACTTTAGCTTTAATTATTTCAACTTCCTTATATATTCTCTGGTAATCTGCTGACACACACACACAAGCACATATATGAAAGAGGCAAGCATCGCCTTCTCCTTGATGTTGAGTATCTGCAGGCACATTTTTTAAAACACCCAATATATACTACAACCTTTTTGTACTGCAATAGTGCGCCAGCAAGCTCGATATGCGAAGCATCCCTCGACAACAGATTGATCTGAAAGTGTGCAGCTGACAATGGGTGCATGAAAGAATTGTTTAATTAACAAGAAGAGGCATTTATTCGTCGGTGTAACCTAAAAGTGGTCTCCATCTCATTTTTTTATCGCGGAACTGCAAACCGACGCGCGCAATGTGCCTTTCCATTGCGGTCTATGGCGGTTACGCCCTGTGTTTTCTCTAGCTATAAGGCCGCCGCCGGCTTCACTTGCTCCCGTCGGCGGTGGCCGGGACTGCCACTCCGGGACTATAAAACCTCCTCGAGTCCAATGAACCCGCGAAGCCGGTGACAACGTGGGAGTGGTCCGCTTTGGGCCAGGACACTTGCTATTGGACCTCAATGAAGTTGTTTAATCCATCTATTCATTGCATAAGAATTTTTCATTAAGGCATTAGGTTTCCCACATCTGTACTGTTCATTTAATTTTCTTTACTACAAGTCTCATTTGTGTCAGACTGCTGTTATATAAAGCAATGAAGTACATGATAGTTTCCATTTAGCATGTACTCACAGGAAGATATAATTTCTGTTTTACATTAGTTAACATTGTTGCTTTTGAGGAACTGTGGGGCAAGTGTGTGCACTCCCTCGCTTCTGTCCTTTCACCACGAAGTTGTCTGGGGGAGGGAGGGGGAGTTCACTCCCCCCCGAGTTGTATGCCTGAGCAGCCACGGTTATCTGCATTTTCTTCTATGCATGTACCTTCAATGCTGGAATAAGCCATTAAACAAGCATCCTAGTTTTGATCAAACCACAACAATGATAGAATTATCATTTTTGTCCTTTTGTCAATGTGCCAGTCAGCTCGAACCCAATTGACAACCGTTGAAGTGTATTTTATATTTGTGATTGAAACAACAAATAGTTCATACACTTGATGCTATGAATATCCTTTTGGCACATTCCATTTTAATGCCTTCAGGTGTCGCACCTAATTGGTTGCAAGGGCTGATACACAACCAGGGTCCAGGCGTACTAGCAGGTTGGGAGGGCTGTGTTTCGGATAGCTTGCTGTGCAGCGAGGACAGCACTTTTATGAGCAGCCGCTTATTACTTTGGAACTCCTGCAAAAAAAAAAAGTGTAATTTATGAAACACAACCTAAGGTTTATGTTTATGGTTTCAATCACAAACAGCTATGATGATGTATTTGTGCAACCTGATAAGTAATGACTACTGCTATCACAAAGATCAACTTCTAGACAAGCTCATTTTTCATTGCAGGAACATGTAAATGGGTTTAGAAACAGCAAATAAATATGCCATACTTGCAAACATGTAAAAAACTGCTAAAAAATTCTATATTAAACACTGGGGCAGTTGCTATGCAAATACACTAAGCAAGGGAAATACACTAAGAAATGGTCCTTGGGAGAATACTTTGATGACATAAAAGTGTTTTCAAAATCTCCATCACTGTGTGTACTCTTTCACTTGAAAAGAAAACAATATATTAGTAAGCGGTGCACGGTATTAAGCTTTAAAGAATCCCGTGAAAGTTTGCAAAATTTCTGCAGTGACAAGCCTGCTATTCAACACTCCACGCAAGTGGATACCAATATTCTAAAAATAACTGAATGGCAAAATTTTCTGGAAGCAATTATTCTAGGGTTTACTGTAGACAAAAAAAAAAAAAACTTGGTCCGTCTCCCCGAAGGGAACCCATATGGAATGCGAAGCAGCAGCGTTGCACGCAAGTGGCGTCACGGATTGAACGGTACTAACGCAGGTGCTGTGGTACGCAGGTGCTGACAGGTCTGAGCTGTTGATCTTCAGGCTCGAGTGGGGCTGTCCGGCCGGGACTCTACCTCGAGGCCAGTGTGTGAAATGCAGCATCAGCTGGTACAGCGTCTACCGGCAGCCCAGTGCTGATGCCAACTACGACGACAACTGCATCAACCCCGTGCTTCATGCCAGGCTTCCACTCAACGACGCGGGTGATACCCCGCTCCTTCGCAACTCTCCGTGGCCAACTCTGTGCAGGGACTGAGTGGTAGGACTCGATGATGAGTAATTACCTTATAGCATGTACATTTCTTTGTAACTGTATTTGAGGAGTTGGACCAGTGATATTTGGGGTAAGTGTTCCCAAGTTATTGTTATTAAAGGTATGCATCAAATGGACTCGTCCTTCGGGAAGTGTCCTGAGATGGCTCCTCGGACCTCCCAAGTCGAACCTGCCCGTTGTGCGAAACAAGAACCATGATGTTACAGCATCTAATAACCTCGTAATCGACAAGCTTCCAAGCAAACTGAGACTACATCAGTCACCAGACTGTAATTTCCACTCAATAACAGCCAGTATAGAGGACACACCAGAGTTCCCCTTTAAGAGTATGGTATAGTCCACTTTTACCATTAAACGACTAAATAGACCTGAGCAGATGCCAACAAATGTTTACAATCATCAGCTGGTGTGCAAACTTCAGTGTGATGGTGCCATATGTTTTGTTTTTGTGCCTCTTGAGGCTTGCCAAGTCGCGTCTCGTGGAAAGAGTGATATTTGAGGTTAATGTAGACATAATTTTATGATACAAATAAACTTATTTCTTTTCTCTCTCTCTCTCTTCAGTGACACTCTAAACGCTCTGCCGTGCAGAAATTATAAAACTGCAATTTAAACTTTTGCTGTGAAGTTGTAGTTGTAGACCTCTAAACTTGAGGTATCAACTTCTCAAAGTTATTACTTTAATTACTTCTTTAAAAAAAATAACAAGCACTTAAGTCAAAATTTCACTACAATTGCTTACTAAATTCGACTCAGACACTTGAATGTGACAGACATAAATTAGGTTTGATAGATGTGTAACAAAATTAAGTATCAATGCATTTTATATTGTCACGCACCAAGAGCCGTGAAGACAAGACAGGAACAGCGGGGCAGAAAGACACGAGCGCGTATCTTTAAACGAAGCGCTAACACACACTTCTTCTTTGTTTTCTTTTCCCTTTTCCGGTTCGCTAGGGCTTGCCGGCTCATAACACTAGGTGGCATTATTCCCCCTCCCATTAGAGCATCGACTCGATGCTCATACACAAGGTGACAGCAAGGCCCATAAGGGAATAAAAAGAAAGGGAGAAATGATACTTATAGTGCACAGGGCATATACAGGTGCAAAAAAAAAAAAAGAAAAGAAAAATGTCTGTGGTTGGTCATAAGAAAAAAAAAAAAAACATTAATACAGTTCAAAGTTCATTCGAGACCCTATGGACAACGAGAAAAAGGAAAATGTTTGCTGCCCTGGCACAATAAGGAGAGTATTACGGCGTAAAATAAGGTTTTAACGGGACGACATGCACAATCTCTGTTCGTGGTGAGTGGCGCTGGGTGGTTGCCGAGCCTCCGTCTGGAATGACTTCGTAGTTGACCTCGTTCAACCGCCGTAATACTTTGTAGGGTCCGAAGTACTTGCTCAGGAGTTTTTCGCTGATTACTGAACGTATGAGCTGTCGGAAGAAATCCATTTGACCACCGAAAGCTCCCAAGTAGTCCGTAGTTGAAGCGTTGACGTGCCGTTCGTATGACGGGGCCCAGTGCCTAAGAGTGCTTTCGATGGTGACGGCTTCTCTGAGAAATTCGGACACAGTCTTGGGAGGACTGCGCACAAGCCCACTGAAAAGCGTTCTTTCACCCTGCACATGAGGTACTGTACCTTCTTTTCTTCTGGCATGCCGGGGTCAGCTCAATGGAAAAGACGCGTCATGTATCGACATACATCGCAACCCCTTCATTCGGCAGTTGTATGCGGGACTGCAGATCGTGCTCAGCTCTCTCCCATTGGTCAGGGCTGGCATATGTCCCAAGAAGTCGGCGTTTGAAGTCTTCCCACGATGTAAGAATACCTGCCCGGTTCTCATACCATATACGTGCGCCGTCCAAAAGACTGAAACAGACTGTGCCGCAGTTTGTCTGCGTCGTCCCACTGGTTGTGCACGGCAACGAGCTCGTAATGAACGAGCCAATCTCCGACATCCTCAAGTGCAGTGCCATGAAAGGGATTTGGCGTACGCGGTGTGAGTAAAGTGCAATGAAGCGGTGTTGTGCCGTTCGTACCGTTTGGGTTGGTGTCAGTAGGGCTGGTCGGAGCAGCCATGTTGTTTACGAGCAGTCCAAACTCAGGGGATTGCCCTCACATTCTTCTGCTGGCACGGTGCACAGGAGTGACCACCGGTACGACGCTTGAGTTCTTGCTATGTGGAGGGGTACGGTGCATAGATCACCCAGCACGTCCACCAGTTTGTCACGCACCAAGAGCCGTGAAGACAAGACAGGAACAGCGGGGCAGAAAGACACGAGCGTGTATCTTTAAACGAAGCGCTAGCACACACTTCTTCTTTGTTCTCTTTTCCCTTTTCGGCTTGCTAGGGCTTGCTGGCTCATAACTCTAGGTGGCAATATGCTTTCAAACTATGGCTATTTCTGTTAACTATAAACTAAACCTTTATCATTGCTTTACACACAAGGCTAGAAAGGTCCCATCAGAAATATTCCACATATTCACTTTTTCATACTCGATAGCCATGAATGAACATGGGTTTCGTGAGAAAGAAACCTTAAAGAATTACAGACATGAAACTTAAGTAGTTTCAGCTTGTTGCTCTAAATCGCTCAAACACGAGTCTCAAAAACCCTAAAAACAGTGTCGTAGTGCTTGGGAATGCATTGAACATATTTTTAACACCTCTACCTTAAAAAGACATATTTAGTTTTGATATCTAAGAGGATGGCTTTACAGTGGTGAAAACAAAAAAATGAAAAAGTGTATATCTGAACGAAAACATAACCAAAATGTTATCTATTATTTAGTTCTGGAGTGAAATCAAAATTTTTTTCAATCATTTTTCGGTAAAACTTGGCAATCCGGAACTACCGAGGTAATGCAACGTGAGCAATGATGCATACCTCGGAATGCAATAATAGAGCATTTTTCAGACAGACATTCCAAAGTAAAGATGTGCTGAAATTTTGCAACAATAAATGAAAACAGTGGCGAATAGAGATGTCTATTAACACAGGTGGCCTTTCGTGTGCCTTTCATGCTGGCCAGCATGAAGAGGGCATTCTCGGTGCTAAAGTTTGTTTTATTAGAACAGTGGTCTTCCACATTGGAGATAACGCTCGATGATCTGCTGCTTCCGAGATAATGGCGACTCCCTTGAAAAAAAGCAGTGAGCCTGCTCAAAAAAATTTATTGCTGACTTAAGAAAACAAATACTATTTTAAAGAGTACTGGTTTGTGCTACTTTGTGAGAATTCATAGTACAGTTACTTTGACTCCTTTGAAGAATGTTTTACCCCTGCCCCACTATTTAAAGAGGAAAGCTATAATTAGTTTAACTTCAAACCTTGCCTGAAAATAAAAACTATTACATATTATTACGGAAATATTTTTTTTTATTCCGGAACAGCAACAAAACGAAACGTAACTAAAACCAAAACGAAAAGCAGTTTGTTCTGACACCCTGGTGTCAACACTAGCCTGACACTAGCCTGGTGTCAACACTAGCCTTACGGGAAGACTGCAACTCACAAACTACTAGCACTAGCTCTGTCATTTGCTCTCAGTCGCACGCAGTTCATGTAAAAAACGCTGAGTTAATTGTCGTCTGCTAATTCCGAGAGCAGTTTTTGTGATTTAGGCAGCATGCAGGATGCAGACTTCGCAAAACCCAGAACACTTTGTTGATTTGTGATATTTCCATCGTGGTGGGGCTTGCTTGCAGATGCTGGGTGATGAAAACTTTAAGATCAAAGTAGAATAATTTACACGGGTTGTCTGGCTGCAGTGTGTGGAAAGTGCGAATAGTGCACATCATAGAAATTAAAATGCTTTTACGAGTTCACTTTAAGCAAGTGTTGATAAGTTGCAGGGGAATAAGAAACTGCATATCAAAGAAGCTAATGACATCCTTGAAGCACGTAAACACTGGAAAAAGTTCTGCAATCGCAACAATAGGCAATGCTACGCAATGGTCTATGAACGTAAGGAGCGCCAACTTACTTGTTCGATTCTCTCAAATTCTGAGAACTGCCTTTGAGAAAGCTGTTCGTCGATATAGACAGGAAAGATGCCATGTAATGACTTGCTCAGAACAAAGAGTGACTTAAAACAGTTATGCACCTGAAAGCAACACACCAGATTTGCATTCAAGATTCATCGCAAAGAATAAAGTTTTGAACTTTGAACACTAGGCAACATTATTAAGGGGAAGTGGTTCACCAGGTAATTATTAGTAATGTACATAGAGGCATTCCTCTGCCTGACATTCCTCCAGCAAAGCAATGGAGGGCAGCACCGTCTTTTGAATGATGTAGTCAGTATGCCTAAATTACAATTCATAACAGTTGTCAAATGATACAGCTTTGTGAATTGAGCCTTATACCATCTAAGAGAGAACATGGCTTTTTGAGCTAGTAGGTCAAACGCAACAAAAGGTGCCCCAACACTAGCAGACATGTACAGTGTCAATTTTTATGAAAAGGAACACGGCGGTGCGTGGCCTTGCGTGCTCTGGTGGCTGCTGGCAACGTGTTCAAAGCGAGAGCAATCACGTTCTCTTCTTGCGTCATCTCGCAGCGAGCAAAACAAGATGTCAGTGCTGATCTGAAACCGCTGGGAAGATTGCAACCCCCTCCCCCTTGAAGGCGATTACCGGCTCTCGCGTAATCGCCTTCAAGGGGGAGGGGGTCGCAATTTTGCCGCTGGTTCCATATCAGCAACGAATGGTTGTTTTGCTCGCCGCGAGATGACGTCAAAAGAGACTGCGGTTGCTCTCGCTCCCCTTGAACACGCTGCCAGCAGCCGCCGGAGTGCGCAGGCCACGCACTCCCGTGTTCCCTTTCATAAAAAATGGCACTGTACAAGGTAGACGCAATAGAACAAGTGCTTACAGGAGACACTCAACTGAATATGTGTCCCTCAAACAGCTCCTCATCAGAGTACTAATTTCAACGTAGCATTACTAAAGTTGCTACATCTCAGTCATAGTGCTTCTATCATCAAAATATACTGTGCAGCTAAAATACATCACCTCGTTCAATTGCTAGGCAACAGGAAGAAATGCCAGCCAAAGTCATTGAGAATCTTGGCACACTAGTACTGAGGGTGCGTGAAAAAAGAGTGTGCTACCAATCACCATGAAGTGATGGGTAGCACACAAATTTGCATAGTCTTCGTGCTTGCTGGCTTCAAATACACTTGTCGCTTCGTTTGTTATTGTGTTTTGGTTTTGTTTCAAATAAAAGAATAAACTTTTGTGAACTTCGTGAGCCGATTTGAATTGGTGGGCCTGAAAAGTTCAAGGTAGTCAAGTGCAACTGCTGAACGTTTGCTGATTGTCGTCTTGTGACCAAGCAGCTCCAAGCCACGTGAAGTCGAACAGAGCCGGAAGTATGAAGATTAGACAAATTTGTATACTACCCATCATTCTCATGCTGGCTGAAGCGCCGTGCGTTGCAGCTCTCATAGACACCAGCGCCAGAGTTCCCTCCAGTGTATTTATAGGAAGCTCTACGCCACTCACAAGTCGAAATATGCAGTAGGTAACTTACAGGTTGCAACATTATCATGCTGTCTTTAAGAAGGGAAGTGAGGTAGGCGTTGTGCACGTGCTGGATGGCTTCAAAATCTCGAGTCTCCATCACTTGTGTAAGCAGACGACCCAACTGGATCTCTATCACATCCACCTGAGTGTGAGTTTGAGTTTATTCAACCACGTGACAAATACACGAGAATACAATGTATACGTGGTTTGGTGCGAAGAGAAAAAAGCTGCATTTCACAGCTTGACTGGCCCCTTCACCCAGAAAAAAATCTAAACTACAAATTTACAAAAAATTACAAGCATTACAGGCAGCGGAAAGCGACAATACCAAAAGAAACACACATGTGGCCCATGACAGCAAATAATAGAATCACAACTCTAAAATACATACAAAAATATTCATAACAAAGCAATGCATGAAAGAATAAAAACTGTATAACAATTACAGAAATAACCCAACATTCATTTACAACACAATCAGCACATCCGATTTAACATTTCAGTTTTAGACAATATACGCAGATTATCAGTTGTTAGTTTCCATTTGTTCATCACGCTTGGAAGGTGGTAATGTAGTGTTTCAAATCCATAGTTTGTGCGAGGACAAGGTACGTGCCAAGTCTCCGTACAGCGAGTAACGCGACTGGCAGGATTTGGTTGCAAGGTGGCCAAGGTGCGTAAAAAGATACTTCCTCTGCGTATTTCTGATTTAAAAGCTGACAGAAGCTGGTATTCGTAATAACAGGTAATTCTTAAAATTCTATATTTTGCAAATATTGAAGCAGTGTGTGCATTATAGGATACACCTTCAATGCACCGCAAGGCATTTTTTGTAACACGACCAGGTTCTTTAGAGATGCTTTAGAGCCTGTAGACCAGACCAGATGACAACAGCAGCAAGCTTTGTACACATTGGTGTGTCACATGTATTTCTTTACATGTACATACTTTCTAGGAGAGCAGCTCTGGTGATGTACATTCATAAACAAATTAAGTATGAACGAGTTAGGGTAACTAACACGGTCGTGCAAATATTCGAATGCTTTGAATACTCGAACGAATACGCTCATACCTCGATATACCGAACCCAGATATAACAAATTATCAGTTATAACGAAGTAAATGAAGAATAGTCTATGAAATAAATATGGTGTTAGGAATATACCTTATAATGAATTTTTGGATATAACGAACTTACTTTTGTGTAAGATGAAACTTTGTTACAGTTAGGTTCGAGCATAATGCAGTATTCGAATTCACTTTGAATGAAATTTAAATAATTGAAAATTTAACATAATTCGAAATGAACGAATAAATGCATATTATTTTGCATGTGACACTCTGTAAAGGTGGTTTCACTGCAATAAAGCGGTTCTAAACCGTAAAAACTTTAAATGCATAAAATGATCCTGTAAAAGTAGTTTCACTTCATCAAAGCAGTGCAAAACCGTGAAAACACATACCCAAAAGAAATTCGTACTGCGGCGAAGCCCCACTTCAAAGCTAGGAGGATATTACCCTCACATCGATTCACCATTCAAGTTTAAAAGATTGATATACCGGCTTATATCCTTTAGGTATAGCAAATATTAAAAAGTGACATTTTTCAGGGTATCACTTGCATTCTATTAAAAGTCAAATTCTGCTACTATTTGAAGTTGTTTCCACTTCCTTTGAACCAAAAAATTGGCATTTGCACAGGTCTTGTTCCAATTTGGAAAATTTGTAGTATATTGTGCAGGTTAGTTAGGTCATGACAAATATGCCCATTTTCCTTTATAACGTGTAGTATTGTTACGGGGTTAGAGACTTTTGTACAAAATGCGTTTACAGAGGAAAACCCACAGGCAAGAGTCACAATGGCTGATTAACACCCTCGCGCACCTATCAGCTGCTTGAGTTCTTTCTCTTCCTTTACTTCATCTCCGTGACAGGACCCCCAAGCGTTGGAGCGCCGTCTCGGCGCGAGTCCGGAGAAGTACGAGAAAAATAAGGTTTCATGCGTGAAACGTGGACAATGTCGACAAGTGAAGAACTTGATTTATTGAAGTGCAATGGTCCCATATCGTAGTTGACGTTGCTAACTTGACGTAAGACTAGGTAGGGTCATGCGTGTCGGGACAAAAGTTTTTCGGAGAGACCTACACGGCCACACGGTGACCAGAGGAGCACGCGGTCACCTGGGGCAAACGTTATATTACGGTGCCGGTGGTTGTAGCGGGCTTTTCGCATATCCTGTGACCTGGTGAGACGAGACTGGGCGACTTGACGAGCAATGTGAGCCCGGTCAATGGCTTCGCGAGCATACTCGGAAGCAGATATCTTGAGAGGCAAGGTGGTTTCAAATGGCAATATGGGGTCGCGACCATGCAAAAGATAAAAAGGTGAGAATCCCATGGTGTCATGTCGAGAGGAATTATATGCGAAAGTCACATAGGCCAACGTGGTGTCCCAGTCACGATGATCTTTGGAGAGGTACATCGAAAGCATCTCTGTGAGCGTGCGGCTGAGGCGTTCAGCTAGGCCATTAGTTTGTGGGTGGTAGGCGATAGAGAGCTTATGCGCTGTGGCACATGATCGAAGGAGGTCGTCGAAAACTTTGGACAAGAAAGAGCAGCCGCGGTCCTTAAGCAGCTGTCGGGGTGCACCGTGGTGTAAGATGACGTCATGAAGAAGAAAATACGCGACGTCAGTGGCGCAACTGATTGGCATGGCCTTTGTTATCGCGTAACGGGTCGCATAATCTGTGGCGACGGGGATCCATTTATTTCACAGTGCCGTCATCGAAAAAGGGCCAAGAAGGTCGAGTCCCACGCAATAGAATGATTCAGAGGGGACTTCAATTGGGTGAAGATATCCAGCTGGCAGAAAAGAAGGTCTTTTCTGGTATTGGCAGAGGTCACAAGTGGCGACATATCGACGCATGCTACGGTACAGTCCTGGCCAGAAGAACTGACGTCGCACGCGGTAATATGTGCGGGAAACACTGAGGTGTCTCGCAGTTAGTGCGTCGTGAAGTTGTTCAAGTATGGCAGGCCGTAGATGACGAGGAATCATGAGCAGAAGCTTAGGGCCTTCAGTGCTGACCTTGCGGTGGTAGAAGATGCCGTCCTGCAGTACGAACATACGGGATTCAGTGTCATGGCCGTCAGACTGAATGGCGTCGATGATAGTGCGCGCTGACTCATCCCGCCGTTGTTCAATGCGCATATCGCCGATGTCGGAAAATGCCATTATGCTGATCTCCAGGTCAGTCGCAACAAGATCAGGAGGATCCACCGGATGGTGAGAAAGACAGTCTGCGTCCTTGTGCAAACGGCCAGATTTGTAGCTGATGCTAGACGAAAATTCCTGGAGCCTCAGAGCCCAGCAATCCAGACGTCCAGTCGGATCCTTCAGAGAAGTCAGCCAGCAGAGGGCGTGGTGGTTCTTAATGACGGAGAATATGCGACCATATAATTATGGCCGGAACTTGGCGACGGCCCAAACTAAAGTTAAACACTCTCTCTCGGTGATATAATAATTTCTCTCAGGGGGCGAAAGCAGGTGACTGGTGTAAGCTATTATGCACTGTCTGCCGTGGTGCCACTGAGCGAGAACTGCGCCGATACCGTGGCAGCAGAAGGATTAAAGTGGGCAAGTATGGGGGTCATAGTTAAGTAGCCGATGAGAGCGGTGAACGATTGAGCCTGCTCAGGGCCCCATGAGAATGTGGTATTTCTCTTCAGCAAATCAGTGAGTGGCCTGGCAACGTCGGCGAAGTTTTTCACGAAACGACGAAAGTACGAACATAAGCCAATGAAGCTCCGGACATTGGATGTAAAATGGGGTACCGGAAAGTTACGGACGGCGCACATCTTTTCGGGGTCTGGTTGGACGCCATCGGCGTTTACAAGATGGTGTCACAAAACAAGCGCTCAAAAAAGGGCGCGCCGCCAAATTCTCGCGACAAAGCACCGAGATGGCTGAAAGGGAATGGCAGCGGCAGCACGAGATGGAACTCGAGCGGCTCCGTTTGCAACAGCGAAGTGAAACTCCGGTCCAAGCTAGAGTTGAAAGCAGCGAACGGGAGGACCACGAATTCCGCTTGAACCCAAGCAAGCTGCTCGTAGCGTTTGATGAAAGGAAGGACGACCTTGACGCGTACCTTCACAGATTTGATACGATTGCAAGGAGCCAGAATTGGCCGGAACATCAATGGGCAACTGCTTTGAGTACTTGCTTGAGTGGTGAAGCGCTCAGTGTGTACGGCAGGCTGACGCCGACCGATGCAGCCAACTATGCAAAGGTGAAAGCTGCTTTGCTGAAGCGATTTAGATTTACTGTGGATGGTTTCCGGCACAGATTTCGGACAGGAAAGCCAGCTGATGGTGAGACGGCTACGCAGTATGCCGCCCGACTTTGCCATTATTTCGACAGATGGATTGAACTTTCAGGGACAGCGCAGGAGTACGATGAGCTTAGAGAGCTCCTAATTAGAGAACAATTTCTTACTAGTTGCCACCCAAGCCTGTCGCTGTACTTGAAAGAGAGGAGAGCTAAGTCACTTGAAGACATGTTTGAATTAGCTGATCAATTCTTGGAAGCGCAAGATGGCACAAATTTGGCCAGAGTCAAGAAGGAGTGTCCCGAAGATTCAAAGAAAACGGCACCAGAACAAAATAAGCGTGCACCGGAGAGTGTTCCACGATGTTTTCTGTGTAACCGAGTGGGTCATCGCGCGAACAACTGTCGAACGATCTTTACAAGCCCTACGGTATTAAAATGTTTCAAGTGTGGTCAGACTGGGCACAAAGCAGACACATGTCGTAACGGAGCGAGTCAAACTCACCAGGTATCCTGTGTGCTAGCAGCAGCGAAGTCCGATGATAATGCCGTCACCGACGGATTCGTAGAGTTGAAAACTGGGGAGAAACTTCCTATTCTGGGTGCTGTAATGACAAAACAGCCGACCGGTGTTACGAAGGGAATGCCAACGCTGCCTGGAAAAGTTGCGGGCAAGAAGATTACGGTGTTAAGAGACACCGGTAGCTCCACCGTTATCGTGCGGAGAACTTTGGTACGGGAAAGTGAGTCAACAGGCAAAACGAAACCAGTTTGCCTAATTGACAGTACGGTTCGGATGCTTCCCGAAGCATAAAT